CGTAACCGTGGGCCAACAAGCGGCGAAGAATTGATAGTCCGGTCGGCACGGGACTGTCATTGCCTAGACCTGTAAAATACCCCCGTTCAAGACACAGACTGGTAATGCACGGTAATGCCTCAAAAGTCAAGTCATTAGCCATTAGTCCTAAGAGATCATCAGGTTTCCCAAAAAGGCCCGGTAATTGCACGTAGCAGGCCTGTCGCTGCCCTAGCGACTAGGTGTCCGCCAACCTGTTATTCCACCAACCACAACATGGCCCGTACTCCAACTGCCCGCAGGCATGACAAGGGCCTCGCCCATAAGTCTCCTGGGGGCAACCTCTTCAAAGTGCTTGAGCTGTTCAAAACGGGGCACCCACTAGGCGGGTTAGGCGCCCCGGGTCTGCCGCGAGAGCCGCTGGCGCCGCTGTTCTCCTACCAGCGAGACGTGGTGGGTGCGGTGCTGCACAGCTGGGGCCTGCCGCTAACGCCGGAAGTATTGAGCCGAGGAAAGGAGGAGCACGACGAGGCCGAGGAGCGAGCAGGCGTTTCCAGCAGCAGCGGCAGCAGCGGTGCGGTTGGCGGCGGTGGCAGCAGCAACGGCGGAGGTGGTGGAGGCGAGGGAGGAAAGACGGCGGGTCTGGACATGCGGGAGCGTTTTGCCCGGCTTGCAGGCGGCTGGGACGCCAACTGGCTGGTGACGTCCGGAACAGGGACCGGCAAGACTCGGATGTTTATTGAGGTGGCCAGGTGGGGCGGACTCGGACACAGGGGGGCATGGCGGCCGACGTGACGACTGGCGGGACGCAGGAGCAGGGGGTTGGGGGGTGCCATGCAGCACTGCATTGCATCCCCACCCGAACATGCATGCACTCGGAGGCGCATACAAGCCAAGGTAGCCCTCCCATGTAGCCATGTACGCACTGCCGTTGGCCATGCACCCCACGTGGGTGCGTCGGTTTGTCGGATGTCGGATGCAGACAAGGGCCTATGTCTTCCCGTGTCGCCCTAGCACACACGCTGACTAGCTAACCCTACGCGTCACCCGCTGCCCCTGCTCCGCACCCTTCTCTTCACACACCCGCCTTCGCAACTGCAGAGGCGTGGTTGCCGCCAAGCCCCCCGGCCAAGGTGCTCTGGTGGTGGTGCTTGTGCCCAGCGTCAACCTCACAGTGCAGCAGGCCCAGCGCTTCCAAGCCGCAGCGCTGGCCAACACCTACGTCAGCTACCACTGCAACGGGCTGCCACTTACAAGGCAGATCTGGAGCACAGCGCTGGCGGCCGTGGGTCGTATGGGGCAGACGCATGCTGCCGCCGTGTTTTCGCGTGTCCTGGTAGCGACGCCGCTGATGCTACTGAACCCTCTGGAGAAGGGGGAGGTCTCTCTGGCAGACGTAGACTTGCTGGTGGGTCGAGGGACGACGACGCTGCTTATTGTACTTACCGGTACATCGTCTTATTGTGATTGATCTCATGATTGGTTCACGGCGCCATCCTCGCACGACTATATCCCGCTCCTCGGGCTTTCACGCATGCTTGCATGCTTATTTTGCCGCGTCACAGGTCTTCGACGAGGCACACCATTGCCACGACAAACACCCCTATGCCCGTGTGTTGAATCACTACTGGCGATTGCCGGAGGCGTCCAGGCCCCGAATGATTGGAGTCTCGGCGTCGCCGGTAAGTCCTTGCGTGTGCGGACGCAAGCTGTGTACGGTTTTGGACACCCGCTTGCTGTACAGGGCGGGTTCTGCAAGGTGCGTGGCTCTGGTTCTCTGGCTTGTCCCTCCGTTGATTCCCCGCCACTGGCCTCTAAAGCCTGCGCCTGGCGAGTTTTCTTGGGACCATTCCTTGTGCGCTCTTGGGATATTCCTTATGTCTGCCGACCGCCCTACCCTTTCCTGAGACGAACTGCGGATGCCCCAGGCCAAATGCGAAGGCAGCCTGAAAGACCTGCGGGAACTGCTGGGAGCGAAGCTGCTGGCTGTTGAAACACCGGACACCTGTCCCCCGCAACAACTGGAGTACGAGGTGGCAATGCGGCCGCTGGATTGCAGTACGATGCTGCTGCTGCAGGTGAGGGGAGGGCATTTGCATGGGGGGACATGAGCGTCAAAGCAAAAGCAAAGATAGCGCACCGGTAGATGAGGGCAGAGCAGGGCGCTTGTTGTCAGTTCGGCAGAAGGCTCCTGTGGCGACTTGCATGCTTGCATGGGACTCTGCCCAATAGCCTTGTGCGGTCGAGCGCCGAACCGCCGACCTGCTGTCCCAACGAGGCTCATGCCCCCCCCCCTTGCATGCAAACCGGATGACATGCAGGGCTTTGCCGTCTATGTCGCCCGCGAGCTGGGTAAGCCGGGCAGGATGTATGTATGAAGCCTGGGGTATCCCCTCGGCTTCATTTCGTCATGTGGTTTGTGAGCTTAGGGCTGAGCGGGCAGCCTGGGAACTGACCCGTACACAACATGACGCATTCGCTCAAGGGGCGGGAGCGAGGAACAGAACATGTATGCAGTGCCCTCGCAAGGGTGTGGTTTGCGAAGCCGGGGCGGCTCCCGGAGGTCCGAAACCCCCCCAAGGCGCGGCATTGACCTGTTCGTTCCCTGCTATTCTGATGCGCTGTTGGTGCCGGTACACCCTGCTTGCAGAGCGGTCCTTGTCACGGGCACGAGCCGAGGGCGGCGCTGTGAGCCGGAAGAAGGAAAACCTGCAGACGGTGCGGTGTGCATGACGTTTGGCAGCATGCCGTGTTAGCCACGGTGACGTCCGGCTTGCAAGCAAACCTTGCTGTGTAGTTGAGTAGGACAGGAGCAAGCAATGGGGAGAGGTTCGCATGTGAACCGCGAGTACAGGCAAAACAAAGTTGACCGAACCTGAACCAAGCAAACCTTGCTGTGTGTGTACGTGCCGGTACGTGCCCCTTGGACACACGCACCCGCCCCTTCATCTTCCGGCAATCACAGTACGTTCCGACTCGCGGCCAGTCCTCTTAACACACCCGCCCCCTGTACACGTTCCGGCTGCTGCATGCAGCTGCTGTGCAACGTGGTGGCAAAGGCTGCTGGTGCCGGTCGGGTGACCCAGATGTCTCAGCTGACGTCCACCTTCTCAGAGCTCAGCGAGGTACGTCGCAGCCAGCCGACCTGCCATCTTTCGGCTATGCAAGCGATAACGAACTCGATGGGGTTCGAACCCCAAGGGGTTGCAAGGTTCTAACGGATTAACAACAGCCGCTCTTGTGTGCGTTGCGTGTGGTCAGGTGTCGACCGAAAACACGCGCGGAACGTGTTTTGACTTTTGAGGGAACTGTCGTCGTCACGGGTTTCCGGGCATGATCTTGCTGGCCCGCCCTTCTTGCCAAAACATGAGTCCGGTCAGCAGCCACCCCGTTCCGCCCGCGTGTATACACGCCAAGGGACTTCATCTCCCGAACGCAATCACAGATTCACAGTACATTCCGACTCGCGGCCGGCTTTCTTAACACACTCCAACCCTGCGCCCACGCACCCCGGCAGTGCGTCAACCGCGGCAGGCGCCTGGCGGAGGCATACGGCTGTCCGCGACTGTCGCTGGCATGTCGCCTGCTGGACGCGCTAAGGAAGGTATGTAGTGGGGGCCGCAAGGCGCCTGTTGTGTACTGGTACATGCATGTAGGTTATCCTCTATCTCCGAAGCTGACACAGCTTGCTTGGGCTTTATCCCGCCCTGGCCCCTTTCCTCACTCAATCTACCGGTATCCCAAGGCGGCGGAGCTGGTGCCTGACGCGGGCTTCGAGGGCGCGCTGCTGTTCCTTGCTCGCAAGGCTGCGACCCTCAGCGTGGACGAGGCAGAGCTAGCGGGCAGGCAGCAACCGCCGCCTCCGCCGCCTCCACCTCAGCCCTCGTCATCCTTGCTGCGTGCAGCGGGCATGGCCGGAGAAGTCCCGCTGCCGCCGCCGCCGCCTCCGCTGCTGCCGCCGCCGCCGGTTTGCCGGCCGGGGCCGCCCAGAGTTGCGACCGCAGGCGGACGTGAGCCACGTGTTTTGGTGCAGTTGCGGGAGGTAGCGGAGCGGAAGGCACTTGCAGGGGGCTCGCAGGAGGGGCAGCAGGTGGAGGAGTCGAGCTGGTAAGAATGGGGTTGTGCGCGGGGTGGGGTTGTGCGGAGACGGATGCTGCAAGTACGGGGTTCCCTCCAGGATCTTGCCGTAAAATGAACCCGCCTTCCATGCAGGCTTGAGGATATCTCGTTGCAGCTGCCCAGGTTCATTCGGGAGCTGCTGGTGAGAATTGGTGTACCACACAGTACCGATAGGACCACCTACCTACCATAGGACAACCACCACAGATCCCTGACAATGACCCGGTAAACACCTCCTGTTGTAAACTTCTTGGCATCACGGTAGCCCAAGTGCCTGCTATCGCCGCTGCAAAAATGACAGTGGGCTGATCCGCTGACCCGCTGCTGCCACTGTGTGGCAGGTGACGCTGTGTAAGCCCGATGGCATGGCGCTGAAGCAGTCCGGACCCAGCAGTGAGGCCTCCATGTGGCTCGTCCGCGACTGCTTCACGTCCGGGATGTTGCAGGTGAGTATTACACCAGGTCGTCATCGCTGGGTCCCTGCATGCGCACGCACAGATTAGAGATTGCCTACCGTATCAGCATTTGCACAAGGCCACATCACTTCCCATGTGTATCTCATGACCAGCTGCCAAGAAAATTGTGCATTAGGACTCTCTAGGCCGCTGCAAGTTGGCAACCATGCCCAACTGTGTTCACCGCCCTGCCGTTTTCCCGTGCGCAGGAGGTGAGCTGCCTACGAGGTTGCTCCTCGTCAACACCTACCCAGCCCCGCATCTTGGCTCAATGCATCAATGACCGCTACAGTGGTTGCTAGAAAGCTGCATGCATGTTGCTTCCCGGCTCTGGGTCACCTGTTGCCCCCGTATGCCTTGCAAGTCCGGGTTCCTGGATGCTACAGGACCGTGCGTGTGTTGCTCGTTTCGTTAACCCCATTCTTCCACCCCAGGCCTGCACGTTTCCGAAATTCTGGGCGCTGGTGACATACCTGCAGGTAGGTGAGGGGTGGGTGAATGCATGCATATACATCCGTCTGCGTTATGAAACAAATAAGCCAGCCTTTAGCACCGTTATATCCTTCATATGCAATCAGTGCCTCATGGAGGAAAACGCCCGTGTATGTGCCATGCCATGCCATGCCCTGCCACGCAGCAATTCCGCGACCGAGAGACACTCCATGGCATCATCTTCGTGACCACGCGACGGGTGAGTTGGGAGTGTGCCGACCTGCGGAGTGAGACGCCCTGCAACAGCCTGGTGCGACACCTGTGGCTTCCTCCAACAGCCTGGTGCATGTACACGTCACGGTGACTTGAATGACACTTGAATGACACGTCAGGTCTTCCGCACGTCACGTCTTCCGCACATGTATATACAGCAGCGGCTGTACCGCCCTCGCCTCCTCCCCTCCCCTCCAATGCCGTCAGGCGGTCCTGCACTTGGCTGACATGATGCGGCGTACGCAGCAACTGGCCTTCCTAGAGGTGAGGGATGTTGCCGCATGAGTGGCCTGGGATAAGGCGGTGGCTTGCCATACGGCGCGGCTGTGGGTGATCGGTGCGAGGGCCCTGGTTGTGAATAACATGCATGGGCCACGCAAAAGGACGCCTACCTCCAAACGTGTCGCCAAACACTAACCCTGAGCCTCATGGGACCCCAACAGGTGCTGGAGGCGTGGGGATGCAGTGCCGCCGCACACCGGCGCGACCGGCCCGCCCCGGGACGGCGGCGGCGTGACCGGCAAGATAAGGGCATGAAGGGAAACGAGCAGACGGAGGTCATAGGGCACTTCGCGGTGAGGCGCATGCAGTGCTGTGTCCTGTGTTCTGTTTAAGACAAGACAAAAGGGAAGCCGTGTCCGGTGTTCTGTTTAAGGGTTAACCGTTCATACGACACATGGAAAGATTGAATGGCTATTGGGTCTTCCTGACACCGCCTGCTGACTCTCCTGCTGGCGCTTCTGCAGGCTAAAGGACGCAAGGTGTTGGTCGCGACCTCGGCTCCCGAGGAGGGAACGGACGTGCCCACCTGCGAGTTCGTGGTGCGCTACAACACCGCCGTGACCGGCATCCAGCGAGTACAGAGCATGGGGCGGGCACGCGTCAGGGACGCGCAGTTCCTCACCATCATGCAGGTACGTTTGCACGCGGCGGGCATTCAGAAGGAGCTACGTTACGTACCCCTGCTTCCTAAGGTCCCCCTTTGCAAATACGACGGTGCGGAATGCAGCTTTCCAGGGGAGTCCCCTGTGCCTTTATGAGTTGATAACCCAACAGTAAGGATTCTGGAGTTCCTGTTGTATTTGTCTTTCTGTTACCGGTAATCCTAAAGTCCGTCTTAGGCTGTTAGCAGACCTGGTCAACTGGGCCACGGACTAACGCGCGGCTTACACATCCCCTCGGGCACCCCAGAGTGAGACCCTGGACTTCCAACTGAACGAGAAGAGCATTCAAGAGGAGAGCAACATGCGAGTGTGTCAGCGGCAGTGCGCTGCGAGGTCCGCAGCAGCTGCGGGTGGGCTTGTTGCCGCATAGGCCTCGCGTTGCGGGCAGCGCATGGCTGCAAGCATGCGGCGGTTGATTGGGAAGAGCGTGTGATGCCACATACGGTGATGTGATACCGCTGTTTGCGTGGCATGGCGGGGTTGCTGTTGTTGGAGGGTTTGCTGGTGGGTCTTCAACTCAATGATGGAACAAGTTTCAAGCTAAATTGTTAGGCTTATGGGGCAAGTTTGTTTCTGCCTTGTCAATTGGGGCTAGAAAATAGGCTCCAAAACGCATGTCATTTTATTCCTGGGAAGTACGTACTTACGGTAGTAAGACGAATGCACATAACCAGCGTTGTGGCTGCAGGCTTACATGCATGGCTTTAATCATAGTGTACATATTCCGACAATACCTTTGTTGAGGGCAGCAAGGCAGTGCAGTGGGGACGACCGGGAGGAATGCGCCTACCTGTTGTCGGGTAGCCGAGTGAATTGTACATAAGACGGGGCCGAGGGTGCACTGTTAATGACCCATGGGTCAGTCACGGTATCCCCTTGTGACTACTGGGCTGTATTGTTGGCATGCTAGCTCTGCCATACCCATTATCCTCAAGAAACCAATGTAATGTCTGGAAACTAAATTGCAAACTTCGGCCACAATACGTTTGCACTCGCTGGAATCCACTGTGTTCCTATCCTAATGCGTCAGAAACCGCTCCCAACAAATGTCTTGTAACCGCGTCCATTACCATATCAACAACCACACCGTTCCCCTCCGGACCACTCCCGCACCACATCGCCGCCATTACACCCTCGACCGCCCTGCCTCCAGCACCCCGCACCCCGACCCCCTCACCCACCCATCGCAGCCCCTCCCCACTCCCTCTCTACCTCTGCCGCTCCTTACATGCCCCCTTATGCCCCGCACGCCAATGCGCCGCCTGACAACCGCGGCTGCAGTACCAGGCCGAACCGCACCTGGAACAAGCCCACAGCTCCAGTTCCGACTCGCTGTCACCATCCAGGTTGCAGCACGATACGTTGGAGCAGGTTCGCAGCAGGCTGCGAGCCACCGCAGGCTCCACGATGGCCCCCAGGGCATCATAAACCGCATCCGACGGCGCCAGGTTCCTCATCAGCACGCTCAAGGGGCCGCGCTCCAGGCCCGCGTCGCTGCCAGTGCTCTGCCAGAGATCCAACTGGGTCGCCAGCGCTTGCAGGCACTCCCCGTAAAAGAGGGTGTTTGTGTGAGGGACGAGGCCGAGGACCAGCTTCGGCGGCCAGTAGGCCATGCAGGCCTCTTGACGCCCGGTTGAGTTGCTGTTGCTGCCACCGCTGTTGCTGCTGCTCCCGCCGCTGCTCTGCCGGTTCTGAGACTGCGGCACCTGCTTGCTCGCCGCAGACCCAACACCCGCCGCCGCAGCACCGCATGACAAGCTCCCGGCCGCCGCTGCTGCTGACGATGATGATGCTGACGAGGTCGACGATGTTGCAACCATCGCCGACCGCAGCTCCTGGGTGCAAGCGGCCGCCACATTGCACAGCGCGTCCGCCAGGCGCGCGTTCAGCCAGCGCCGCTTGGCCCAGCAGCTGCTGACCAGGGGGTGCGCTGCCAGACGCAGCGTAGCACCCGCCACCGCCACCGCCTGCACCTCCTCCACCAGTAACCGCCGCAAGGCCTGCATGGCTGCAGCAGGGGCAGCACCTGCAGCGGCACCCGCTGCCTTAGCCGCAGCCTTGAGCGTTGAGGACGCAGCGGAGGTGGAGGATGCGTTCTTGCTGGAGGAGTGAGGACGGGAGCCTGCTGCTGCTGCCGCATGCCTCATGTAGTTGAAGTAGGAACCGCCGTACTTGCGAGGATACAGGCTAGGCAGGAATTGCAGCCAGGACATGAGCGCAAGCGATATCGACTCCACCAGCTGCCCCAGACAGTCGGCTTGTTGCATCTCCCAATGCCTCTGCATGTGCTTGGGCAGCTGCGGCGCTTGCGCGGTGACCAGAACCAGCCGCGACAACAGCGGCAGCCAATCGTAAACCGCGTACATGACCAGGCGCGAGGTCTGGTGCCGAATGGCGGCGGCGCGTTCTGCTTCCGCGTCTGACGAAGTGACGATGAGGGAACCCATCCAAGTCGCTCCCTCCACAAGCACGCAGTTCACAAGTTCCAGCAGAAATAACACGAGTTGCATCTCTTGACCGTCCATTTTGAAGTCGCTGTTGCTGCTGCTGCCGTGCCCACCGCTGATGTAAGCCTCACGGCCCAGCATTGCCGGAACGATCGCCATGAGCTTTGGCAGCAGCTGTCGCAGCAGCTTCCCCAGCGTAACAAGCAGCGCCGCTGCCTGCTGCGGATCCCCATACACCACCATTCCGCCGAGGAGACGCTCGACGCCAATGTCGTTGACATGCATGGCAATCACCACGGCAGCTTCCGGCCCGTCAGGCGCCTGTCCGGCTCGACGCAGAAGGCGCTCCAGGCAGGGAATCAGGCCGGCAGACAGCGCGATGTCAAGTTGGGGCTCAGGCGAAGCCAGCATGGAGCCTGCGGTGCAGGGAGGAGTCCGATACAGGGGTTGGTTGGAAGGGCACCGGGTGCATGGAGCCAGGAAACGGAACTTGACGTATGACTGGCTTGCCCAGGTGCAGAAACATGCATGCTGATGCTGTTCTCCCATCCATCCCATGTTCCCCTCCCACTAACCCCATCTCATTACATCCCGCCACCCCCCCAGCACCCGATTGAACCATCCCCCAACCAGCAATCATGCAACCCCTAGGACCCCCCGCGCTCACTTTCCGTGACCAGCACCGGCTTCAGTTCAGGCACAATCAACTCCGCAATGCCTCGCTGATCATCCGTGTCCGCAAACGGGGGTCCATGCCGTGCCAAAGACACAATCAGCCGCCACATGTCCCGCCTGGCCGCCCGCTCCGCCTTGCCCTCCGGCACCGCCGCTAGAAGCCCCGTCATGGCGTACAGCGACGCACGGGCCACATCAACCAGCACCTTCCTCGGAAGCACGATCTCCAGCGGCCCCACGCCGTTGCCTCCCTCGCCGTCGTCGTCCTCCTCGCTGGCAGCCTCCCCTTCGCTGGCCGGGTCTGCCGCCAGCAGTTCTGCGGATCGCACCGCCAGCTGCCCAATTCGCAGCAGCATGCGCAGGCTCATGAACTGCCCAGGCAGCGGGCCTTCTTGGCTGCGCAGTAGAGCGGGAATCGTGGAAAGGGGCACGCACGTCCACATCTCCTGTCGGCCTTGCTTGTGTTTGAGATTGGACGGAAACCCGTGCCTCTCGACTCCAATCACGGGTAGGTACCTGGTCAAGTGCTGCGGCAGGCCGTGAGAGGGCCCGCAATCCGCTGTGCAAAGCGCGACGAGGCATGTCGACAGCAGCAGGTGCTGGGTGCAGGGGGCTGTCAGGATACCGTCCAGCGCGGTTTTCGCAATTGTGCCGCAGCTGTTCATGGTTTGCTGCAGACAGAAGAGCGTGAAGATGTAAAAGTGAAGCAGGTGGCAAAGCCCCACTTCGTCCACAGCGGAGGCCCCTTCTTTCGCAGCAGTAGCAGCAGCAGCAGGTGTCGTAACAGCCGCTGCAAGTTGCATGGAATCATCCGCCAGCTTTCCAAGCTCCAAGGACAACAGCACCACTCGCGAGAAATGCTCGACGACGTTGCTCTTGCGCAGCGCGGCAAGGAGCTCGGTAATGTACGGCATCTGCCGCAGCAGTTGAACCTCCGGCTGCGCCTGCGGTCCCGTACGGCCGCTCCCGTTCCCTGATGCGGTTGATGCCCTTGTCGTTGCTGCTGCTGCTCCTCCTCCTTCTTGCTTCACGTGCACCTGAACCAACGCCTTCGCGACGCATGCGAGCGGGAGCAGGATGTAAACCGTACGGAAGAGCAGCTCGGTGCAGTAGTCCATAGCCGCCTTGATGTCTGCCATGTTCAGCTGCCTAGGGGCGGCAGCGACGCCGGCTGAGGGCGGTCCGGCTGCTAGCGTAGGAGCTTCAAATCCTCCAGCCGCTGTCTCCGCCGCACCAGCCCCCTCTGCCGCACCTGTCGCCGCTACCGCCTCCGTTGCCTCCGCTGCCGCTGCGGCACCGGTCGTCGCGGCCCTCAAGAGCCCCTGCGCCCTGTCAGCAGCGGCCGCCAGCCACCGACTGCAGCACCGCAGCAGTCCCCCTCGCAACAGCCCGCATGCAAGAGCCACAACCGCAGCAGGCGGCGGACTGCAACCGTCCTTGTTGCTGCTGCCGCCAGCACCGCGGACAGCGTCCCCCTGCACCGGCGACCGTATCAGCCCGAGGCCCAGAAGCTCCTTCACCACCATGAACGTGACGTGCCGCAGCTCCCAACGTGCGCGCTCGTACGACGGGGCACCGCCGGCCGGAGTGTCCGGAGTCCAGTATGTGGCGGTACAATCGGGCGGGAAGGTTTCGTAAACGCCAAACCGGCCGTTCACGCCATGCACGGGGACTCGTCTCTCGGCCTCGCCGGCGTTCCCACGGTGCTGCCGTCGGGCGCATGTCGGGCACCTGCAGACCGGCACGTAGGCAGGGGCAGGAGCGGAAGAGCTGGTCTTCTGTTCCGCCGCGGGTTGCCTCTGCCTGGCGGTTTTCTGCCCCACAGTTGGAAGCGGTATCAGACCGCCCAACGGCGCGCGTTGCTGTGGAAGCTTAGACGAAACACCGTCTGCGGCGGTTGAGGAGGAGGAGGTGGAGCAACTGCTTGCAACGGGTTTCGGAAACATGAAGGCAACGGCATCATGTGGATCGTCGCCGAAAGCCACAAGGCCGAATACGTCGATGGCAGAGTTTGAGCGAGTCGTCTTGCTGCTGCTGCTGCCGAAAGCGGTACGGTGGTCCACGGGGGGCCACCGAGCCACCACGGCGACGATACCGAGCAGAGCCCTGAGGAAAGGCTCGCAGGCAAGGACTTCAAAGACTTCTGTCTTGCGGATCTTGCTCCAAAGGCACGACAGCTTGTGTGTCAAGTCCTGCAAGTCGAATGCGTCCATGGTCGGCCTTCGGCCCTTGCTGCGCCGCTCATCATCTTGCAGCAGGCGCTTCGCGGCTGCGGGGATGCAGGCGAGCAGGGCCGCTGTCTCGGCGGGGAGTTGGCAATGTTGTGGGGCCATCACCGCTCCTGTCCAGCCAAGAGCTGGCTTAAGCCCGAGCGTTCAGGAGGCTAGCGCCAAGTCTCTGGTAGGGGCAGAAATTGGCAGGATGGAGTTGACGGTTTGAGAGCGCAAGGCTGTACGCTTAGCCGTCTCAGCTGGTAAACATTACAATGCTGCAAGATACAGCATCCACTCCGGGCATAATACATGCCAAAGGCAGCGTGTCGCTTTCTAAAGCTTTATACCGGATGCCATGGTTTTAGCAGTCGGGAAGTGTAAGTATGTGCACAGGTCGGGCATCTACTCTTCCTGCTACATCTTGCGTCTGAGCTTACCAAAGAATGCCGGATATGCCGCCGGAAGCCGCCAGTGTAAGCTCAGCAGCCGGGATAATTATCAAATTTCGCGCCAACGTGCCTTCAGAAGCGTCGCCGCCTTCATACCAGCTGTAATACCCTGAGACAACGCCGCCGATCACCTTTGCTAGTGGTTAACACCCTTACACCGCAAATTACTTGACATTGTCAAAGGAGGTAGTTCTTGCGAACGTTCGAGTGCAATTTGTACCAATATCATACAAACATAGCAACGGCGTACAATGAGTGAAATAATAGCAAAGAATGGTCGCGAAGCTGCAGATTTACAATTGCTGTCGTACATCTTGTTTGCTTGCTCTGGTTACGCCGTCATGGTTATGCCAACCCAATCGAGTTATTGGACATTCCATATTTCTTCTTTTGCACGTGGAAGAGAAGGATAAAGTCGTACTCCAACTTTACCCGACCATTACCCGTCCATGCCCAATGCCAACCCTCTCCCTCGCAGCCGCCTAACTGGCTGTCTCCACCGCCCGTCTTCCCTCCGCCAGCCTCTCCTCCAGGCTGCCCGGCGGCGGCGCCCCCCGCAGCAGCTGCCCCCCACTTGCCACACATCAGCAGCGCCATCACCACGTCGCGACCCGCCAGCTTCCCCAGGCAGCGAGTCGAGCAGCATGGCGTGCAGCAGCGGAGGAGGGCAGGGGGCTACTGCTGCCGTTGACGGTGCTTCAAGGCTTCTCGGCAAGTTTGGACTCTGACTTTGGGACGACGTCATTGCAGCATGACAAAAAGGATGTGGCGTGTCATGCTGCAACGGTATCGTCGGAACACCACGTCGAGTGCGTGCTCGTACGCAGCCACGCGTCATGTTCAGAGTCGTCGCATGTGGTACAGACCAACTTATGTGCCTGACGTCGTGGGAGGTGCAAGCTGCAAGGACCAAGGGCACGACCCCCTGGAATTCTGCTGTCCGAGTCCCTTCGCAGGGTGAGTTAACGCCGTCACGTCTCTTTACAGTCTTGACGGGGAGTGGAGTTCGCAACCGCAGCTCCACTCGCGGTGGCCCAACACCCGTGAACCAGGACTAATCCGGAATAGCCCTAACAGGGGATAGCCTTTTGCACCAACCCAACATTACCGAACAAATCCAGGGGTACACTTCCCATCCCGATGAGCAGCCACAAGAAGCGACCTAGCAGCAACCAGCACCTTGACCCCCATCCATGGCCCCTACCCCGACGCAACAACAAGGACAGACTCTCGGTACTGCGATACCTGCACTGTGTAACGCCACAGCCCACACTCCCATATCGCATCCCAAGCCGCACGGCGCACGCCGCGCCCCACCTGACAGCACCTCCCCTAGCTCCCACACCGCCATGCCCCACACTCGCCCCCCACCGCACCCCCTACTTCCCAGCCTCAGCCTTTGGGGCCGGCGCCTCCGCCGCCGCTGCTCCCGTCTCCGCTGCAGCCGCCGCCGTCCTGGCCTGGCAATCCGCCTTGTGCTGCGTCCAGTGCCCAATCTGGCACGCCCGCGAGCAGTACCGCACGCCCCTGCACCGGCTGCAAGACTGGAAGGGCGGCCCGCCGGCGGGCGGCGCCGCACCGCACGCCGCACAGTGCCCCTTGGCTGCAGCCCCCATCTGCTGCAGCAGCTGCTTCTGCTGTTGCTGCAGCTGCTGCAGCTGTTGGTCACCTTGCTCCTGCTGCTGCTGCGTCTTGTTGGACGCCGCGGCCTGGTCCGCCATGCGCACCAGTTGCATCATGGCGTGGCCCCAGTTGACGATGTCCTGGATCTGGTCCTTCAGCCAGGACTGCGCGCTGCGGGCGTCCACACCCTCAGACACCTGCAGGGGTGGGTGGGGTAAGTAGCGGGGGTAAGTGGCCACCTGGAGCATGCGGGGTGGATGGGTGGAAAGAAGAATGTGTTGAATGAGGATAGGGTGGGGGAAAAAAGAAATTCCAATGTGTGGTGGATAGGGTGGGGTGGGGTAACAGAGGAAGAAAGTCAACTAAGCCGACCGTACGACAAGGGAGCACCCACGGGCAGAAACATGGTTGCCGGCGCATGGCGTAAGGCAGTAGGTTAACAGGGAGCCGCGGGGACACACTGACGGGGACCGTAGGGTGCGGGCGGCGGTGGTTTGGATTGAGGATGGGTAGTTGTTTAACCCGCCCCTCCTTACGCCCCTCCTCCGCCCCATTGCCCCCCTTCCGCCCCAGAGCCCCGCCCCACCACTTCTCGCCCTCCTCCTTCCTTCCTTTCCCTTCACCCCACCTGCATGACCGGCAGGTCCCGAGCCGCCTGCTCCCCAGTGAACCGCACGCCCCACTCCTCCAGCTGCACTCCCAGCGCCGGAACCACGGTCTCAATGTGGCCCGCGTACGCGCGGAAGTACTGGCCGTAGGCCCCGGGGTAGGGCTCCTTGAAGGGCACGGCAGGGGCGGAGCTGGCGGCCCCGGCGGGCAGCGGGTCGCTGACGGCGGCGCGGAGGGCCCGGAAGGTGTCCACGTAGCCCTCTGCAATGCGGTACAGGGGGGCGGTCATGTTGGGCCGCATCATAGGGAGTGTTCTTGTCAAATGGCATGTGGAATGCAGGGTAGGGTGGAGACGACCGACTGGTCCCATGCGTAGCCGGCTTTAGCATCAACAGGAGCCCCCCAGGAGACTAGCATTAGCGACCCAAGCCGCCTCCCTTCCCCCGCTCACCCGTGAACATGCCGAAGCTGTGTCGGATGACGAAGCCGCACGCCTCCACCACGTCCGCCTCGCTGGTGCCCATCACGATGGTGGGCATGCCCAGCACCGTCAGCAGGTTGCGCAGCGCGCCCTCCACCTGAGCCACAATCCTGCAGGCGAGGGTGCGGGGTTGGGGTTGGCGGAAAGGCGTTCCAACGAGGCTGCAGGGGTCAGCATGCATGCATGCACGCATGTGCCGGCAGGTTGATCAAAGGTAACCAACGGGAAGAAAGCTGAGCCAGGGCTGTACCCATCCATGCTCAACACCACCCCGAGTTGCGGCCTCATAAACCCTTTCCGCCTACCTCCGCCTCGGCAGGCGTGCCGGCCTCAGGTCCGCATCATCCAGCTGCATGACCGCCATCGCCTCCTCCGCTGCAGCCTCCGCCTCCGCATCCGCATCCTGCGCCTCCATGCGCGCCCGCACCTCCGCCAGCCCATCCACCAGCCGCTCCAGCAGCGGCCGCAGCGCGCCCAGGGTGCCCGGCCGCAGCAGCCAGGCGCGCAGCGGCGCCAGCCCACCCGTGGTGAGGTTGAAGTTGCGGTCACCCAGCCCCGCCAGGTTTGCCACCAGGCTGCTGGCCTGTGCCGCCAGCACCAGCCGCTGCTCGTACAGGTCAGGGGCCGTGGCGGGGTCGGAGGAGGGAGCAGCAGGAGCACTGCTGGCGTCGGAGGAGGACGGAGCAGGAGCAGGAGCAGCGTCAGCGTCAGCAGGCTTGTCCTTGCCGGCTTCCTCCAGCGCAGCTACGCCGCCGAGGGTCGCGTCAGCCGACGGCTCCGCAGTTGCGGCGGCGTCGGAGGCAGCGGCGGCGGCGGCTTCGCCGCCGCTGCCCTTTCCAGCCGCTAGCGTGGAGATCAGCATGAGCCGCGCGGCGGCGTCTACCTGCAGCAGAAGCTCGCGGAAGGCCTTGCTGTGCTGCGAGGAGGTGCGGGTGAGCTCCCAGCAGACCTGGATGCAGCGCTGCGCGGTGCCGATGCCCGCCGGGGACAACAGCACTTGCGGGTGGATGGAGAGGTAGATGATGTGGGAGAGCAGGAGCTGAGGTAGCTCGGGGCGCACCGCCAGCGCCTCCAGTTGGCTGGAGGTGAGGGAGCCGCTGACCATGGTGCAGGAGCAGACCAGCATCACCACGGTTTGGCTGAGCCGGTGGGACATGTCGGCGATGCTGTGTGTTTTGGGTGTGGACGGATTGGTGGAAAGGGGGAAATGGTGGGAAGGGTGGGGTAGGTTGAGTGGAGGATGCCGGCTTTGCAGGTGGAGTGCAGGTAGTTGGCTTTACAAGGAGTGTTGTGATGGTGTCAATGGCGCTGGAGGCGTGAGGCAGCGGTGGTATTCGAGGTAAAGAGAGGCATTGAACTGTGGTGCCCGGCGCGTTGACTGACCGTGGGGCTGCTTAAAGGAGCAGCTGAGGGTAATCGCAACTGGATCCACACAGTGCCACACAGAGCAGCCACAACACAACGCCCAGCTATATGGACGTTTAGATGCACGCGTGCTGACGGTACACGCACTTACCGCTCATGGAGGCGGAGCAGGGATGGCAGGAAGTTGTGCTCAAGCAGCACAACAGCCAGGCGAGGATCACCACCAGTGATGACATCGTTTACAGCCAGCAGTTGTCGATGCGAATCGGCCGACGCGGGGTCAAGACCGGTAACGGTGTTGTTCAGAGCTCCGACACCCAATGCCGTGAACAGCTTCTGTGACCCTGGCGACTGCGTAGATTGCTCTTCGAAAATTGTGTGCACCTGCTCGATGATCGGTTTTACGAGCGCGATGCGCTCCTCAATTGTCTTGCAGGTGGCAGTGCTTGCCATGAACGCTTTCCACCCAGGCGGATTGGTTCCTTTGCCAACCATTTTAGCGCTTAGGATAGGAAGAGGCGAAGATGGCTTTAGGATATGAACGCAGCTTGCTAGCGTATGTTGGAAGTGATCAATGCTCACTGTGTTCCGAAATCGTATCAGACAATCACTGTATACGTGAGGTCAAGTGCTTCTAGTAAACAGGCATACTTACTCGAGGGCTGTATCGGAGTATCACATTACCTCGCTCACCACGGCAGTGTCGTGCAATGCGGCGCGGAGTACTTAGTAAGAGAGGAAGCCGGACTCATTCATCTGCGTTGTGATCTATGCCTTACCTACTAGCTCAGTGACCTATTGTGCAGTGCCCAATACGGATTGACATCAAAAGGTGCGGCTAACATCGCACAAACACGGCTGTGCAGCCCAACTCGGCAACGGAGAGTGGGTATGGAACCAACATATGTACCCCCCCACGCCGCAATCGTTTCCCCTGACTAGCACAACAGACAACGATTGAGCAACTCTCTAAAACTAGACAGGACTGAGCAGCGAATTAAGGAGCCAAGGGGAGGCGAGCCCCAAGCCAATCCAAAAGGGGCTGGCGTCTACCCGACGGCTCTATTGGTAATCACAGAAGATTGCTTGATTGGGGAGCACACAACTACCAACAACACACACATGTCGTGTTGGGGCACTGTTCTTCAATGTGTTCGGGCGCTGCTCTCCAATGTTATTCCAGGAGGCATGCGTCCAACCGCCACCTAGGGCGGGCGTTGCCAACTAGGACGGCAACCTTAGCTGCCGTATTTTGGGTAGGCCCAACGGCCGGAAGTTGCACACAAGCGGATTTATGTTTTCGGCGTCCAAAGGCATTCCCCGGTTCCACCCGGTGCCCAAGCAGCTTGCCCAAGCCTGCCCGAGAGGTTCTCGGGCGGTTCGAGCCATGAAGCGGGGTCATAACTCATAAGCTCGAAGCAGCCGATGTCGTTTCAATGCTTTAACTCCACTGATTTGGTCTTCAACAACGCCTCAAGAGAGCGTCCGACCCCTGAAGAAAGCGTCCATGCAGCTGAAACACGCCGATCTATTGCACCCATGTGCAGTACAGCGCGTGCGAGAATCCAATTCTCGAGAATCCAATTCAATTTCTGGTCCCGCCTCCAGTCCTTTGCTGTCTTAGGTGTGCCTCCCCGCGGCTGGGACTGTGTTCCCCCTATTCACCCTTTCCTTGCAAATGCGGCTGGCCGTGTACGGTTTGTTGGCCCGCCTGATACTGCGTCCCCGCCGGCCTCCCCCTGACCCTGGATTGTTTTGCCATTGACAACCCCTATGGGTGCTCTTACCTTAGGCTCACGCCGTTGTCGACAGACTTGGTGACAGTTGGGCACTGCTGTGACACAACGCAGCAGCTTGGCAGTTGCTCTGTACAATAATTTGTTGCTTCTGTCGCGGGCTTCGCCTGAGTGCTGTTTCCCCCTCGTGGGCTTGGTGTTTGTGGAGCTGTGGCCTTGCGGGCTTGGTTTCAGGTGGTTCTGTGTCTGGCATGGCTCCTTGTTTTTTGCAAGGCATGTCCCTGGGGTAGGTTGCTTTGTTGCGGCTGCCTAGCGTGTACCGCTAGCGATTGGGTCTCTTGTACGGCTCTCAGGCTTTCAGGAACTCCGGTCCCCCTTGTAACTTTCGCATTCTAAGGCCAGTGACTGACAACTCCAGCTGCATCTGCCGCTGCATGCCCTATTCCGTCATCTTCGTCGTTAGACGTCGGCTGTAAGAGGGCCCTTGCCTGAAGCGGCCGTTGGAAGGGGCGTCCAGGGTTTACCAGGTGTAACTGATAGCTGCAAATTGGGAGACCCGAACGCCTTACCCCATCATCTGCTAGCACATTAAAACTCTAGGCCTTATGGAAAAGAGACACGCGCAGGGCAGGACCAACGGGAAGGTAAGCCGCCGGCTGCTGCCGCTGCTGCCTTTGAGAAGTCAGCGGCGCGTCCGTGGCACTGAGACGTACTCATGACAGAACAGCTACTGACACAGATTCAAGAAAGCTGCCTTGCCGAGAAGCGACTACGAAGCGCGGCGGTTGACATCCACCGGAGCGACTGAGCGACTTCGGTCAGGATGAGGACCAACGTTAGGTGGTTGTTAGTATCCTTCAACCGATTGTTACTGTACATTGTCATAACTACACCCAGGTGTTTTGATTGCAGAAAAATGAAGGCATGAAAAGCGAGCCAGAACACTGTTTTGCTAAATAAGGTATATAGACGTATCAGGTGACAAACAGTGTAGTGCTTAAAGAATTCTTTTAACATTCATGCTTGGCTTGGTAACTTGCTAATGCTCATCGCCTTGGTGGGGCACCCCTGGAGCCAGGCCCAAGCTTACTACCCAAACAGTCCCCCTGAAGCCCCTCTTTCGGCCCTGCAATAAAGCGGGCCAATCCTGCTTTATACAAACTTCTTACGCTTTCTCTTCGCGGGCCTGAGTGCCCTTTTGGTGAGCCCGCCTCTTTCTTTAAGTTGCCTAGCGCGCCGTCTCACGCACCAAGGATTCTCCTGCAGAGCAAAACCAGCAAACATGGCTGCCCCAGCTCCTGGTGAACAGCGTACCGGTTTCGATGACCGCGCCTTCGACACGAAGATGCAGGCCTTGTAAGTGCCGCCGCCCATTATGCGATGATGCTGAAAGATGCAAGGCGTCGACTGACCTTTTTACCTTCTGCACCCCGTTTTCAATCCATGTAGCCTGGGCAACAACCAGGACCAGTTCTACACCGACTGGGAGGAGAGCTTTGAGAGCTTCGACCAGATGAACCTGCACGAGAACCTGCTGCGCGGCATCTACGCCTACGGTAGGTTTCCAAATGGAAGCCTATTCTATGGTTTATCACAGCTCAGTTGCAGCAGCACAAATCGGCAAGCTTTCATTCCGAGGCTTGGATGCTTGGGCGCAAAGCTGGCGAGCGGGTTAAGGGCCGGATAGGGTGGAGCGATTGGCGCATTAAATGGCTCCCTTTCGGCCGAAAGGGGCTTAGTCCGCATGCGTTCGTGGCGACTTGCCTTTGGAGCGGTGGGGGCTACCAGTCTGCCAGTCTGGGCTTGCGAAAGCTGGTTACAACAATCGTTCTCGCAAAGACCACTTGCACATCAGGGGCATCGGTCGCACGGGAGGGCGGGAGGGAACACCGTTTGGAACATCCAATCGGCTATCAGTTATTTCAGCTAACAGACACGCATGGCCTTCCTTTGTTTTTGGAACCACCAAAAATACTATGATGGAGTCATGCTGGTTCTGCTGGCGGGAATTATCCTCCCTCGCTCCGATGTCTACGATTACCCCTGACGTCTACGTGCAACCCCTTGCCACCAGGTTTTGAGAAGCCCTCGGCGATTCAGTCGAAGGGTATCGTGCCCTTCACCAAGGGTCTGGATGTCATCCAGCAGGCTCAGTCCGGCACGGGCAAGACGGCCACCTTCTGCGCCGGTATCCTGAACAACCTGGACTACAACATGGTTGAGTGCCAGGCCCTGGTGCTGGCCCCCACCCGTGAGCTGGCGCAGCAGATCGAGAAGGTCATGCGCGCCCTGGGCGACTTCCTGCAGGTCAAGTGCCACGCCTGCGTGGGTGGCACCAGCGTGCGCGAGGATGCCCGCATCCTGGGCGCTGGCGTGCAGGTCGTGGTCGGCACCCCCGGCCGCGTCTTCGACATGCTGCGCCGCCGCTACCTGCGCGCGGACAACATCAAGATGTTCGTCCTGGACGAGGCCGATGAGATGCTGTCCCGCGGTTTCAAGGACCAGATCTACGACATCTTCCAGCTGCTGCCGCCCAAGCTGCAGGTGCGACTGCTTACTGCCCTTGGGCAGTGCGTTTGGATTGCCTTTGCACTTTAGGCAGTTCCCAATGGCTAAGGGAGCCGTAAACGGACAGCAGCAGCTCCAAGGCGATGGCGGCATCTGCAGCAGCACCAACGGCGGCAGCACGCGCAGCAACGCTTTGCGGGTCCTATCCACGCTGCCGTTTCTAACGCAGCTACCGTCTGAACTTGGGTCATTGCCCAGTACAGCCAGAGGAGCACTGGCGGCGTATGGCAGGCCAAATGTCCTATCAGAGCAGCAGTGGAGGTCTTCTGCAGGCACTGTGTCCCATGCTGCCCTTGGCGATGGCAGTTTCACGATTGTAGCCAAATCTCACTGACTAAGACCACCTGCCTTAATAACGCTGTGGGATTCGCCGTTATCCTCATCATAAGCAAGGTCTCGAATCATTCACCATGCCCCGCCTACGCTTGGTGTTCCTCACAGGTTGGTGTGTTCTCGGCCACCCTGCCCCCTGAGGCCCTGGAGATCACCCGCAAGTTCATGAACAAGCCGGTAAGTTCTGCGAGAGCTAGAAGTTTGCATGGGCTGCTGGGGTATTCGGCAATGGTTGGTCATGGTTTCACTGGCGACTAGTAATCACATGTTTGAGCCCGCTGGGGTATGCATCCGACTTAACGGACGGGTTGTCCTTACCGTACCTAACCATTCTTTGCCCACAACAGGTGCGCATTCTGGTCAAGCGCGATGAGCTGACCCTGGAGGGTATCAAGCAGTTCTACGTGAACGTGGACAAGGAGGAGTGGAAGCTGGACACCCTGTGCGACCTGTACGAGACCCTGGCCATCACCCAGTCGGTCATCTTCGCCAACACTCGCCGCAAGGTGAGGGGCTTGCTGGATTAGGTGGAACATAGTGGAGGAACCCATTTCCCTACTGGGCATCTTCAGGGCTTTGACGGGAACGTGCATACAAACTACGCGGCATGTCATACAAACTCTGGAAGTCCAGCTCCTTGTACTGAAATCCATTCGTCTTCCCCCCTCAGGTGGACTGGCTGACGGACAAGATGCGCGAGCGCGACCACACCGTGTCCGCCACCCACGGTGACATGGACCAGAACACTCGCGATGTGATTATGCGCGAGTTCCGTTCCGGCTCGTCGCGTGTGCTGATCACCACGGATCTGCTGGCCCGCGGCATCGACGTGCAGCAGGTCTCCCTGGTCATCAACTACGACCTGCCGACCCAGCCCGAGAACTACCTGCACCGCATCGGTCGCTCGGGCCGCTTCGGACGCAAGGGTGTGGCCATCAACTTCGTCACCAAGGTGGGATGGGTGCCTGGTAGTGTGCTTGCTTGCTGTATCACTGCCTCTAGGAGGCGAGGGGCTGGGTCAAAGGAAGTCGCTCGTCTTGCCAATGTTCCTGGGTGGCGTCTTGTTAATCATAATTAGGCAAGTGACTTATCACGATACATTACTTCTTTGTTTGCAGGACGACGAGCGCATGCTCCAGGACATCCAGCGGTTCTACAACACCGTGATTGAGGAGCTGCCCTCCAACGTTGCCGACCTCATCTAAGCGCTTCATGCGCTTGCTTGGGACCATGGGCCCAAGTCATAGCCTGCAGGATGCGTCGGCGCGCCGTTTGCGCGCTGCCCCGCTGCTGTTGTGCTGTATGTGCTTCATTTGCTTCAATGCCGCAGTGTTGCGCGCCTTTGCTGGAGGAAGTGTGCATGTTCCTGTAGCTAGAGAGGCGGCGTGCGGTTGCGGCTTTTGAGGTATTTGTCGAGCCCAATTGAGGCATGGGTCATAATGACTGCTGCGCCTCCACGCTGCTGATTCTACGTTATCCTGCTGGCTCTACCGCTACCCACTGACTGCTGCGTTCTTGTAAGGGCCATTGTCCTCTCTTGTGTCCTTGGCGTACTTCCGTACCATCATCTCACATCAGCCACGCATTGCATTGCAAAGAACAAAGCACAACGGAGTCGTGTTGAGGGGAGAAACCTGCAGCTCATCAATGTGTCGCCATGGTGTTAGCGTGCACATCGGCCTAAAAACGAAGACGTGTGCCGGTGTGCGTCTTAACGACAACACAGGCCGTAATTTGCCTACCACGTAGTGAGGGTCACAAAAATGTGAAACTAAGGATTCGAACCCACTAGGCGCAGCACGCTATTCGCAGGCTCAGCGCAGCATGCGCTGCACGACACTTACAACATACGTAGTACATTTGACCCGATAGGTAACATACTTTCGCCATGTCCGGCTAGATCGTTTTACTAGAGATTGACAAAGTTTCTTGTGCTGAACAAATTAGTGCGAACGGACTCAAACATTTGAGCATATATACCATTTTGTTTGTTCCGTTAAGCTAAGGACGTATCAAGAAGTATTATAATACTCGAAGAGCAGAACATAGTTTGTGTTAAAGCATGGCTGAGCCTGTGTTGCCCTGGGCCAATTCACCCGTTGAGACCGCTGAGACGCAAGCAGATGGCCAGGAGCCAGCTGAGCAGCAGGTGTCCGCGACAGGCACTGCTTTAACTCTAGAGGCAGCAGGCTTAGCGGTCGGAGGTCGTCTTGAGGTGCGAGGTTGGAAGTATCAATTTAGGATGCAGCGACACGTCACTCTCGCCGTTCCGCTAACACCAGCGCTGCTAATGGTATCGAATTGTTGCAGGTCAAGTGGCAAATTGAGCCGGACGAGGGAGAGCCGTACTCAAAGGTGCCTTCCTACCCCCCGCTTTAACCCACCTTATCCTTGATCTGACCTTGCGCTGCTTCACCGTTTCAACGCAGTGGTGGGGCGCCACCGTCGTAGGGCCTAGCGCTCAGCAGGATCCAAGTTATCCTGGTGCACCCGTGTACGAGCTATCGTGAGTGAAGCGAGTGGTAAAGTGGGTTGGGGCGTGTAGGCCCTTATGGCGTTGTGTGCCTCGTACAGAAGAGAGGCCAATCATGTTGACCTGTTATTGCACTGTAGTGAACCGGCTATATGGCCCCAAATCCTGACCCTGATAACCTTGTGCAAGGCTTGGACGTTGACCCCAGTCACCGTTACCCGGGCAAGCTGAGTATCCCCCTGCGGCCCCCTTTGCCCGCCTTCCTGAACAGGTACGACGCCCATGATGACTTCGAGCAGGAGCGGTGTCACGTTGTTTTCACCTCGGAACGTAAGTGCGAACCCACGGAACGGGGACTGCAAGGAGGGCTGGTAGCCCGGATGTTGGCGTCTCGAGGGCAGTCCCTTGACCCAATGCCCAAGAGCCGAAAGCACTATCCCCATCCCACCTGTTATCCTGCAGACACGCTGAAGCAGCTCGACCAAACAGAAGAGCTGTCGTGGCGCCGTGAGGGTGACGAATGGGAGGCTGACGAGGACGAGGGGGTGAGTTCCTTCCTTTGCAGTACCGGCATGCAACGCACTTGCAACGGCTACTTCGGGACTCCTTACACTCCTTACAGCAAGCAGCGCTGGTAGCGGCGGTTGCAGTCGCCTGATGCTTTGATCCACCTTAACCAAGCTCACTCCACAACTTCGGTTCCACAACTTTGGTTTCCATGCAGGAGGGTGCCGAGGCGGAGGGCGAGGAGGCGGCAAACAGCGAGGCTGTGCTCACGGTGGAGGACCTCATCCGGGATGAGAAGTAGGTGCTAACTTGTTGCTACGAGGCATAAACGTGAATCAGGGCAGTAAAATCAAAGGCCGTAATGCGACTGGTCCAATTTGCATGCAGTTAAGACATGCACGATGCGGTTCCTTCCTGTACTCTTCTTTATCAGGAAGTTGCCAATCGTGGAAGCCAACTCCATGGGTCGTTGTTACGTACGATTATGCGTTGGATTGATCGTGATCGTGTTGTTTCGTGTGCACCGCCGCACAAACAGGGAAATCCTGGATGGGAAGACGCTGGAGGAGGCGGAGGGCGAGGTGCTGGGTTCCCTGGAGCCGAGCAAGCGCATCGCAGTGGCGGCGGGCTTCCGGGACTTTGCCGACAACCTCATGTGAGTGACACAAACCTGAGATGCACGATCCTTCTAGATGCTGGCATGTTTACGAGGGTGCCAGGGCTGCTAGCCATGCGACAAGGGAGTAGCCTGTGCCCTTTGCTTCACGCACGGTACAGTCCCTGCCAGGGTACGGCCTCGACCACCTATGTCCCAGTGCCTGTGTATTGCCAATAACATTGCGTCTTCTCCCCCTCCGCCTGGACCCGGCCCTGTTGCTTGTTGACCGGTTGGCTTCCTGCAGATCCTTCCTGCGCGAGAAGGTCGCGGCGAGCGAGGGCGGCGAGGTGACTGTCACGCCGGAGCACGTGCAGGCATTCATGGAGAGCATGAACAAGAAGCCGCGCATTCGCTGACCTGCTGCAGCGCTGTTGCCGGACTGCTACCCATGTATGTTGACGTTTCACACATATGTACATTTCGTTTTTTGTATACTGCTCAAACGGTGGGACGTGGTTTGAAAGCCTAGGTTAGCGGTCTAGGCCGGCCTGTGAGGTGGTGTAGGGGGCGCAAAACGTGGGGTCCTGTGGGGTGCATGGTTGGACGGTCGGCCGCTGCGTTTGGGCTGCTGTTCCAACCCCGTGGCCTACCAACCTAACGCGTCATGGCCTCGGCAAAAAGTTGATCTTGTTGTAGCTGTTTACTGCGTTTGGATGCTGATGAGTTGCCGCGCAAATCGCGTGCATTGCTCAGGCTTGAAGTACTGCCAGCCACCGGTGTATTGTAGTTGACCGGCCCGCCCGCCATTGCCGTGTATTTCTCTGCATGTAAGATTACGAACCGTTCCTAATGGTTTCATGGAGGCCCAACAACAAACTGGATAAAGGCCTTGGCTGTCCGGCGACCCATGGGACCACGGCCGTACTTGTGTTGTTGTAGTCCACGTGATTTACAGTACTGACCAAGAAGCCTTACGGAGTTTCGGTTTGTTGGTCCGTTCGCGTTTGGATACCGGCCGTACTTGCATGGTGCTGTGCCCAACATGCACTCGCCGGTGTTCGCCCCTGAGCCTGCCCAAGCGAGTGTGGTTACCTTTTCCAGGCTCACGTTATGCAAGGCACACGTTCCATATACCAAACACGTGCGATATATCCAACGCGAACCAACAGCGCTACAGCATGCGGCCATGGTAACTGGAAAAAACATGGGGCATCTCCCTGTCCAAGAAGTGCTCCTAGGGACGGCCTACAAATGCTATGCAAAGCTGCGACGCTTGCATTGTGTTCTCCTTGGTATAAGAAAGGCCCTAAAATATCCGTTTACAATAATCTTTGAGTTCAAGTACCGGACATTTGCTCTGTGTGTGGGGTGCGACTGTACGCTCTTTACTTGCGCCTCCTCCCTAGACTGCGCTTCCTGCCCGGGCTTTCCTTAACGTTTGCCTTCCCGGCGCCTGCCGAAGATGGCGTCGCGATTTGAGGAAGAGGAGCCAGCACCGAAAGAGTGTGGTTAGTCAGGGGCTCAGGGCCCGTGTGGTCAGGCTGTAGACAGGGTCGTAGGGCAAGGGGAGGGGGCGCGCTAGCGACAAGGTTGCCCCTAGCGCCTTTAAGTGACCTCCGCAGCGAATCACGACGCATTGGATGGTGCAAACAAAGCGCAACAAATTGATTGCTCCGCATACGGCAATAACCCCTTTGCCTAGCACACTGCCACGGTTATCCTTCTCAGCAAACTGGTTACCTCTTCCTGTCTTCCTGTCCTTTTGACGAAGTCCCTCGACCTACATGAGCCCCTGCACCGTTGATTGCCCTCAGCCAACTGTGGAGCGGTTGACGACTTGCTTCGCTGCAGCCGCTGCCGCTCCGAGTGGTTCTGCTCCACAGCATGCCAGAAGGTGCGGTGCCAAGAGCTTAAGACCCTAACGACGGTGCCATGTGTGCGCGGCCAGCGCAGCCCCCATGACAATGAGCCATGCAGCATTCTTCAGCAGCGGAGATGCAGAGTTTGCGGCATGCTACCGGTAGTACAACATGGACATGCTCTACCCACTTCGTTGTAGGCGTACTGGCCCTTCCATAGGCAGACATGTAAGCGCAATGAGTTTGCAGACGCCGCTGAGGACAGCGACCCACGGTTCGCTGCATGGCTGCGGCGACACGGCAAGCAGGCGGTCCTGGGCGATGGTGGGTCCAACATGAAACATGGGTCCTTGCATGGGCGCACCTCAAGCGAGAAAGGCACACCCTTGCTGTAGGAGCCAGTTTGAGTTTGCAAGCATTGCCCTGTTGCAGCTGAGATCGACCGTTTGGAGCGTGCGAGCCGGGCGGTGCTTGGACCGGGGCGGGATGACGTCATGCAGTCCATGTACGGCAGGCTGGATCCGAAGCCCGAAGGTAGGCCTTGGGTTCTGGCCAGATAACATGGGCTATGCATGTGAGCATGTCGCGTGCGCTCCTTGGCGCACAGCCGCGGCGGACGACTCACGGCAGTCAATCACAGAGGTTTTGTGGTTTTGTCGCCTGTATAGGCCCTACCTACACGGCCGAGGAGAGGCGGCGCATGCTGGAACGCGAGCGTGAGGAGGCGCGAAAGGTACAGCTGCAGCTGGGTATGTGACCCACGGGTCATATACGAGCGCCTTTAGACCCGTCCCGGATGCCAAGACTTGTTATCTCCTTGATATACATGTTTGTGGGACTGGTGCTTAGGTGTAACACACGGCAGCAACCGAGTGCAGCATTTGACGGCCTCTCTAAACGGCCACATTGCGCCTCCCTATGGTGTATGCGTGCGGCCGTACGCAGGCGCGGTTGCTGAGTCGGCAGGACCAGGCCTGGGCAGCCATAACCATTGAGCCTGGCTTGGGGCTGGAATGCGCCAGGTACCGTGACAGTCGCAGCATAACCTGTGACTACGTCGAGATGTTTGACTTGCCTTGGAGTGCATTCATGCCGCAGACGCATCAGCATCAGCAGCAGTGGAAAGCACGTTTACCTTCTACAAAACTACACCCAAGCAATCAATACTTGTTTTCTACCAACATTCACAGCCATGCCATGACTGATGCTAACGCCCAACTGCTCTTGCAGGTACAAATGGCGGCAGAACCAGTCCCACGCGTACGTCTACGTACGACTGCCGCCGGGCGTCACCGCATCCCGCGTGCGTGTGGACATCAGCCCATCCTCACTGCTGCTGGCGCTGGGCCCAGCAGAGGAGCAACCGCTGTTGTCCGGTAGCCTGTACGGCGCCGTGAAAGCAGAGCTGAGCACTTGGTTTGTGGGTAAGAAAGAGGCTCCGTTGGCAGGTGGCGTTCACCATGCGTATGTTTTAACGTACGTAAGCACTAGGAATGAAGAGGGTTTGCTTCCAGGACATGGGGCATCGCCTCCCTCTTGCTTAGCTACCGGTAGTTTTGCTTTACCCTCCCCTACTGCTAATCGAGCCTCAACCAACCCCACCTCCAGACGACGGCGTGCTGCAGGTTCAGCTGCTAAAGCGCTGCCGCCGCGGTCATTACACACCCGGCACCACCAACGCCGACACCTGGTGGCGATCGCTGTGGGAGCGGTGCCCGCCTGGAGAGACCCTGGAGCGGCGCCACCCGCCCACTCGCTACTACTGGTGAGCCGCGGGTGGGGGTGAGCAGGCAGCAGCAGATGGCGGCAGGGAGTGGGTTACAGGAGTACGGAGGAGGATGCATGCCGGCTGAGGAAAGGGCTCCGAAGAATGGGACTCAAGGGCGCTATTATTAGCCGCTGTGGCTGGAGCCAAGGCAGCAAAAGTGGGACGTGTGTTTGGATTGTGATGGATGGGACTGGACGTACGGATCACAGTTCCGGGCGGGAGAGCTTGCAGACGAGAGCTCCAGAGTATGTTACTGGAGTTGGGTCGGAGATGAATAATCCTTGCCTCAATCCCTGCGCTGGTGTTCACCTAAACCTACTCCAGGGCCGATTATGAAGAGGCGGACTTGCCACCCGAGCTCCCCAGGCTGCCAGCGGCTTCGAAACTACGGCCGGCGGGCACCTCACAGCCACAACAGCTGCTACCGGCAGCGGAGGCTGGCCCCCAGAGAACGATCCCCAGCCAGGAGCCCTAATGCCTAATAGCATTGGGGCGTTCGCTCTGTGCACTGCTGCAATCCTGAGCGTTTTGTGGCAACGGCAGGTCGTCCCACCCTTGGTGGCGTCCATGTGTGCATGGGGCGGGGTATGTCTCCGGGTGCATGCGGTGCTGTTGGCGCGGTACGACGGTTTGACACACGATGAGCTGCATGGCCGCACAAGCTATTGATTGTGGGCGGCAGATGTGTGGTTTGTTAGCACCCACGACAGTGCGGCATACGCGAGGAATGGATGGGTACCGCGATTACAATGGCTGTGGCGGTACAGGCATGCGAAGGTGTCAACATGGAAAGTTAGGATCACGCACACTCAGGTTTGTAACCCCGCAAAACTTGATACATGCCACCACGCAAGCAAAAGCTTAAGGAAGAGTTAAACAGATGAGCCAAGTTGTAACATCACCCAGTGTAATAAATTACGGAGCGTAAACAGTACCTGCCTTGAAATTAATGACAACCCCAGTTGACTGGATCACAGTAACTAAACTTCCAGCAGTTCCTGCCATTACCAACTTTTGCCTGGGTGCTTTCGCGCACAAGGGAAAGCGTGTCCGCCCAGGGCCCTTGACACTGGTTTGCAATCCTTACTAATGGTCCGCTACGGCTTCGTACGCCGCTACATCCGGCAGATGGACATCCTGCGAAATAACGCCACAGCATCTACTCCCACACCAAAAAACGTCCGTGGCCAAACGAAAATTACCACGACCCCTGCGTCTAGCATGTAATGCATGTAGGAAAGGGTAGGGACAGCACGAAACCGGCTTGCCAAAACAGGATCACAACGCGCAAACATAGACAATAAGCAATTTAGGGATCGCTACCCAGGGTAAATGCGAGTACTAGAGAGGCGAACATGTCACAGCAACACCTACCGGTACCTAAACATCAAGAATTTCAGTATCACAACAGCCCTGCGAGGCGTGCTTTGACACGGACGCCCGCGACTCACACGTGTTGCATCGCTCATGGCCTCACTGCCATTGTACGGCATGCAAACGTCCTTCGGGCATCTTCAAGCCTGCCAGACACGGCCAGCCAGTAGCACCACCCTCCAGAGAGCGTTCTCATTTCAAGAAGCTCACACTGCTGACAATCTCTCACCATTCTACCAGTACGGTCCTTTCTACCAGTACGTCACGTTACGGAACGCACCGATGTGTTACTGCAATAAGACCTTCCTCTTCATCACGTGTACTGACTGTGGCTCACACGCCTCTCACACTGCGTCGCCTCCACTCGGCCTGCTGCCGTCACCGGTATCTCCCGTCTTCCCTCCGCTGCCTACCCCACTAAACTGCATGGCTCGAGGGTCAACCCAGCCAGACAACGCACCGTGAGCCAACGCAGCCGCTCGTGGCGCTGCAAAGGAGCTAGCCTCTGGGGCCGGACCCATTCTCACGCGTGCCCTGCTGCCTCCACCGCCGCCGCCACTGCCGTTGTCAATGGTCCCCCCCGCACTGTGGCGTGGCGGATGCGGATGGATGCCGCCGATTGTGGTAGCCATGGGGTCTGCTGCGCCGGCGTTGAGGGTGCGTTCTGAGGTTGCCCTCAGAGCCATACGTGGGTCCGCGGTTAGCGGACGCATCTCGCGGTGTTGCTGTCGCACAGGGCTGACGTACCTATTGCGGGTGAAGGCCACAGCAGCTGAACCTGGGCGATTTGCCCACTTTGGTGGTCGGGAAGTTGCAGTGTCAGCGGTAGCAGCAGCAGCGCCGCCATCGGTGGCGTTGCGGGTGCTGCTTGCGGGGGGTTCCGTGGGTGGCCTGGGAATCCAGGCAAAGCTGGGAGCGTTACGGCCGCCGGCGCCCTCGGATACGTCTTGTGGACTGTCCGTGTGCTGCGGCCGAGGACCCTCAGGCTGCAGCTGCGATGGACTCGGCTCCTGCGGTGTGGATGGCTGCTGTTGCGCAGAGGACGCTTGTTGTAGCTGCGACGGCGGAGGCCGCGGCGGCGGCTGCGGCACAAGGGTTACTGCGTTACGCTGGATGGCGGCTTCAGCCGGGGCGGGAGAAACCGCCACGGGACGCCGACTCTCCACCGGAGGTAAACGCATTGCAGCCAGGCTGTTGCTGCGCAGGCAGGGGGTCCCATCCTCCAGCGGTGATGAAGCAGAAGCCGTAGGAGTGCTGCCGACACCGCTTACGCTTACGGAAATAGGGGATAAGCCCTGTCGTACAGGCGTTGACATGGGGCTGCTGCTCCAAGATACCTCCTTGAAGGAAGCGGTACGAGATGGCTGCTGCTGCTGCCCGCCGGTCATGCCAGTACCTGTTGCTGCCGCGGCCGCGGCGGCGGCAGCAGCTGCAATAGCGGTGGCAGAGGTAAAGACATCGCCGTTGAGGCTGCTGCCACGATTACTGGGGCTTGGGATGTCAGTTAAGCGTGAGGTTGCAGACAACTGGCGCTGAGGGTCATGGGATGGCGACTGCAGGTAGCCGGGCGGGTCCACGACCGCCGTGGAAGCGGTGGAGGATGTGGGAGTGGCCATGGTGGCTATGGACTTGATGGCAGGAGGACTCTCCGGATCACTGGCAGCAGCGGCGGCGGCGTTAACAAGCCCGGGGCACGCATTGCAGTTGGCGTTGTGGTTGCTAAACATCATGACGGGAGTGGTAGAGCCTCCTCCAAGCCGGCAACGTGGGCTAACCCAGCCTTGCTGCATGGCATTAGACGGCTGTACGGAAGCATTCATCGGCGGCAGAGGTATCCCATGGCCCATTCCGGAGCCACCAACGGCGGCGGGGCCGCCGCCGATGCCCCCAGTACTTGCATTCAGCGGCGGCAGCGCTAGCGTTTGGCTGGGAAGACGTCGACGCAGAACCGCCATTGCAGCGGCGGCCAGGCCGGCGCCGCCGCCAATGAGCGTCGCCGCCGCCGCTGGGTCGTCGTCTCCTGCGTACGGCCTGGCAGCTTGGGTGTGGCTATATCGGTCGTTAAATTGAACCAGCGTCTGCACCTTGTCCACCATAACGAGGCCGATTTCGCCGATAAAGCAAATGATGATGAGCGCAGCTGCTAGCGCAATGCCGAGCGCGGCGTCGGCTTGGCGGTAGGCGGCATTGGTGAGCGAGCGAGCCAGCATGGTCTTGGGAAACCAAGCCACGCAGATGCAGACCAGCAGGGAGGCCACCTGATAGTTGGCGTACATTGCGATGAGCACGCCCGAAAACCTGCGACGAGTTGGGAAGGCATGAGGTTGTTGCAAAGGGGCGGGTGGTTGCGCTGGCATGGGCTGTCAGGAGTATCAGCCCGCCGCCATCGTGTGTCCGACCTCTCGACCGCAACACCATGACATGAGGGCATGACCAGAATTCTGGCCATTCCCCCTTGAGCTCAACCCCTTGCTGTCTTCACGACTAAACCCTCACTACTAAGCCAGTCTAAAAATCCCCGTACAGGACTACACGCACCCACCTGAGTCCCTTCCTCGGCATGAACAGACACACCGCCGCCAACAACGTCACCAGCGACATGGCAAGCACCTGCACCAGGCCCTTGGCCCAGCGCCAGTGTTGCCCTAGCCCGGAAGACAGGTAGGCACGATGCGTTGCGGCCTTCAGCGCCAGCAGCGACCAGGCCACCACGCTGCCCCCCAGCACCCAAAGCATGTCGGGCACCCCAAGTGCGTCAAAGCGTGCGCCAGTGACGGCCACGAGCGCAGAAAGCAGGGCAATGGCAGCGCGGGGGACCACAATGGCAGCGGTGCTCCAGAAGCGGTACTTGGGCACCTGTGAGCCCGAATCATCTCGCAGGGTCGCTAGCTGCGAGGCGTTCCACTCGGCCCAGCCCTCGGGGACGCCGCGTGCTGCGCTGCCCGCTAGCCAATCGCGGAACTCACGGGTGTCACGGAGTACCTGCGAGGAAGGAGATGGGAGGAGGTGGGAGGTTGTGCATGGTGGTAGTTGGTGGGGCCATGCAAAGAGGCAGAGGTTGAAGGGTCAGGGGGGCATATGCGGGTGGCATTGGGACGTGCATGCAAGCATAACGCACTGATGGCAAACCTCTCTACCTTCCTTTTTCCAAGGCGATTCTTGCCCATAAACAAGTAACAACGGCAACCCTAAAGAATAGCAGCGCATGCCGAAGCTGATTCTTACCTGGTTCAAGCGGAAGAAGAAGGGGGTGAACCAAAAGGGCCCCGCCAGCAACGCCGCCGCCACCAGCAGCGGACTCCACATGGCGACTGCCGGGATGGGAAGCGCATTGCCGCCGTTGTTTCCAGCTACAAGGATAAGCACCACCATGAGCAAGATGTCGGCACCAAAGTACAGATGGCTGCGGCCGTAATTGACGTACACCTGTGTTGTTGGAATGGACAGCAGGCAACGGGAGGCAACATGGCATGCAGGGACAGCGGGACGGAAGTTAGGTAATCGTCCGGGTGAAGGAACCGGGTTAAGTATTTTTTGTTGGTAAAACATATGGAGGAAATGTTTGTTATTGGCCGCCGGGTCCGTCCGTTATGTTGAAGGCAGCCAACACCTGCGGAGCCGGCCTGGGACGGGTTGTTATGTTGGGGGGTTGACCTTTGAAAGAATGTTGACTTGTGTGGGGTTGGCCTGTGAGGTAGGGGTGACCTGCGGGGCATCGGCGGGGCCTCAACAGTCATCACACCTGGGTGAAGCTCTTGCGGCGCAGGCTGAAGCCGCGGCCCGTGGCCACGTAGCTGGCGCCGCCAAACAGCACGGCACGGCCCAGATGGAAGGCGCTCGTGGTCGACCTGGGGCAGTACAGTGACAAGTACGGCAAGGCAGGGCAAATGCTCGAACTGTCAAACGACATGAGGAACAACAGAAGAAGCCACCCTTAGATGAAACCTTTGCACTCACAGCGGCTTAACAACTCGCTCGGCCCGCACATTACCCCGGGAGATACCGGGATACCACCTGATATGGCCTGATCTCCCAGACAATTGACAACCTGCACAAGCTACACCTGCCCTCACCTGAAGATGTGGAACAGAAGCCCGCCCGCCACAAACTGGCGGGCCACGGTAGCCAATGCCGCCGACAGCCCCGACTCAAGCCATAGGTTGAAGATGTAGCCTAGCATGGGCATGGTGCCCAGCTGCAAGATCTGTACGGCACCCATGGCACTCGCCAGACTGTACGGCAAGGAGATGGATGGGACATCAGGCAATGAGAGTTGGTTTGGATAAGGGCTGGGACTCGAGGATTGTAAAATGGAGCAGCAGGAAGGCACCGAGAGGCGAGTTGCGGGGGTGAAGAGCAGAAAAAAAGGCATGTCTGCAACGAAGGATGCAAACTCCACAAAGTACAGTACAGATGCGTAGGTAGGGTTCTGATCCTCTCTACCTCAGGCAACGTCTGTCGTACCCACCTGCCACCCGTCTTGCCCACTCCGCCAAGTAGCAGCAGCAGCTGCACCCACACACCCAGTCGGATGGTGAGCACCGTGAGCCAGGTGTTGATAAAGTGCCCCGGAACGGTGAAGTACAGTGACATGCAGCGGAAGAAGTCGGTGTGGGCGCCCAGGAAGCGCAGATCCCGACTCATGAGCTGCTCCGCGCAACCCTTGGAGATCTGCACGGGGGGGGGAGCGGCATGCAAGCAGAGATGCCCAAGTGTTGCGGGATGGCAACTTACATCTGAGGCTGCTAGGAACGCTACACGCTGGGTACGAGGCCTCAACCAAGGGAACAGGGCTTGGCCTGTACTCCAACGGCTTTGCTTGGTAACTGTGAGGAGCAAACAGGTGATGACGAGTGCATGTGCCCACTCCACGCCTCACCTTCCCCTCGAAGCCCAGGATGGAGTCCAGCCCCATATCTCGGCCCTTGCCCACGCTGATGTACGACACGTACTTGGACAGACCGCCGCGCTTCAGTGCGTTGTAACCACCAAACACATCCTACGGTCAAGGACAGGAGGCACGAGCACGAGCACAGATTACGGCAAGAGAACAGATTACGGCACGAGCGGGAAACGTACGGCGGTCCGGTGAGGCACTCTGGCAGCCCCAGGCTAACGGACATATCCAGCGGACGGGATGACCCCAAACACCCGAATAGCCCTTGGAGAGGGAATGAAAGGGCATCTTACTCTTATTGAGGGCTGCCAACATAGCAGGTGGTGCCGTACAACCTTACCTCAGATACGTGTTGTACGGCATTGGATTTGCTGACTCCGCCACGTGTCATGGAGAACAGTCGGTTCCACAGGTCAGGGTGACCGTAGTGACTCCGTACGGCACCTGCGGTAGATAGGAGGCAAGGAGCAGTTGGGTTACCTGGGCTGTAGCGGTCGCATGCAGGATGCGGGAGACGCATGGGTGGTGGAAGGTTGCCTGCCGTGACACGACCATGTCCTATGAGGAGCCCCACCCCTCTGTGGGATCCATTAGATGCCGTACTCACTTGGGAAGGCCATAACTCGCTGGAGTTGGGTCCTGCAACAGACAGGGGCGAAGGGTTGGGCGATAAGCTCAATCGGTTAAGGAAGATAAGCAACATAGGGTATACATCCATACAAGTCCTGCGTACAGGTTCGGCACAATCGTACAAGGCCACGTACCCGAATGTTCGCTCCGTTGCGGCTGCCAGGTCTGCCAAAAGACCACATCTACAAGGGAAAAGAGGTCGCAGAACACCGTGAATAACAGCGAGGACAGGTAAGAAGCAACTGTGGCAGGAGGCCATGAGCCCCTCCCGGAGTACGTTAATAGCTGTACATGCAAAACGTCTTTGCTGCGGCAGGCAGAGAAATCCATTGCCGTACAGTTCGTACCTGTACGAGAAGATCCACTCCGGGTAGCCAAGCACTGCCACCTGTTGCTTCCGGCGCCTGGGCCCCAGAGGCTCGAACTCCCGGGTAGCGTTGCGAAGCTTGAAGGCCTGACAAAATATAAATTTTACCAAGTTCAACGTATGCACAGTAGGACACGCCCACAGTACGCGTGCACGCGTACACACTTCATGTACGGCAGGACATACGTAGGGCACGCGTTTCCACGCCCGGATTTCAAATGCCTCCTCATAGTGCAGTCGCCGCATTGCCGGTGCTTAGCAACGGCGGGGTCCCATTCACAGCCCATGCAATCACAAGCCTACCACGAAACCTTCAACACCCACACGCACACCTCCCACCTGCGCCAGTGAGTTGTCTTGGTTCATGTCAATGGTTTGTAGCAGCACTCCGGGGCAGTACGGCACTGCGGTATTCTGGTTCTCGGGCTTTCCCTCGCCTAGGATCACTCCCACGCCACTGCCGTTTGTATCGTAGTAGTTGACGGGCAGCCGCTGCCTGTAGAGGGCAGACACGCGGTATGATGCACAAGGCAGTTGCAGTCTCTGTACCACGAAACAATCCCCAGCATGAAAGCATCGGGCGCATGCTTTTCATCCAGGGCACATTGAGCCCAACCTTCATACGGAAACAGGCCAAAGCCAAAAACCTGAATCAAGTAACCGCTACACCGACGCCTTGCTTGTGATAAGCGGCGCAAAGGTGCAAGCTGATTTGGACACACCTGAAGAGGACCTCCAGCTCCGCCGCCTTCAGATGCCTCAGCTGGTTCCGTCGCCGCCAGAGCCGCAGTACAGTTCCCACATCAATCTCATCTCCATCGCCCGTCCCATCCTCGCTTCCGTCATCATCTCCACACACGCTGCAACCGCCCTCCACCCAGCTTGGCGTCCCGGCCGCCGACGGCGACACGGCATTGGCCGTCGCCGTCGCCGCGCCGCCGGCGGCGAATGACGGCGAGTCGTACGGATGCCCAGTGCTGAACGCCGCCGTCGCATTGGCGCTGGCGGCGGCGGCCTCTCGCTCCGCTCGACGCTGGCGGCGGAGCTCGGCTTCCCGCTCCAAAGGTACGGCACGTACGAGCACGCTGGCTTGGTGTACGACACGGTAGGTGAAGTCCGGAGCCTTGAAAAGCGTGATGGGCTCGTCATCCTGCGGGTGCGGTTTGCACCGATGGTGTTGCTGACCGACTGATGGCTCCCCCATCAACAGCACTTCAATGCGCTCCTGCTCCCCACCAATCTGCGTATACCCTAACTATACCGTATCATATGCTGCCCTAGGGCTTCTATTCGCCCCTAAACCCCACACCCGCGCACTTCCTTCGATCCTCACCTGCTCCAAGTACGCCACCCGCAGCGCGGGGTAGCGTGTCGCCAGCAGCGCAATGCCGTGAGCCCGCCAGCGGTCCGCCAGGCTACGTGAGCCCGCCATGCGTGCAAACACCTGGCTCGACACCACCAGCCCGAACTTCCGCTCCAAAAGGGGCCCCAACCCAGGTACGACGTCCACCAGCTGAGCTACCAGCTCCTCCACAGAGAGAGCGGGGTCCTTTGGAAGGTAGGGCGAGACGGCACATGCAGCAGCAGGAGCAGGAGCAGGAGGACAAGGAGAAGGGCATGATGAGTACGTGTGTGAGTACACGAATAGGAGGAGGACAGGAAGAGCGGCTGGAGGGCAGGTGCTGCAAGTAAGCAAAGGAGGTGAGGGTTCGTACCAATCACCTATCCAGGCCCAACAGCTAGCTCACAGTTGCCCAGGGCGTAATGGGCTTACCCTTAGGATGCCGCGGACCATCATACGCTGCACTCCACTCAGGACCAGCCGCCCATCTTGGGCTTCGTCGTCCCCATGGCCACCACCACCACCAGCATTGTCATCATCGTCTCCGCAACCGCCGCCGCGGCCTCCTTCTCCGCGTCCCAGAGTTGTCTGGTTCTCCCCATGCGGCCGCAATGACGGCAAGAACGACTTTGGGGGATGGCTTCCGTTTTGGCGGCTGCAGTTTCCGCTGTTCCTGCTATTGTGGCTGCTTTTGTTGTTCCCTGCATTCATGGCATCGTGTACGGCCTGCATGGCTAGTGCCGTACGGTACATGCTCATGCCGTCGACCGTACGGGCGAGCACCTGGCCCCGGAAGGATGCCCACAACAGCAGCTGGGCCCGATGCTCGTACAACCGGCCGTACGGCAGGAAGTCATCCTGTGCAAAACAAAAAGAACGACATAGTTGCAGATCAGGCGACTATGTAGCCCGGGATTGACACTTTCACCAAGCACAAAATGGCTCATACTGGCATCCCTCAGCGGGAGACCGTCCACGAGAGTACTGACGAGAGGCTGGCAAGGTTTCGTGGCTCACCAGGACGTACGGCGGGTCTTCCTTGGCCAGTGGGACCAGTGTACGGCACCTTTCCAGCAGGTTCCGGAACTCATCTGGAAACTCCGAAACCAGGTACTGAAGCAGCTCGCTGGGCGCCCCCTCATCGCTGTTGGGGCGAATGAAGTTAAACAGGTATAGGTTAATAGACAACGGCGGAGGGGAGGGCCTAATCACGACAAAAGAATTGCCCGTAATGGTTGGGAAGGGGGCCGTAAAGGCAGGGGGGACCTACTTCTTGAAGAGCACTTCATCGTCTGCCAGGTTGCCCTCTAAGGCAGTGGCTCCCGAAGCCTCCAGCACCCTTCGCGCGTCAGAGCTGCTCAACGCATACAGCACCGTCTCCTGTGGAGGGGAGGCGCACAGTGGCGGTTATACCTGCTAGTTCCATGGCCCACTCTAACTCAGCCAATACACTCGCTGCCATGCACCCGTATTCTCTCCTTGCGAACCCCTGTAACGGTCATTCGCTCATTAGTCCCCATGCCTCACCTCCCTGCCCCTCCCTACCTGGTAGTGCGGAATGAGGGTGGTTACGGAGCGCATCCGTTCCACTCGCGGGGCGGTCGGCAGCCCCGGATGCAGCAGCCCCGAGCAGAAGTCCGCCAGCAGCGCCAGCGCCTCCGAGTTGGTGGGCGCGGTGCCCTCGTCGCTGGGGCGCAGGATGGCCAGCAGCCAGGAGGTCACCTGCGGAGGTTAGCATATGCATGCCGTGAATCCTCGTGGTGAACGAAGATCTTGTGTGCGGCACACACCTACTCGCGGCTGGGTTTGTTAACACACACATGCACACACCAAGACAGCAAGACAACAAAGACGGCAACTGTTGCAGGGAAGCGGGGATGCAGGAGAGGGACAGACAGTCCCAGCAGCAGCGATGTCGGATGGGACCCTTGCAAGTCCCGTGCAACTGCTGCGTTCAGGGTGGACGAGCACCGTGTTGGCCCGCCGACTATGGCATCCAAGCCCCGGACCGATGGGCTTGGGCCCTTGGGGTTATGGAGCACGGACCTTGGCGAAATCCTCATAGGCGGGCATGTGCTCAGCGCCCCATGTGGTCGCATTATTGCGGTTGGGGGCCACCAGCGCGCTGAATCCGCGGTCCAGGCTCGCCTTGACGGCCGGCTGGTGGTAGTACTGCTTCCCCACCACTCGGTTGCCAATGACCGTGACGTTCCAGGGGAGGTCCTTCATCTGTTTGCCGTACATACATGGCCAGGAGGATGCGTTTGGAAGGGCATGCAGAGCAGCAGTTGTGGTAAGCAAGCAGAGCTGGTAGGAGAGGATTTAGGACAGGCTGGGGTGAGGCAAGGAACCAGGAGGCAGGTATACAAGCGTACGTAGCAGCGCAAAACAAGTTCCCCCCCCTATCCTAGCCTAGCCCGACACAGACCTTTGTCATGCCGCGCGCCACCGCGTGGAGAGCCATGCAGAGCTTATCGACTGCCCGGCTGCGGTTGTTGGCAGCTGTGCTGGCGGCGGCGGTCGCAGAGCAGCCTCCGCCGCTTCCCCCCTGCAGCACCCCCGCCGTGTCCTTGTACACCTGCACACGTACCGCAACGCACGCAAGGTAACAGTTACCACGCACGCCAGGATGCGTCTTTTCATCTTGTCCTGTTAACATGCCAGCAAACATCCATCCGGCAAACACAGTACGTTCCGACTCGCGGGCAGTTCTATCACCTCACCTCCACCACCCAGGCCACACGTTCCCCGCCTTGGCCCCAAACCGGCCTCACCTTCCTCACCTCACCCCCAACCGGTCTCACCTTCCCCGCCTCGCCCCCCAACCGGTCTCACCTTCCCTGCCTCACCCCCAACCGGCCTCACCTTCCCCGCCTCCAGCAAAGCCCGCACCAGCGCGACTATACCGCCCAACAGCTCACGCCGAGCCACGAGGTGCCGGTGGCTGGGTGCGCGGACCCGCATGCTGGCAAACATCTCTGGATGGAAGTTGTTCTTGTGTAGGTCGGGACAGAACACGGCAGCCGCTTCAGCGGCCGCGGCGGCAGCATCGCCGTTGTCATAGTAGCTCCTGAGCTCCTGTCCGCGGCACGTCACAACAGCTCAGTTCAGTGTCATCAACCTTCGCCATTCCCCGTCAACCCCTTTCCTCAACGTGTCTATCTCCTGATATCCCTTATCCACGGTCCTCATCAATGTTCCTCACCTTCTCCGCCGCCGCGGCGGACCTAGGCACCGCCCGCACCGCCACCAGGAGGTGTAGCAGGTACATGTAGGCCTCCTGCAGCACCTCCAGCTGCTCCGAAGAGCCAGAGGAACCCGTCATAATCAGGTGCGGGATCTGGGCTGCAAAGGCGAGGGCGGGGGGTGTGCGGAGGCGCGGAAGGTGCAAGGTTGAGGGCAGGGATTTTTGGAGGGTGAGGCGGCGGCTGCGTTGTGGTGAGAAGGGAGCGTGAGCAGGCAGGATGTGTGGGTGGGGTGTGTTGGTTAGAATGGAGTACGGGTTGCAATTTTGCCGAGTGACGACTGCGTGGTAAATATCTGACTGCGTGGTAAAGATCACGCATGGACGAATGACCCATGGGTCGGCAGAATATCCACGGGTGCTCGCCTCACCAGCATGCACTCGGCTTCTTCGGCTTACCTACGTACACGGCCACCGGTGGCAAGTAGGTCTCTCGAGGAAGCCGAGCGCCATCACGGCGTCCTGCACAAACGTGTGGGCGTGGTTCCAGGCCACAGTCAAAGCTACCGTGTCTAATGACGAAAGAGATAAATTCTTGGCGAAAGACAAGACACTGTTTGACAAAAAGCCTAGCATGCATTGACAAGCCTACCGGTAGATGAATGGCTGGTATGGAAGCAAGAGCAGATTGCCAACCCATGCTTCATCGAGTCATAGTACTCATCACGCAGACCCCCTCGTCATGCTCCCATGCCCGCCCCCCTTTCCACCCATGCCTGCCACCCCAGACCCCACCCTCTGCAGCCGCTGCAGCAGCGGCCGCGTTGGAGCCGCCTCGTCGCCAGGTGGCCATCATGAGGGAGGCGGGGCTTAGTGACACGGCGCTGAAGGACAGTGCGGCGAGCTCGCGGTCTGACAGCAGGTCGCGACCTCGCATGGAGCGGACCACGGCGTTCCAAAAGGGCGCTGTGATGGCTAGGGTCTCCTGTGTATCGTTGAGAGCAGAAACAAGAGCAAGCAGTTGGGACAGGGTATGGATGCAGGGGACGGGAGGGGAAGGGATGATAAAGGGATGCAGTGCGGAGGGTTTTCTGGAATCTAACCCAGCAAAGAGCTGTCAGTTGGCAATTGAGGACGGGAAAGTTTGATAAGTATGTGCATGAAGTGCATGCGTGCAGGTAGAGATCTAGGCGGCCCATCCCAAGAGGCGATGGAACGGCATCAGCAAGAGCATGAGGACGCACCTCTCGTTGCTCCCAGCTCTTGGGCCGGTTATCCACGGGAGGCGGAAGACACTTTGTCCACCGCAGCAGTTTCACAACCCACGAGTACGGCAACAGCAGTACTGCAAGTACCGTACGGTAAACAGCGCGGACAACGCAAAAGACCCAGGAGCGATTTTCCTGGGCGCTGGTGTCCTCCCTGTTTGTAGGCAGGGCAACGTGGACTTAACAACGACCACGGTCCCTTAGCAAGTGGGGATTGTGATGTACGGTAATCAAGCAGGATGGCCGACTGGGAGCGACTCATGCAAACCCTGCCCTAGTCAACATCGAAAACCAGGTGAATAGGTGATAGACTCACGTAGAGAGCAGCTTAGCGCGCATGGCTGCTTGCACGCGGTGAAAGCCGGCTCGGATGTGGCCCCAATTGCGGATGGATCCAAGGCCCTGCCGTACGCCCTGCAGCGTGCCGCAAACCGCGGATGCCACCGTGTACGCCACCCCAGAGCTGACCAGGCTCAGCAGGAACAGCACCACAACCTGCAGATAAATACACAAGCAAGGGAGAGGAAACCAAGGAAATACATGATATCAACCTACCGGTAGTGTTCATCTCAAGTACGGTAACGGCACATCTGGTCATGCATGGACAACAAGATAATGACATGGGTTAAGACGTACGAGCGGCTGGGCACCCTCATGAGCCAACAGCAGCTGCGAAAGGAGTCAAGCACCCCGACAAGAATCTGACACCGCTACCATCACGGATACCGTTACTTTCCAGCCACCCCATACCTGTGCAGCGGCCAGACAGGGATCTACGTCGACCTTGAACCGCCGGGACCACCCCTCAGGCCACCAGGACCACCCAATGTGGAAGGACCATGCCAGCTTACTAAGCGCCATGATCTCGCGCAGCCTTGGACCCGCGGGTCGCACGACGATGAAGTAATCAATGACAAATTTGAGCGCCAGAGCAGAGCCCCACAGAGCTGCATTGCCAACCAGGTACTTGGGGCCGGTACGGAGGTGGGCGGCCGGGTCGTACATGGGAGAGGCGCAGGAAGACGCGGAGGAGGTGCCTCCGCCCGGCATTAGGCGTAGGAGGACGTCGTAAAAGTGGGAGCGAGCGTAACCGCCCAGGTTTAGCTGCCTGCGTACGTGTTGTATTGGAATGGGAGAGGTTGGTAATGGAATCGGCTGCGGCCCGGCGGGATCAGGCGAGGTTGGGGTAGCTGGGTCAGCAGGGGGTTACTTCAAGAACCGTTCAACACCTATTAGTTTTTACATCTTGAAGACTACAACTGTATACCGCAGAACATCTAGGGCACAACATGCGGAACATCTAGGGCCCAGAAGCCCTCCCTCGCTCACCTGTACAGCAACTCGTACAGCAGCAGCGCTCCGCCGTACACCACCGCAATCCACCAGTAGCACGAGCGGCCCCAGAACAGCGGATAACACTACAGGGAAGAAAGTGACGCCATAACCCGAGTGCAAGGCATTCAGCCTGGAGGACTGCGAGCTTGTCAAACGGTCAGAATGGTTTCTCACCTCCTAGGCGCCCCTAGGCAAATTGGCTAATCATACCAAGCAGAAGATGACACCCCAAACGACGCACCTGAAAGCCATAAAAGTCATGGTGCGGCCACACGATGTACGCAACGTAAAGGCCTACGCCCAGAGTGGTCCAGCAGACGACCAGGAGGTACAGCTGCATGAGCCACCACATCAGTCCGCGGGAGTCGGAGGGGGCAGCGGGGCCCGATCCCCGATGGGGCCGACCTGGCCGGCAGTGTTGGGGAAAGGGAGGTTGGTTAGCGGTCTTTAACATGTGGATGTGAGCGTGGTCATGTGAAGTTTTGCCAAGGTAACATGCACTCACCTAGTGAGGAGGCGTAGAAGGGGATGACGGCCCCTGATCGCTTCATACGGGCACCAGTCGACAGCACAGCCTGCGGTAGCGGGGGCGGGGATTCACATGCGAGTATTGCATGTAAACTGTTACCGTATGTGGGCGCGCTCAGGCGTGATAGCATTATGAGACGTGATAGCATTTGAGCGATAGTAGGCTTCACATTATGCATGGTGGCAAGCATACACCCTGCTTATACCTTCAAAGCGAACATCCAGCATGCAGCGACAATTCCATGCATCCAGCAGCTCCTCAGTACCCCAACTTAAACCTTCCACGACTCCCTCACCATCACTCCCCCGGCACCGGCACGCACCTGCATGGTCCACAGCAGGCAGCATGAGCCCCAGTGCAGCGCGGCTCCCGAGGCAATCCAATGCATCATGTTCTTTTCACTCGCCCAGCTCTGCAGTAGTGCATCACATCAAAAGGTTGGGAAGGAAACACCAGGACGTCACAGCAGAGACAGGGCGCCGGATCCCAGCAGTAAGGAACGTTAGCTAGGACAAGAATGGCTCATTGAGTTACCAACAAGTGCCGTCCTTCGGCTTTTCCCATTCCATCTCCGCTTTACCATACCATACCATACCATCCCCAGTGAGGCCTGCAGCCGTTCTCACCCAAACGCAAAGAAGGTAAAACCACACCAGCTGGAATTGATACACCCGCGCAAAGGCAATCAGCGGCATCGCCAGGCTGCGGTGCTCCACAAACGTTTTGCGAAGCACGTGGCGAGCCCACCAATCCGCAGCCGCATTGGCGCGGCGGAGCGAAGAGAGCTCCGAAACAGCCTCCTGGGAGCTCCCGGAATGTACGGCAGCCGACTCCTGTCGTCGTACGAGGGATGCAAAGGGAAGAAAAAGAAGAAGAAGAAGTAGAGGGTTGGCGAGGGGCCAGGCGGCCGGCAGGGGCATGTGTTTTGGGTTACCAAAGGATGGACCGGCCATGACAATACCGACACTTGCATTGCAGCCCTCGTCAGAAACAAGGCACACGTAGTAAGCATAGAAGACAGAACCCACCAAGGTAACCTCTTTGTTAGCGCCGCCGGTGTTTATGCCGGTCGCGCCCTCCGCCCGACCCATGGGTCGATTTGCAGCAACATCATCACTACCGCCATGCAGCAGACGCAAGAGTTGGGGCCGGTAGTGCGCCATGTCTCCCTGCCATGGAATGCGAGCCGCACCAGCAGAAGGCAGATCGCCTGCAGAAAAGGTGGAACACACCGAAAAGATCCTAGATTTAATAATCGTCGCTGGAACAAACGTCCACTGGTAATTTTGTTACCAGTTTGTTGGCAGTAGCGCTTGCTTGCAAGGTAATCCATCGTTACCACATGTCGTCAGCATTTCCAAAACCCGCACTCACTCAAGGCGAGCAGCCGAGACCAGTAGAGCTCCTCGTCAGAGACAGCAGCACGCGGCATCACTTGCTGCCGATGCTGCTCCTGCTGCTGCTGCTGATGCTGATGCTGACTCACTCCCACACCCGCACCCGCTGCCGCCGCTAGCGGCTGCGATTGCGCACCGCCGTGCAGACCGCTGCCCCTCTGCTGCTGCGCCCCTGTTTCCACAAACACCGAGGCAGTGGTGGTGGCCCAGGGCAGGCACGCCAACGCGGCTTCCACCACGTCTGGATGCGCCATCGATTCGCTGACGTCATCGTAGCTGATACGTACAGCTGATTCTAGGCCCTGCCTCCGAGCCTGTCCGAGCTCAAAAATTTGCTCCGTGAGGAAAAGGAACAGCGGCTGCACCACCTGGGAGAGAAAAGGGGCGGGGAAGGGCATGCAAAGCGAATGGGAATATGGCGGCAAGGCATGATAAAGCAAAGACAAGCGGATTTGAGGAGTTTGGGTGCTCTGATTTCGAACTGCGATGCATGGAAACGCCTCCACGGGAAGCATCATTGCCAGCCTCGGGTGTGTCCCCTTACCCGGCTCAAGAAAGGCGTGCCGCATGTTGCGTTGCTGCTGCTGCCACCATCTGGCTTGCCGCCATCTCCCATGTCTTCACTGCCGCTGCTGCCACCAGCAGCCAGAGCTGCTGCCACAGCGGCCTCATTAGGGCAGAACCGCAGCAGCAGCTCAGGGTAGTCCCGCACCGGCTGCTTGGGGTCCCAAACCGGCGACATGGGGGTGCTTGCCACGGGGCCTAAATGCTGCGGTGTGGCAGGGAAACATGTTGGCGGCGGCGCCAGCACAGCAGCCACCAGGCTCTCTGCTGCGACAGGAATGGCGAACGCGCTAAAGGGAGGACCAGCAACGGCCTTGGGGGTGCTGTTATCGATGTTGCTGGTAGGAACGCTCACGGCCGGCGGGAGCGGCAGGGAGGGGGAGGCTGGCGACATTCTGCGTCTGCCGCCGGCGTCCAAACAGGCTGCGGCCTGGGCGGTTGTGGTGGTTGTGGAATCTGTTGCGGAGCCGTTATCCCGGCCTGCATGTACGTCGTCGGAATGGCTGCTACCGTTGCAGCTACTGCCGCTTCCCGGAACCGGATCCGGTGAGGAAGACCGGTCGGGGAACTGGGATCCTACACCCTTGCCGTACTGGTTATCCGCCGAGGGCGCAGAGCCTTCCGACGTTGCACCAACTGCCGTAACTTCAACTGCAGGCGTTACGCCTGACGGCAGCGTTAGAGTTGCCTCCGGAAGCAGATTGCCCCTGTCGTACACTTGGCCGCTGTAACCACAGCCACGGGCCGATGTACGGCGATACCTGGCGTGCAGTGCTTGTACGGCACGAGTCAGACCCGGACCTAGGGCCGCTAGCCACGGCTGCTGAGAGAGCGCTGCAAGCGCGCCGTGGTGCAACCTCAGGTGGAAAAGCACCTGCGAAGCAGCGAAACATGTTAAGAAGGCATTGTGCATGTAAGCCGTACGAAACCATGCGGGACAGATGGATTGACAGGTTAGGAGGGATTAGAGGTCCGGGAAAGACAGGGATGGTGATGCGCGGTACACGCCACACCCTGTGGCATCTTTAGGTCAGAGCTTAGGCAGGCTACCGTAGCAGGGACTGGTTTGTCAGGATAAAGCACACGAGGACAGCACGTCCCTGTAAACGTTCGGTCATATAGACGCCATAAGCTAACCTGCTTCGCTTGCCAGCTGCTCTGAGCACAGTAGTAGATAAACCAAATCATCTCCGGCGTGTGGCGTAGGTTGGCAGCCTCGCTGTACACTAGCCAGTACAATGCAAGGTCCTGCGGACGGGAAAGTACGAGCAGCACACAGCACAGGCGTGGATGGAGCCTTCTAGTGGCCATTATGTACGGCACATCCAGGACAGACATGTACCATGTTTTGCAACTGTCACAGTGCTGCGACAGCTTACCGCAAGCTCATAGTGCAGAGAGTCCGCATTAGGCTGTGAATGCGCAGGCCGTTTTGCCGGGCGAAGCTTTGCGGCCTTAAGCCATGTCTTGTATGTCTGAAATATGGTGCCATGCAGATCGCGCACGGCGCACGCCAGGCCCGCCAGGTCAGCTGGTGTATCCGGTGCAGCTGCAAAGCAGTATCATGGTTAATTAAAAGGCAACAGTTATTATCTGAGTACGGGGACACCGAGAGAGCAGGACCTCGTTTGCTACGAAGGCGCCTGGTGCCGCCCGTTCAGGGCTGCTCTTTAGGAGGTAACAGTGGGCCGTTATAGAGAGATGAATGGCCATGACCATGGTTCGGCTCACCTTTAACCGTGGTCCTGCTTGCGACATCCTGCAGCGCTGCAGTGAGAGTGTGTGTCGCGATAAACACTGTAGAGGGAGAGTACGTTGTTCCCCCATTGGAGGCTTCCTGCGTCGAGAAACGGTGTAGTGGGGGGAGGGGTAGTAGGAGGTACCTAGGCACGTTAGCGTGACCGAGGGGAGAAGGCGGTTGGCGCTTTGAGCAAAAGGACACTTCCTAGGCATACACGTTAACAATCCAAAAACTTATAAGCAACTGCGGCAATGTGAAACGCAAATCGATGCACAGTTTCAGGTACGTAGTGTGCGTGGGTACCAGGTAAGTCCCATCAGGACGCATCAGGTCGGCTCCTCCTACCTTCCGAGCAGCAAAAACCTGAAAACCGAACTGGAGGCCGAAGCTCAAGCAGTACTGCGTATTAGTTTAGAAAGCAGCGATATGTCAAGCGCCTTGCCAAGACTATGCGCGCATGAACCGCTAATGACATCTTCGAGGCATAGGCTCTGTCGATGGTGTACACGCCATAAACGGCCTACCACATAAATAGAATATCGTGAACCAAGTCCTCACCGTGACAACAGCTTCCTCCCATTCATCAAGGCTGCCGCCCGCCACCGACATAATGTGCTTGTGAGTCGACCCGACAGAGAGCAGCGCACATCAATGGGCTTTTACTGACATCTATGTGTGTGTCGTTCACAGTCCCATTGCAGGTTGTTTCCGGAGAACATCGCAAAGAGCGTCGGACGTAGCAATGGTCGAGTTGAAACCGAGGCTACCCTACTATTTTTAATTACACTTTTATGAAGGCGAACCTTCTGTCCCAATCTGTATGAACCTGCACGAAAGTCACACGGCTGTTTCCATGCGGTTGGCTGCAGATCCATTAACGGTATGGATTTAATGCCGTAGCTGCCTCGAAGCTGCGAAGCGGGAGTGCATTACTATGCACAGCGTTTGCTCGACTATGCATAAAATAAAACAATATGTATGATGAATTTCTGTTATATCTGTGGCATCGGAACTTCCCCGGCGAGCCATTGAGGATGCACGGAAGTGATCGCCGCAATCGGAGCTTTGGCTAAGGCTCACCTAAAAGTAAACTCATCTGTTCCGACTGAAAATGCTCGACTCAGATGTAACGGTTGTTTGCCATCTTTCAACGGCTCCTGAAGACCCGGTGCAGACGCCTCATATACAGTGCCTACGTCCGTCCTTTACCGCATCAAGCCACTTTACGGTGTCCTTTGCTTCTTCCTTTTCATACTCATAAAACTCCTAGTCCGTAAGCAGGTTCGTTCGGTATACCGTAACACGCTGAGGCGCACACCTGCATCTCACGAGCAGCTTAAACGCAAGCCAAGCGCGCACCACATTCGGGGCCCCTGGCTACAAGTGCTAAGTGCATGTTGGCTTTTGCCATTACACATGTGGACTTGAGCAATGTTTGCTAGTACGAGTTTCCATTCAGGGCCTTCCCACCCTGGAGGCCGATAGCAATGCCATCGAGGACGTCGCAGCTCGTACAAGCAAGTTCTTCGCCTGCAAGGTGACTTCACAAGCACCCGTGACAGCGTTTGCCGTTGCAACAGAAGCCCCTCATACCTCTAGGCACGCAGATATGATAATCAATTCGCCCACTACAGCTTCATGTGGAACATCACACATATCCATCATTCCCACCACGCACCCAAGCGCAAACCATTGAACAAACAACCTCCTTACCTACCGCAATTCAGTTCCTTGCGGGAGCCGCACGACCTCAACCCGCCATTTCGGGTTTGGATTTTTGGTTGTGCTGTGCTACCAAGCCACGCGAAATACGACAGACATATGCGACATAAAAGGCCATTCCCATTGCAGCATACTTGTGTGTTGTGCATGGTGAAACACCAGAGCTGGCCAGGCTCTAGTCGCTGCAGAGGACATGAATATAAAAACGCTGATGCACCAATCGCGATATCCAGCCAGCCGCGCTCAGTTCATACATGGAGAAACGAAATCCTAAACAACATTGGGCCAGCCCCTGCAAGTATGGCAGAAACGAAACCATTCAGAGCAGCCTGAACGGCCACGATCTCGTTCGAAATTATGGGCACCGCCCACAAGTATCCTTCCTAGGTAACCTAGGCAAACACATCCAGACTTCTCGTGATGAGAGGCGCCCTCTTGACAATGGGGGGTAATCGAGGTAAAACCAAGCGCAGATGTACTTGGCATTCCGCCATTTTAGCGGCGACATGGTAGCCGTCGCATCTCGCATCCCTATCTGCATACCAGAAACGCCAAGCCTTATCCCCAACAACCCGCAACAACGCATGGCACATGCGAACGTTGCAGGGCGCACAGCGAAATTGTGACACTGACAACCAATCCAAAACCCCTAATCCCTCGATAATGTATAACTCCGAATACCTAACTACCCCGCGAAAGGCAAGTCGCGGCACTGACAACCAACAACAGCCCAAGAATGCACAAGTGCAGTGGCCTCATTCAGTCGTGTAGATACTGCCCACAAACGTATTAGCAAATCGTGTCAGCAGCGAAGTGACCCATCCAGCCATGTACGCAACGCTAGAAACCCATTAAGATGGCCCCCATGTACGGTAAGTCCCAATGTTACCTAAACCACACCCTGCATTGCAAACCGATTTAGTTGTTCCGCATGTTGTTCCTACTGCAAGTGCGACAGGACCGCCGCAACTTGCTACTGCTTTGAATTTGGCAATACACAACACTACCCCCACACATCCACGGCCTAACCCATATGGGGTAGCAGGAACCGCCCTCCAGCGGCCACCATGGCGTCCGGGTGCAGGTGTGGCGGCGGCACCGATGCCCAGCGCACAATCGTGAACCGCAAGAACACCGACTCCCAGCCAAGGGTGCTTGTGGTATCCACCGTGACGAACTTCGGCAGCAGGATGATGTCGACGCCCTTTGCCTTCAGCCGCGCGCGCGCCGAAACCACCGCCAACATGGCCACATGCATGGCCTTGCCGCCGGCGGTAATCAGCACGGCACCATTGCGCTCGCTAACCAGCTTGGAGATGATGTTCGACACGACGTTGGGTCGGCTGTGCGCGGTAACCTTGACCGGCAGGTTGCCGGCGTCGTGCAGCTCCTGCAGCTGCGGGACCTTAAACACGTCAAACGCCAGCTCGCAGCGCTCGTCCGTTAGCGCCTCCTCGTCCAGCAGCTCATACGCGTCCAGCGGGTTGAGGCCCTTGTTAGCCGTGGGCAGGCCAGCCGCCGCCATCAAGCCGCTGTGCAGGCCCAGGTGCAGGCCAGCCGCGGCTCCAAGCGCCCCGCCGTGTGCGCCCTTGGCACCTGCCATCATGCCTGCCATGTGATGATGGCTTACGCCCATGCCAGCTGCGGCAGACAACACGGCCGCAGCTGACGTTGCCGCTGCTGCTTTCTTGTCGGGCGACAGGTATTGGTGGAGATCGAGAAGGTCGAGGCGGCGGTCGAGGTGCCGCAGGTACGGCTGGAACCCCACCTCGTTGCCCATGCCCTCATTGCAGACGTAGCCCCGCGCTACGGCAATCGCCTTCACGGCAACAGAGATAACCGTGGTGAACGACTCCGTCTTCTTCTCCGTGTACACGGGGCAACACTGCCCTTGATTCGAGACGCGGCCTAGCACCTTGGCAACGGCGCCGGCTGCGTTCTTAATGGCTGTGTCCTCCGTAACAATCACATAGTCCGCTTTGCGTGCCCGCTGCTGCTTGGAGCTGCCTGCCGCCACAGCAGCAGCGGCAGCAGCGGCAGAGCCCATGGCCGATGATGCTGGAGAGCCGTGAGGGTACGGCAGCTGCCCGGGCGCCATGACATGTGCCTTTGGAGCCGCTGCAGCTGACGCCATGGCTGCCGGGAGGTGCCCTTGCGCCATGACCGCGGCTGCACCGCCGTGCATGTGCATTTGCTTATGCTGCGGCAGCGCTCCGACGGCAGCTGACGCCAGGCCCTGCGCATGAACCATGGATGGCTCGCCCGAAGGCGTCATGAAAGCAGTCGGCGGCTTGGGCGCCTCAATTTGGTGCTGGAAGCATGGCAGCGGTGGCGTGATCGGTGTTAGCTTCAGCAGAAAGTAGTTTTTGGGCCCCGATGCATCCGCTGTGTAGTCGACCTGTGCAAGGGGGTGGCGGCAGCAAGGGCGCGGTAGTTTAGACGTCTGTGGGCCATGCGCTAAGACACAGCAATAAGTCAATCGCAAAGGTACTAGCTCGGAAAACAGCTTCTACAACTGCTGCGGAATACGTGGCCTAGCCCTCATGCTCCTGTACCAGCATGTGCATTGATGCGGCTTTGGGGTGTGCAGGCACAGGATCTGCCCTTCAGACCCCCTCCTTCGCCTACCGTAGACAGCAGCAGGAGCACATCACGCCCGTTGTTCGCGAGGTTTATGCGCATGATTGAAAGCGCCTGCAACGCCACTTTCGACGCCTCCGCAGTGAAGATAACCTCGAGCTGCTGAGTCCCCGTCTGCAGCATGTTGAACAGCGATATGCCCGCTACGAGCGGGTTGCTGTTGACATCTATCTTCAGTACAGATCCCCGCGGCTTCTCCTGATTAAGGGAGCACTTGTAGATCAGGAGGCCTATGCCGTCGGCTGCATCCGAGACCAGGAACGGCACGAAACCAAGGTCGAAGCGTGCCACGGCCTGCTGGTTTATTTTCCGCGCGGCCAGAACCACGCGAAGGGCTTGTGTAAGGACAGCCACGCTGGTCGAGCCGCTCTGGTCCAGTTGCGTGTTCAGGACAAAGGACGAATGCGCAGATTGCGAGAAGGTAAAGTTTACCAAGCCCGCAGCTTGCATAGAGTCTGTAACCTGCATAGCGATTTACAGGTTAAAAGTGTTTGGGTTGCGATTTGTGTACAGGGCTGCGAGTTCCCCATGTGAGCAAGAAAATATGGTCAAGTTACCTGCGTAACAACAATTTGCGTAGGAAGGCTCGCCAGCTGCTGCATAACAGTTGGTTGCTGCTGCATGCTCTGCGAAGGGCTTGCGCCGGCCTGCACCAACTGGTCCAGTGCTAGGCTAGGCAGAAGCTCCTCCGGCTGCGACCCCGACGCAGCTCCTCCATCAACATCCCCCAAAAGCATCTGCTGCAAGAGCAACTGAGCTCCGCTATTCTCCTCAAGCGCATGCGCAGCTGCCCCGCTCCGAGGACGGTCCGCATTGTCTAACAGGTGAAGTTGTTGCTGTTGTTGCTGCTGCTGTTGCTGATGTGTCAACTGCGTCAGGGCCTCGACCAGCGCGTTGGCGCTCATCTGCAAAGTAGCAAGGTGCGTATGACTGGGAAAGCGCCTCCATCCAACATTTACCGATACGCACATCGCCCCGAGACGAGCTCAAAGACAGCAAATGTATAGTTTCTGAAATTCATACTGTGGCAGAATCGTGGTCCATAGCTACCCAAGCAGACGCGGGAAACGCAAACTGACGCCCAAAGACACGTTCCTCCTTCAAGTGAAATATCTTATAGTAACTTCCTTACCTCTATGCGCCCACGCCTGGCTTGCTTGGCCCTAAGTTGCTAAAGCTTGCACGGAGTATGGCGGTGGTGTTGAAGCTGTATGAGAAAGCGCAAAGGTTTGCAGCACACTGTGTACACGCTTTATATAATGTTTTAGTGCAAGCGCTGCGAGTCCTTCCTCTTCTGTTTCTAATCTTGTTGTACAAGAACTCGGCCTCCTCCGTATCTTGGGAAAAATGGACGACAACTGCATTGTTCGCCTAACTGCTTCACGCAGTATGGGTGCAGAAAGATCATAGAATACCCGGTATGGAAATCTACTGTGGCGGGGTGTGCAGTCTTGCGCACGGGAAGCATTGCACGTGGCATCAGCCCTTTGTTCGAGTGCATGGAAGCCCGCAGCACACGGTATACTATAGGCGAATATCAATTCGGTCCAAGGGAAAGCAGTCCTAATGCTCTTTAGATTCTGCGAACGTTTCGGCCTGTTGCGTTCGGAGCTTGAATCCTCGGCTAGCGTATAACGCCTTTCTACCTGCAACGTTTACATACGGGTATGCTCCCTTTGTTTATTGCACAGAGTATCGGCTGCAGTTAAGTAGTTGCAAATTGCGACAGTTTGTTAGGAAGTGGTCGCGGTTAGCAGCTAGTTCGTCGCTGCAAGAGCACCCAAATGAACGAATATGAAGATGTGTGTGCTGCGGTGTCCGCTGCAAGGTGTTTCACGTGCGAACCACGACCGCTCGTTCGCAGGCCCGCTGAATGCCGCAACCATACGACGAGCTTCAAGCAACACCCTCCTGAACGACATTCACCGAGCTCCATCAGGGCAGCAACATGCTACCCGCAAACAAAATTGCAGTGCCGTAAGCGGTCAAAGTAACATGACAACGACAAGACGCACACGTAAACTATCAGTTCTGAGCCATGCCAGTTAATGCTCGGATTTTGTTTCATCTACGTACAAGCCGCAACAATCACGATGGCGCACGTGGTACGGCCGTCACCACCACGCCAGCTGCGCTGTACCGCTTAGATGGGGTCGCTTCAACGTCGTCAAGGAAGTATGTTTCTTTGGTTGCCGTCATCGCGGTGGCGGCGGCAGGCATCACAATTGCTGGGTGCTGTAGAAGGCCTTGTGTCCGTGCAGGGCTGCCAACGCTGTGTCCCACTTGCGGCCCGCCCTGAGGCGAGCTCCTACGGAAACAGAGTGCATAGCAGAATGCGACTTCAGACCCGGAAATCGGAAATGTATGGGAGCGGTGCGAGACTGTGGTACACCCTAGGCAGTGTCGACACTGACCCATGGCCCAAACACCCAATAGTATCGTGGGCAGGTGGGAACCGGAATGTGTGTCAATCCTTGCCGCTACTAACGTACAATGGCAGCAACGCGCGGGCGACGCCTCCCCTATCGCCCTTCTAGGCACAAACGCACCTGCCGTAGTTTTGCGGTTGAAGAGCGGAGTTCATATGGTTGCCGCGCCTGCGACAGTTACACTGCAAATTCATACCGGCAGTGGACAGCATATACGAAATCCCGTACAGCGCACTTGACGAGGGTTCCAAGTTATGTGGCATCGACAGCACCCTACGCAGCAAGGACACCCGTCCATACAGAAGCGTGTTTATACCCAGCAAAGGACAACCCACCATCCCAGGTCCCAACTTACCAGGAGGTGTCTGTGTCAGGATGATCGCTGAACGACCAGCCCTGCTGCTGCGGTGGCGGCACCTTCACATCATCTTCGGAGAACCGGACGCTCTTGACACTGTTTGCCTTGGGCGGTTGCGGACCCATGCCATTTGCATGCGGGTTGCTGACATGTGGGTGCGGTCGAGCGCTTATGCAAGATGTCTGTAGGGACGACGTGTTTGCGTCGAGCGCGCCACTGTACCTCGCCGCCTGCTCAGAAGCTGTGAAGTCCTCCATACCTCTACTGGCGGCGCCCCCGGCGTGAAGCAAGGTAGATCGGCAGTCCTCGTGCACCGCATACTGCTCCTCAGGTGATGCCACCGGAAGGCGCCCGGCACCTGTCGACTCCTCCTCAGGCGACTCCGCAGCCAACTGAGGAGGCGCCTCCCACGAGCGACTGTGCGCCCCACCCTGGTTTGACCAGCGCCCCTGGGAGACTGCAGCATTACTAATATCTGGCCCAGATGACGGGTTGGCCTTGTCCACAACCAGGTTGAAGAGCTCGTCGATATCCACCAGAGCCGAAGGCCGGCCTAAGGATGCCGTTGAGTGTACGGCAGATGGCGTGCCAGCTAGGACGACGTGGTCGCCCTGTTGCGGCTGGCCTTGCGGCTGCTGTTGACTCGATAGGGACGAGCTATGCGAAGTGGTAGACGCGTGCTGAGAAGCGGCGCTGCAGAACACAGGGTGCACAGGTGAACAGGTTGCACTAGCCCGCGCCGAATGCTGCATTCCGCTGCCCTTGCTGATGCTGAAGAGACCCGCCAAAGCACCCGTTGACCCGTACATGCTAGCCAAGCTGTCGGTAACTGAAGGCATCCCGAAGACGTTCCCGGCAGCAGCGGCCTCGGCCAATGAAGATGCCGACCGCCCAGCGCCACGCGTCTGCACGTCAGCCGTCGACACCGTGTCTTCATCCGGTGCTGACTGTTGGGCTGGGAGCGCTCGCAGCTGGCTCTGCCGTGCCCCATTCGCGGCCGGTGGCCGGACTGAATGCCCGTCCATTCCCTGCTGTTGTTGCGATTGCTCACTGGCCAGGGCTTGCTGGGGCGGCCGCGTGTGAATGGCTCCGCCGACATGCACACCATGCTGCACAGTGACGCCAGCCGTGAACAGGAAGTCCGAGCCATCGCTGCTTGCGGGGCTTCCTGCACCACCTAGCCACACGTGGCTGCCATCGTGGAGGCTCCCTTGGCGGCTGAGAGGACCAGTAGGCCCACGGCCTCCGTCTCCATGACCACTCATCCCGGCGAGCCCAGGGCGCGACCCCGTAGACACAATTCGGATTGCAAGAGCGGATGCTCCCTCCACGGCTGCATGCGCCTGGCCGCCGACTGCAGGAGGTGGCTGGGATGGATACGCATGTGGCGACTCCAGCTCTGCAGACAGCACGACGGAGCTTGGCGGGCTGCTAGCAGCCGTAGATGCGCCCTCATCCGAAGCCCGCCGGCCACGGGCGCCAGGGGTATCGACCGCACCGGCACCCGCGGTCAAGCTGTTGCGGCTGAAAGCAGCAGGCTCAGCCATCATCAGCGGGTTGCTGGACTGTGACACCTGGCCCATCATGGCTTGCCCACTTCCCGCATACGCCTTCAGCGGCTGCTGCTGGGATGGGGCCCGGTGGCCGGCGCCGGTGGCGGCAACGTCCGTCAAGGCGCTACCTAACCGCGGCGCTGAGTCAGGCTCCGCCAGCAAAAGCGTTGGCTCAGGAAGTAAGCAGGCCCCACCGCCCTCCGAACCCCCCACCCTGGTGACGCGGCTGTTCTGCAGCGCATTACTGGAAGCTGACCCGTCGACGCCATGACCACTCGGCTCAACCGTGTCGTGGGCTGCGGACACAGAAGCCATTCCGACGCTGCTGCTGGGCGCGAGGGCAGCGGGTTTCAGTCCTCCAGAAGCGGCTGCGGATGCCTGTGGGCCGGAAACCTGTTTGTCGCGGCCGCCAACCTGCAGTAGCCCTGAGACGTGCAAGTTCAGGGGAACCGGACCTTCTGCTGCTCCGCCGCCGTCGAGCTGCGGGCGATAAGAATGAGAAATGGACGAAATGATGGGGGTATAATGGAAGCATAAGGAGCCATGGGATTGTATAGAGCGCAAGGCTAAGGCATTGGGCACCGGTAACCTTTCCTCACAGCTCTACACCCAGCTTTTGCAGGAGAATGCATGCTCCTGATGCATCCCTCCCCGCACTTGCCTTGGCCATCGCAGCCATGAGCTGCCATTCCACCTCCTCTTTGCGCGACATAAGCTGGCGGTTAACACCTGCTTGCGTGTCAAGCTGCCGCTGCAGCGAAGAGATCTGCGCAGTCTGCTTCCCCAGAGTCTGCTCCAAGTCTTGGATGCGCTGCTCAAGCCCACCCACAAGACCCAGCGCCGCCTGCTCGTTAACCTGATCCCATTCCAAAGGGAGAAACTTCGTCGGCATGAGGGAGATCCCTAGCATAAGCCGCCAGCGCGCCTACCCTAGCCGCCGAGCGTGCCCGGCCACGGGCTCAAGCCATGTGATACATGCTGAACGCCATGCTCCCATGCAACAACGCCATTCTGCCTTGCCCACCAGCTCACCCAACGCTCAGTGCACTCCTGCCGCATGCTTCGGACAGAGTCCTGCAACACGCGATTCTCAGCCGCGAGGTTGTCCAACCGTTGCCGCAATTCCGCCGCAATGGCCTCCGAGGCAGCGCTTTGATCCTCAGCCCTACACGACGGGTGCGGAGCAGCTTAATATGGAGTACAACAACTAAACTGCTGCCGAGCTGCTCTTCCCTTTGGCATGACGGCATTGAAACGGTACCGATCTTACCGCTGCTGTGATTCCAATGCCGCGTCCAAGCGCCGCTGGAGCTCCTCTGCATGGCGGCGCGCTGCAGCGAGCTCCTCCTCCAGCTGGGCCCGATGCGTCCCCAAAGCCTACGGCGTGATGGACATGGGGCAAAGCTAGGTTGAGCTCAGGCTTTGGCTGCGCGGCGATGTTGAATTCGGACACATGACGCGGGGTGCAACGGGTTGTCATTGGCCGGACAGCATGGGCATTGCTGCGCGGGTGTAACGTGGCCGTTAACGTGCTAGGTCACGTGATAAGTAGTCGTTGTAGCGGCCGAAGCGTTGCAAGCATTGAAGCATTGAAATCCCGCCGTGCAACCCTGCATCTAAACCTAGAGGCAGCCATTTGCCGGTACCCACTGTGGGGACAACCGGACGCGTGGCATCTGGTTTCTTGCAGGGAGGCATTTAGTAGCGCTAACGCACGAAACCAGGTCCTCCCGTACCTCCAATTGGTGGCTGTGCTCACTCTCCCTTTTCTCCAACCGGGCCTCCAGCTCCTGCGAACGCTGCAGTGCTTGCCGCACACGCTCCTCTACGCCAGCCCGAACCTAGCACAGGCACAACCGCAACCTCCGTCAGCCAGGGCACGCGCAGTTGCAAAACGCAAGGCCCACAAACAATACCATGACCTGGTCAGACCCATGGGACGAGCAGGCCGGCATGTCCAATTGCAACCTCACCTGGTCAAACCAAGGCCCTCGCTGCTGCTCTGCGGCTAGTCGGAGCTGCACACGCTCCTGGTTGGCCGCTGCCAGGTCCGCCTCCGCCTTCTTCAGTTGCATGAGGAAGACGAGGTTGTCGGCAGTCAGCTTCGCCACCACCTGAAGCGCGACACATGCGGCATGGAGCAAACCCACATGTGAGCTGCGCAGCAATTGCGTCACCTCTAATGCTGCCTCTAGCCCTCGATAATCGAGCGACCACAGTGCACACGCATTGCGCTATGGAACTTATTGCTTGTGATGTGGGATGCCAGAGCAAGGGCCTAGGAAGGCGGCCAGCAGAGTACTCAGCGCCTGCCAAATAGAACTGCCAAAATGCGCCCGACTACCGGAGCGTGGCAAGCCGCTGGCCTGGCCACTCGCCTGCTGGTGCCGCTCAGCCAGCCCCTGGGCCTTCGCGGCCTCCGTCTTTGCATCCTCGAGGGCAGCTGTTGCCGTCTGCGCGCGCTCGTCCGCCTTGGCTGCCTCGCGCTTGAGCAGCTCCAGGCTCTTTAGCGCGCTCTTCGCGTCCACTTGCGCCTCATGGGCAGTGAACTGCAAGGTCTCCATCTCCTCCTCCCTGGGTCGGGGGTAGAGTAAGCAGGGGGCATTTCCTTTCTAGGTCAAACTGGCGCAAGACAACAGGACCATGCGCATAGGACGCCCCCTCGTGACGCAACTGTCCGTAGGAGCCGGGATGGCGACCACAATCGGGTTAGGGTAGCCTGGTGACGCCATGGTTTCCCTTCGACCCCGGAAGGGTATGACTGCGACATCCGCCCCTCATGTGCCAGCCAGCCCCGCACCGCTGCTTCATGTTGCTCTGCATCTCCTTGATGAGCGCCTCCTGCTGTGCAGATCGAGTCCGCAGCGACTCTGCATCACGGACTGATGCCAGTCGCTGCGCTTCCACGACTCTTAACCGTTCGCTGGTCACGCGCAGTTCCTCCGTCGTGCTCTCCACCTGCTCCATGAGCTCCTGGTGGCTGCAGGGCCCAGCAACATGTGTCAGCGCAGGTAGGACTGAGCTGCTTGCAATTGGAGGCAGGGAGAACCTTACCTCTTTGAAGCATACATCATAGAGCGCTGCCATGTGTGTGATGCCGCCTGCAGCGCCTTAAGGTGTTCCGATAGCGCCTGCATGGCCGCCGACAGCTCACATGGTCAATACGTCCCAGCAATACTTAATAGAGGATCGCCGGCTTACTTGTATACCGAGCTGCCCCTGCTTCAAGCCTTGGATAGAGCGGAGCGCCAGCCGCTTCTTGGTAATGGCCGAGACTGCCTTCGGGTCAAAGTGTGGGCAACAGCTGAAGCCCTGATGCCAAAGATTCATGCAACCTCCAGCCCTCCCACTTCATCCCAAATACCTTATCATCGCTGGGAGTAAAAGCTTGCAAGGAGAGCCCGACAGTCTCAGCAAGGCTGTGAACAATGCCAAACAACTCAGCCCAGACATCTTCCTGTTCATCTTCGCGGCTTTGACGTGATTCTTTTCCAGGGGATCTCCTATCCACTCCTCCGTCAGCACTGAAGGCCATTAGGGCATACGGGTGGTTGACGCTCGATTCCGTCTTCAACAGCTAGAGCTGTACAAAGCGATATATTGTTTACGAGTAAATCGAAAGGAAAACTACCTAAAGAAGTGGGCTCAAAGTTCCAGAATTGCAGCAACACGTTTGTTCACCGGGTACCACAACGGGAGCACGTCTAACGCACTACCGATATCATGTTCGTAACCTCAAATTATTATAACACCTGAGACTTTTGTTGTGGAGGGTGTTTCTGTGCTGTACAACCGCTCCAGACCAGCTAGGTGAAACCAGCCACCCATCACGGACCAGTGCAGAGCACTGCCAAGACGCTGTTTGGCAGGTAAGCAATATATTGCAATCCCCGACATGACAGCATATCGCAAGCTTACTACCGGTAATACTGAACAAGCGCCATCGGCTGACAGACGGTGCAAGCTCAGTCTTTGGTTCCCCGAAGGCGCTCGCTCCCATCATTTCCGGTGTACTATGCGGACTCAACCAGTATCCTGCCTAATCCCCAGTTTCCATGCACTGGCCCGCTGGGTCAGGTCTACCCTGTACGACGGTTTAACAAGCCCATGCCTTTAACTTCTTGAAAACTATTAAGAAGGTTAAAAGCGGCGCCGAAGGAAATGTCTGTGCTAGGCTATCGGCTTACGAGAGTTACCATGCGTCACCAAAGCAAGTGCATTGCTCTACCTCTACCTGAGCGACAGCAGTTTCCGTTTTGAGGGCTTACAGACTGTAGGTCCTGCGTTACTAGCACACTCGCTTCCTTGCGACGCTCCTTCGTCTTGTCAGCGAAGGCTGTCTTCCGGGTTACGTTTTCGGGACTTGGTTCTTTCGCGCTGCCCGACGATAGTTGCATGTAAGGTTCAGCTTGCAATCACCTTATATATAGCGGCTTTAAGTTGGCGACTTTGCTCGACGGCATGCTGGATGGAAGCCAAAGGCAATCGACTGCTGTCGCAGGTTCCGGGGCTAGCCCTCGTTGATCCTAAATGGCTAGCTATAATGGTATCAGCGACTCGGCACCGAGGACCGGTTCCGCTAGTCACAAGCAGCGGTCAAGGGGGCTCCTGGCACGGCTCAGGTACCTTTGCGTCTGCGGAGCATCGGCACGCGAGCACGGCGCTCCCCGCGGCCCCCGCTTTAGCCCAGCAGAGCCAGTCTGCGTAGCGCTTGAGAAATCCGAGGGAAACGGCGTTTCGGTTACGGCAGGAGACTCGGCGGACAGCCAAGCTGGCCTCAGCGGGAGCGTCAACAGGCCAGCGTTGCAAGCTGTCGGCCCCGCATGTGCCGACACGGCCTCTGGAACCTTGGTCGTCGACGGGGATCCCCAGAACCCAAGTGCAGCAAAGGTGGACACGCAACGCTCCTTGCTGAGGACGCTGACGTTCAATCTGCCACCCGGAAGCACGGCATCCCTACACGTGAGCCCAGTTCATCTAGTAGACATGGACGCCACAGCCGGTTTGCTTGATGGCTCCGCCATCGGTGCTCCTCAACCGTTCACGGGAAGCCATGCCTTTGCTATACCGCAGCATGCAGCTGCCAGCGCAACCGCTGCAGCGCAGTATGCGCTGGAACCGCCATTTACCGCATTTCTGGATTCCTCGTACAAATTCGGTGGGCGCAACGCCAGGCCGGCAGCAGAGCCATACCCAGTTACACGGGGAGAGCTCCCACAGGCGAGTGCGGGTAGGGCAAGTACCGGTACGTTCGGCACCGTGAGGGAAGCCGTGTGGCCCCGCGCACAGCTTGAAGACGTACCAAAGCGTTCCATATCTGCTTCGCTCTCGACCGAGAACCCAACAGCTTCCGGGCAGAGCCCACATGCGCCCGGCTGCTCACCCGCGCTGGCCCCAACAGCCGCCGCGTCTTCGCAGATACAGTTTGCGCCAGCTATCCTCCAGGCCTCGCCATTCGCCAATTCCGGCATGACTCTTGCCGCCGCCTCTATCACCGCTGTGGCATACCACGAGCCTTTTTCCGGCCGCCCAAACTCCCAATCCTTTTCGCATCCGCCCCGACAACCCATCCCGCCGCCCTCGCCTCATCAGCCCCATGCTTCTTCGTCAACATTCGGACCTGCTCCGCCTCCCTATCCTCCTTCCTTCCCCGACCTTGACCAGCTGCAAGGCACCCAGTATCACCACGGCCTCCATGACCAATACCACCACTACCAGCAACAAGTGCAGTGGCAGCAGTGGCAATTGAGCAGCTCCGCGAGCCATCCTATGCACTACCAGTCCTTCACCTCCGCCACGCAGCAACGACACGGGCCACATGATGCTGTCTTTGCTTCTACCACTCCCGTACTGGGTCTTCCAGTAAACGACGCCGGCGCCCTGTTATGCCCTCCATCCAACACCAACAGTTGCACCAGCCCCTTTGTGTTAAACGGTGCCAGCATCCTGCCGGAAAGCAGCCTTGGCGCTGCCCGTGTTTCCTTCCATCCGCGCCCTCCCGCCGATGTCCTGGTCGCACGGTACGGCAGCGGGGCCATGGCTTTGGAGTACGGACGTTTAGATCCAGCAAACGAGGCCTCAAGCGGAGGCCGTAACAAGGGTTCTTCTTTCTTGCCGCGTGGTGCGCTTTGTAGTCTGCCGTCTCCGCCGCAAGCGGTGTTTCCCGCGAGTGCCTCTGCTGCTGCTGCCAGCGGCGGCGCCGGCGGGGTAATGTCGTACGGGCCGCCGCCGCTGTCGCCTGCACGGAGCAGTACGACCGGCTTCATGGCGTTATCACGCGTGTCGGCATCGGGAGCGAGTGCGAGCATGCTCAGCATGCCCATTGAAACCGGGTCGGTTTGCGACTTCACGGCACCGGATACAGGTGAGGGTGCAGCATGGGCTGGGTGACGAGGAATGCTTGACGGGCCCGTATCGTACACTTCGTGCCCGTAGTGCAGTAGTGGCAGGACGGACCATACCGGGTGCGGTATGCACGGATTCATGCTAAGTTACAAATGGCATGCTTGAGAAACTTCCATGGTGATAGACCCTGCTAGACTCCGGTTGCTTTCATTACCGGTTGCCATATGCGATCCAGATAGTGCTGTATGGGACGTGCTGTGGGTACCGTATCCGACAACCAGTTTCCTCGCCCTTCAGGTCTTCTGGCGGAGCAAACTGCGCTCGAAATGGGCATGATGGCCCCTCCGCTTGACCTCTTGGCAGCTGGTGCCAACGTCTCGCCGCAGCAACCGCTGGCTCGAGGGGCGTACGGCGTCGTATACAGCGGTACGTGATTGCCACGAATGCCGTCGTTTTGCTGCCAGGACCTTGTTACGCAAGGAGTTATAAATGGTGTAGCCAAGATCAGCTATGTACCAAACGTAGCTTCCTGCCTATGCCGTATGACAGATGCAATGTGCTCGCATCTTAATTGCCTTGGAACTAATGACACATGGACGTACGTGTGCTTTCTTGCCTGCAGGCACATGGCATGGTTGCACCTGTGCAGTCAAGATCATGCTTGCAGCCAACACCGAGAACCTCAGCTACCAGCTTACAGAGCTATTCCTGTGTCGAGCCCTTTCCTGCCATCCCAGCATCGTCCAAACCTTCGATTGCAGCATCTGGCGTGTCACGACAGACACCCTAGCAGCCATCAACCGCCTGTGCGACGCCGGCACGGGCACGACTGCCGCCGCCGGGGTAAGCGGCTTCAGAGCCCTTGGCAGCTGCGGCCGGGGCGCCGGCGGAGTCTGCATGGCAGCTTCTAGTTCCGTACATCCTTACAACTACAGCATGTACGGCGGCTACGGCCGCAGCTGCAGCTGCATTCCCCCTTCCGCCGCCAACGCGGCCACCAGTGACATGGGGACGGCATTACTGCCAGACGCCGCCGCGCACATACGTCACACGCCCTCACCTGAACCACCGTTGGCCCCTAGAACCGCTCGGCCTGGGACCACTGGCGGCATGGTTCCAAGCTCCGAAGCCAGCAGCCTCGATACCCAGCGCTCTGGCCACATGTCGGGCCCCATTCCGAGCTGTCGGTACGGCACGCTCGGTGACCCCAGCGCCTCAACTCCAGCTGCATGCAATCCTACCGCTCTGTCCACCTCCAATTCACTCCCAGTCGTCGGTCTCCACGACCGTGGTCTTCCACCAAGCACTCGTACCGACACGAAGCACGCGGCGCATGAACGTAACAGCACGCGATGGCCGTCGCCCGAACCGCCCTGCCATGTTGCCCCCTGCTGCCGCCGCTCCGGCCAGCACGCAGCAGCCCCGGCTGCATGCAGCAGAGCGCACAGCTGCGGCCTGACAACAACTGCGGCGCCCATGCAGGGCCCAAGTACGCGGGTTCTGAGCGGCTTTCCCGGCTACATGCTTGACTCGGCTAGCACGGCGAATCTCCCGGCAGCTGCCTCCACCTTCTCATGCAACTCAACTGTGAACTCCGAGTTGTTGCCAAAGGTCGTCGGCGTCGGGGCTAGCGGCGCTAGCGGCGTGAGCCCACTGGCATCGGACCGCTCCGCCTTCTTATCGGTGACTGCTGGCCGGCCCACGGGGCCGGGTGTGGGAGTGGGCGGGCTGGTCATGCCGGCAGTGCGTAACGCGGTGGCCACGGGCGACGATGATGAAGACGCGGCCGCGGCGGCTGCTGGCGCCCGCAACCTGGCTCAGGTGAGGCATGACACGTGATGCGGTTGTGACGGAACGTGCTGGAGTGTGGTGGCGATGATAACGCTCGCTCGCTCGCAGCCTTACTGGATAGCAGCCTAGCAGATGGCCGGGGTGCCGGGATGGTTGGGCGCTTGGGCCTATAGCCAGTCCTCACTGGTTACCCACGTCAATTCCATCCTTCCTCGCCCTTCACCGTTCTTCCCCGCCCTTTCTCGCCCTTACTTGCCCTCCTCCGCCCCCTCAGGTGCTGTCCCAGCTGGGCGCGCGTGAGGGCCAGTTGGCAGTGCTCCTGGTCATGGAGGAGTGCGACCGGGGCTCGCTACAGCAGCTGCTGAACAAGACGGCCAAGGCGGCGGGCAGGGCCGGAGTTGCAACCAGCACGGCGGGGGCTGTTGCGCAGGGGTACGGAGGCGGCGGCGGCGCTGCTGCTGGCAGTTGTGGTGGTGATGGCGGCGGTGATGGGGGATCAGCGCTGTACATGCCGTTTTCGGGCGGCGGTCGCTATGGCGTGCTTGAGGCTCTGCGGGCGATGGTGCAGACGGCAAAGGAGCTGGCACTGGTAAGAGGATGAGGGACTGTGTGGCTGAAGGTAGTGGAGGACCGAGGGCGGTGACGGTCGCCCTAGCTCAGGGGCGGCTTCCCTGATGCACAAGCGAGTCTTTCCTTTTGGGGGTTTTGTGCTTTACTCGAGCGATAGTCCAGTTGATGGCTTGTTCCAGGAGTGTGGTACGCGCTTGTTCTTCACACCTGGCTCAGCTGAAGTGTATTCGGTTGTGGCCTGATGGTGTCCTAACCGCCGGTTTGGTGTCCTAACCGGTTCTTCCGCATCGCTGTGCCTCTCTTCACCTACCGCTCGACAGGGCATGGCCTTCTTGCACGTCCACAACATCGTCCACGGAGGTGCGTGGGGCTTTTTTATTGGGGCTGCTCCCACGCAGGGGCTTCGGAACAATCCTCTTTGCATTGTGGCGTGCACCTGCGTGGGGGCTTTGGAAACGTCCTTCCAATGTAGCGTCTGCTGACTGCAACTTGCACCGGGCGCAAGCGGGGTATGCTAAAGCACCGACACCCATGCGTTCGCGCTGCAGCCGTCAAAGGCTTTTCCGATTCCGATGATTTTGGGGTGTTGCGCGCTTTGCCGCATGCAAGGGCTTGCAGACGTTGCTTGCTGGGCCTGGATAACTGTTCCGGGAGTTGCTCGCTTGGATGCTGCGCTGTTCTGTGACTGTAAATTGGGCCCCCTTATGTCGCCTCCCTAATACGGTTCCCTCCCTCAATGCATGTTCTGAAATGTGCCCAATGGGGTCCCTTCTCCGACGGTTGTCCTACAAGATCTCAAACCAGGTATGTGGGCTGCACATGGGGTTTGCAACAGCCACCTATAGCCCACCTACGGCCCATGCACCTCAAAGACCTGCTTTGCAAACTGCTAGACGCAGCTACACGATTGCGCTTGAAGCATTGTATCAAGCAAGGCTTCCGCCATTCTGACCCTGTTGCCAAAACAGGCAACGTACTCCTCAAGGGCAGCCGCCAGGACAAGCGGGGCTTCGTGGTTAAGATCAGCGACTTTGGACTTAGCCGCGTGCTTCACACAGCCGCAGCCGCACAGCCTTGCGTTGCAGAGCCTGCAACTGCAGAAGGAGCCGGCGACGACAGCGAGGCTGAGCACAGGAGCAGTAGCGGCTGCTGTGGCTGCGGCTGCGGCGGTGGCGGACGAAATGGCACGATTGCGTACATGGCTCCGGAACTGATTAATGGCAAGCACATGTCTAAGGCCAGCGATGTTTGGGCTTACGGTAAGCGGGGGTTTTACAGCCGTGTGAGGTCCGGAGAAACGGTGAGGGCACGAGAATGGCGTTAGGACTGGGGCTTGCGTGGACCCGTATGGAGACTGCATGCCGCCAATACTATCCCTCATATCACATCGACAGTGTGTTGTTGTTGGGCTCTAGCAATGCGGGCTGTCGTTGCCTTTAGCTGTTGTTTCCAATGTTGGCTCTGTGCAATGGTTTTAGCCCCTTTCTGGAACAACACTTGATGATGTCGCATTTGCTGCTGCTGCTGTGCCGTACCGTCACGTGCCCTGCAAACCAGGCGTCCTGCTGTGGCAGCTGGTCACCGGCAAGCCGCCGTACGAGGACCTCCTACCCATCCAGGTATGCAGCACGGAGAGCGGGCAGCCAATGGCGCGCCCTGCCGGTGCAGCATGGCGCGTTGTGCGAGGGTTCCATCCATGCAAAATGTATCAAAGTATGATAACGGCAGGGTGCGCCTATTGCGCCCTATGTCCGTTGGCCTGTCCAACCAACGGTATCCAAGCGGCTCCCAATCAAGGACTCCATCCTCCCATGCACGCCGCCCGATCCGCATGCAGATCTACGCGGCAGTGGCTAGCGGTGAGCAGCTGCTGAGCTGGCCGGACGGCACCCACCCCGCACTCGTGCAGCTGGGCCAGTCCTGTCTGGCAGTGAACCCCAAGGACCGGCCCACCTTTGCCCAGGTGATCACCGAGGAGGAGCAAGAGCAGGAGGAGCATCTACATGAGTTTTGCCGGTTCGAAAGCCTCCATGGACCCATGGGTCTATCTCTCGACGTTAACTGTATGCTCCGTTTTGCTTCCTCATGTTTAGCCTGTTTACAGTGCTTATACTTTGTTCGTCTTTTATACCTGTGCGTTGTGTTTCACAGAAGACCTGGTTGTGGTTGCCGCAGATCGTGCGGAGATTGCAACGTCTTGAGGCGGAGGTGAACACCGACAGCCTCGTCAAGCGCCCGTAAGGCTGCCCGAGGTCATCCATCCTTGTTGACAGCTTGCAACGCTGTCCTCTCCGTCAAGCAGCAGCATCCTGAGCTGTGGGTCGAGGTGTTGTCAAGGGCAGCTATCAAAGCAGAGCATGGCGCATGCATGTAGCTCAGCTAGAGGGCATGCAAGGTGCAGGAACCCCGGATTGGGTGAACGAATGAACCAAGCGACAGCGACCGAGCTGCATGGGATTCCCTCGATGTTTTAGTTTATTTTGAAATTTAGTATTAGATAAATATATGAAACGCCGGTATGAAGTGTGTGGCTTGCGCATGTTGCCCCGTTGCGCATTGCAGCTTCCCTGATGTCCAGGTTGCCGCGAGCCGCCGCAGGTCTACTTTCTTCACCATGACCGGTTGCATGCGATCTTCCCCGCCCTAGCTAGGCATTAGGCAATTGCCGCCGCAATCGCCGGACCATCGCGTGCGTTGTGGCCGATTTTCTGGTTTAGTACCCGCATTATGATTGCTTGGGCGCTACAAGATTTCCATGCTGGCATGCCTTTACTATGCGAGAAGCCATACCGGACAAATCGGAGGGCGATCTAATTGTTGTCTGTTCATGCTTTGGTAGAAGGCTGTCCTGTGTGAACCAAAGTGTTTAATAAACCGGTGTGTGTTAAGAAAACGGTGGCATGCGTTTGCGTCCCCGCCATACTGCTGCCATACGAATATCCATGTCCGCTGTTGATGTCTGGAATGATTCCTTGTGGTGTTAGGGGGTTGGTGGGGGACTCCCAAGGGCATTATAGTTTGCATTTTGTTGGGCCTGATGCCTGGTGCAATACTTATTACCCACGGCAGCACTGAGCATGGAACGAAACCGGTGCAGGGTTGGATTGTTTCATGGTCTACGGTTGGGGTGGGGTGTGGGGTCAACGGTGGGGTGTTTCGTATTCTGGCACCTGAGCGGTATAGCAGCAGCTATTTGGTTCCGTTGGGCACATTTCAACCTGCCTTTCCTATTTTTGGGAGTGGAAGGGAAAGCAGGCCTGGCTACAGAGTGATGCCCGTTGTGCCCGTCTGTGTTGTTGTGTTGGAAGTCGCATGTTGTGTTGGAAGTCGCGGCTTCACTGGATTGGCTGCCTTCATGGGAAATCTGGGGAGATCGTCTATTTCGGCGGGTAGCCAGCGTTGGCAGTTTGTGAGGAATGTGGTCGGGCTGTTGTAATTGCACAGTGTGGCATTATTGCTCACTGTTGTTGACGGTATGGCTTGCTATTGTGTTTGACGCGCATGATTGAATTCTTTCCAATTTTGGGAGGGCTTGCGCATGCCCTGATATGTTGTCAACATGCATCATGGAAAAGCAAGGAGACCTGCAGCACGAAAGCAACTGCTCAGTTTAGGTACCGCTAGCGTTCTTACCTGTCGCGACGATAGCGACTGGCAGTCAGACTGTGCGTTTCGTGGTGTATTAGAGGGGCCGTATGCGTGTTCCTTCGAATCTGAGGAGTTATCCAAGCTCCGATTTGCAGGAAGCCTGAGGTGGTTTGACAAAATTCCCAAGTAGGACTCTGTTGTGGCTGTACGTCTTACAGTGTTGTGGTCGCTGCATGCGACTACTGTTGTCTTTCGTGTTTTCACGTGACGCCGTGAAGCATCTAGCCTGTAGGACTAGCTGTGGTGGATTCGGGGGGCAACGTGCTCAGAACCGGCGCTACCAATGGAGGCTGCCTTATCTTTTGTTGTCTTGTAGAGGGTTTCATCATCAGGTTGGTCTTGCTCCAGACTGCAGTTGGCTCTTTCTATCAGTTTGTTGCGTGACTGCATCCTTTGACGTACCGGTACCGGTATCTCAACAAGCGTAGCGCCCTCTGCTCACGGTAAGGTGCATCAATTTGTTGGCTTATTGGCTTTCATGGGGCAAGTTGCCACTCCTGATGGTAGATCTCGTTCACGACCGAGGCTATAACTCAAATGGCTGTGGCCGAGTCACCGTAACGTTGCTTTGCTACGCGAGAGGCGTCGAGGGTGGTCGACCCGCCCCTCCTCATCTTTCATTGCCCGCCGCACCACCCGCGGCAGTTGCAGGATGTGTCGCAGATTCGTTGAAGCCGAGCCTGGGAAAGACGCTGCATATTAGCCAAATGTGCGGGCAGAAGGCGTTGCAGGTTGCTGTACATGTCCGTAGAAGGGTTGGAAGCCCGGGGTTTTTGGCCTGCCCTTGATTCCAGGCGCTCCGCTAGGCCGCGCCTTGGAAGCAAGGGATAAGCCGTAGGGACACGTCTCATGCCATCACACTCTTTGCGACATGTTTCGTTGGTTGGTTGTGTGCACGCATCCTGGGTTGATGATGGTCGACATGGCTGCTCTGCGTGAATTAGTCACATTGGGGGCTACAATGCGGTATTCGCTTCTTAACGTACGCGTACTGACTTTCTTATGCTTTGTAAAGCAATGAAGGAACACGACATCATAACATAGCGCTCAACGACTGTAGCGAGGGATGCAATCAAGACGGCAGCATGAAAATGCAGGACAGAATGCCCTCCTGAGGGTTCCTGGGGCATTGGGGGGGCTGTTAGAGACCCAGGAAACAGGACAGGGAGGTGGGAAGGGATCCTTCCAAAATAGCCAAGGAGTTGATTACCAAACAGCGTTGGGCTTGTGCGCTAACATCAGACGGGGTAGGAGCTGCTTAGAATTGTCCTTGACATCCTTGAAATGGATGACAATTCATGACTACGATGGGATGAGGGGAAGTGACTCATGGGTCTGAGATGTTCCTTACAAACAGCACTACTCACTGGCTGACAGTTAACAGCAACACAGCATGCATGCGTCAGTGACATCATTGCTTGCAACACATCGCCCCCATGTAATGTAGGACATGTAGTCAAAGAAATTAATTGTGCCATGTGGCATTTCCTAGAAAGTAACGTCAAAGGCAAGTAAGGTTCAACCATTGGCAACTTGGCCCCAGTCATGATGTAACCCATACCAGATTCAGCCATACATACTTACCACTCCAAAACAGCATTCGGAACATTATTAATCACCACCATGTGCAACCTCCCGCGTACTGATAGCCTAAACATTCAAGTACCTGCAGCATACCCAATGTGCGGACTACGTCCTACCAACACACCTGGACGGTTCCGAAAAATTCCGTCCGGTCTCTTCAGTACCCCGGTAGATTGGACCCGTGAACAAAATGTTGATGCCAAAGCTTTGCGGGTATATCCCCTTAGCACACACCACAGCAGCCAGAAGGGTCCACCACAACAGCATTCAAAAGCCGGAAAATAGCTAGACATCCCAATGAGCACCAAACACATATCCTGCTTTGGAAGGGGCCAGACACAAACCCGCCCCTTCCGCCCAGAGCCCTCTGCACATGCAGGCTCTGCGCTGCCAGTTCGCACTACCAAATGTATCTGTTTGTGTAGCCCCTCTGCGAAATTGCCGGCCCGGCGGTCCTCAACAACACTGTCTGCCTGCATGGTAACACAATCACGTCCGCACCCACTCTAAAACACCTCCACTTAGCATTACTCCATATGTATGTGTATAGACCTTTTCGACAATCTCAAACCGCTATACGCCAAGCCTACACCCCGTGACGACGTGGTTAGCTCCTATTGCTATCTCGTCTGTATCGTTTCCGTGAATGTCTACTCTACTCCTGTCTAGTACCTAGTAAATTAGGCTGAATTGCAGCCATGCTAGTGCATGAATATTCTATACATTCCTTATCCAAATCAGGCGTTTCTTCCTACAACGTCCTCATACGTTCCTAGCTTGTCTAGACAGTGGGTTCTGCAATGGCAGCTCCCACATCTAGTTACCTACTCGATTGGACGGCTAACCGGCCTCGAAGCTTTGCGAGACCTGGCGCGGCACAAGTAGATCGACAGACGTTGCCGCGGCCGCTGCTGCCGTGGCCCCAAGATGGCATCCCGCAGCCCTTTGCTGCGCATCCATCTCCCTCAACGCCGCCTCCACAGCAATACCAAGGGCTCGAAGAAGCAGAACGCTTGTCGTCGCTGCCAAACCCGATCTTCCCTCTAGAGTCGATGGGGAAGGGCAAGATGTCAGCACCGCGGACGCGAGCGCAGTCTTGAGGGCAGGTAGCGCAGTTCTCGCCCGCCCAGGCGTCGCAACGCCCATCGCCGCAAGCAACCGCGTGAGCTTCGGAGCCGCAGCAATCCGATGGACAGCTCAGCGCGTTCTCACCTAGAGGGCACAACACAAAACGGTACAAGCTTAAAACACTGCAAGTAGGCATTATGAAGCGCAAGTGCTTTTTAGGGACCAAAAACTGCCGACAGTTATGGCGGTTAACCACGAAGATCTGCCATACGTGAATGTTTTCGTCGCTACAACAACAGCTGCGAACAAAAGTAATAGATTTAGACAACAGTTACCTTGTTGGCAGATGCCATCTCCACAAACCGGTCGCGGCACGTCCTCCTCGCGCGAAGCTGGCGCTAAGGCCTCCACCGCCGCGGCCTCACGACGTCGGCTGGCTGCCACGCTTAGAGGTGCTTTGCCGCACTCCGCTGAGCTGCTCACAAAGCGACAGATCTGAACCGTGGCCGTCAAACCGTCCGCAGAGGAGGCGTTCTTGGGCGTGCTGATAGCCACTACCAGAAGGTTCCAGGGGTAGGCCGCGGTGCCAGCCTGCTTGGCAGGAGGCCACTGCTGCCCGGCCGTGACGTTGCCGACGAGGAGCGTGTAGTTCCGATTGGACAGGGCGATCTCGCCGGTGTAGGAGTGGATCTGCGCGCACATGTCGCAGTGCCTCATTAAGGTGTCTCCTCATCACAAGTTTGTGCTCAGGAAGAAACAGGCAGGCATTCAACAGGCATCACGCACCAGGGGCATCACACTGCAGGCATCATACAACCGAGTGCTGCATCACAGGTTTTACTCACATGCACCCTGGCGTCAAACTCCCTGGGCAGTCCTGCCTCAGCTTGACGTGCCACTTTGTAGCTGAGGTAGATGTAGCCCTTGCGAAGCACCGGGTCGGCCATCCAGGAGGTTGCTACCGACACATAGTTGTTGTCGGTTAGGGTGGTTGCCGGCAGCCGCAGCGTCTGCCAAGAGGCTGCATGGCAGGTAAAGATGGGTGGGGATGTAGATGGGGATGCGCGATCAGCTTAGTTGCCCAGGAAACGTGTCGGAAACCCGGACGAGGAACAGTCCTTAGGCACGGGGCACGGGGCTTTCTTATGGGAGGTTAACAATGGCCAGTCCCCGAATAGACCGGGGCCAGATCCGTTATCATCCCAAAACCTTCAGAACCCATTCAGCAACAGCAGTTGCACCCACCTGCGGCCAGCGAGGCGGCTGTGAGGTTGGCAATTGCAGTGGAGAGGCCGAGCGCCTGGCTCTGAGCCGCGTTCCAGCACACCGGGCTGGGTCCGAGGCCCATCAGAGCGGCCGTATCGCCGTACTGGTTGAGGTCCGGCCAGCTCCAGGAGTGGAAGAGGCCCATGTTGTGACCCACCTGAGGCCACAACACAAGGTATGAGACTTAAGAAGGGAAGAGACATGGAGACTAACTAGCCGGGTTGGGTGGGGATGCGGGCGGGGTACGTTTTGCGGTTGGGTGGATGTAGGCATTGGGGCAGCTGGCTGGACAGGGCAAGGTGCCAAGGTGAGTGGGTGATGACGGCGGTGGTATGATGTAGGGGCGCGCGAGCTGCTGTAAGGGATAAGGGGATCATGCATGTAAGGTGACATGCACACATGCACATATACACACCTCATGGATAAGACTGCGGGGACTGGGCTCGCCAAAGGACCAGACGAAGCAATTGCCGTACCAAGCGCAATTCTGCAAAGAAGCGGTTAGGATTTTGGAGGTCAGCCGGTTAATTGTCATCGAACCTAACCAAGGGCGGTAGCATGTTGAGGCACCGGTGCCAAGGCAAGGGGCTACGGTGGGGGACGCATCGAAAGTTGTTACCGGGTCGCATCGAACGGGCATTGAACTGCGGAAGCATTAACCCGAATCTACTGCCAATCCCTGCCCAAGCCAGGCGCTAACCTGCATGGCCAGAGCGGCCAGACTTGGGTTACAGTTGGCGGTTGCAAACGGCAACAGAACAATCTTGTGCACGAAGTCGTTGGGCTCAATGTCAGAGTTCTGCGCGAGGGTGGTGCAAGGTTCGTTGTTAGGATATTGGAAGGAGTAAACCCATATTCCTAAAACCCGCGCGGTTCTTCGCACAGCGAGAAGTGCACCTCGTAGCAGCGCTGCGTTACCTACCGCACGGACGTACTTCACGGCCGCCTCCGCCCATCCCATGCGGTCAATGTCGCGGCAGTTGGTGGCAGTCCAGGCGCCCATGGAACCCGTACCGTTGCATGGCACGTTGACGATGAAGGGTACGACAACGTTGTCCTGCGGTTGGAACTGCCACTTGCCATACGAGCATTGCGTGGATAGATACTCAAAGGTACCATCCTTGGCGAACTGAGGTGTGGCGTAGGCATTGAACCAGCGCTGCTGCATGTCCTGTGGGAGTACCACAGTATCACGCACAGGAAAACACAGGAGGATAAATTTAGTTAGACAAAGTTAGAAGGATGAAGACCTGACAAGGTCAGACTGAAATGCAGGTGTCCTTTAGAAGATGCTGCCCATTGCCGTCTCACCAGGGACAGTCGGACATCATCATCCCACCTACCACCCTTGCCAAATGCCCTGCAATGCACACGGACCTGCCATCCGTCGCACCTACCTCAGGGCTGTACTCGGCAGGCTGGTTGCACAGCCCGACAATCATCACCAGCGTAGTCAAGCGCTTGGCCCCCGGAAGAACGCTCCATGTGTTGTTGATGTTGGGGTTATACTGGTCGGAGAGGGGCTGGATGACGCCGGGCGGAGGCGGAGGCGGCGACATTGGAGGCGAAGGCGAGGGCGGTGGCGGGGACTTGGCCGGGGGTGGGGACTTGGCAGGTGGTGGTGATTTCTTAGGTGGTGGGGACTTGGCAGGCGGAGGGGGCATGGGCGAGGACTTGGGCGGCGGAGGCGAGGGGGAGGGTGGCGGCGGCGAAGGCGGAGGCGGAGAGGGCGAAGGTGGCGGAGGGGATGGAAGAGGCGAGGGCGGGGAGGGCAGTAGCGGCGAGGGAGGAGGGGACTTCTTCCTGCGCGGTGGGGTGGGAGGGGGCAGAGATGGAGGTGACGGCAGCGACGGCGGCGGCTTCTTCCGGGCGGCTGCGTTGCCGTACGTTTCGTGGATCATGGAGGCGTCGACGCCTGTTCCCGGCTGGTCCGCTAGGGCGGTTAGGGAATCGTCGAAATCGGTGGTTGGGTAGCGAAGAGAGGAGACGGCGAGGGTGCGGGTGCTGTCGGTGCAAGTGCCCGTCACAGCTACGACACTGCCTGCGGATGGGAAGAGGAAACGGAAAGAGGCACAGATGGGTTGGCGAGAGGGTGCGAGGTATGGAAGGAGCTTTGTAACATGTTTGGAATCGATGATTTGAAAGTTGGCTGCAAGAAGGAGTGCTTCCCTTGCGGATATATTCAAAGCAGGAACAGCAGCTAAGTATCAAGCGCAAGTATGGGATAGCCTCTTACCATGCATGATATCAGAGACATCAACGGAAGCGATATCATCAGGTACAAGTCGAAAGGCGGGAAGGCGAACCTCACTCAACAGCCAGGCCTGCGGCCCGCTGCTAGGCCTGAACACCGCGACAGGACCTGCAGGCACATACGAATTGGCAATTGGAATACATCAAGATATCGTCTTCCGTGAAAAGGGCTTGACACGAGCAATGGGTGGGCGTTGGCATGTCCGCACGCCTTTGCAAGAACAAATTTGTCCGTTGAAGAGGCGGCGCACCTTCCATGGAGCAAGGGTAACTGTCTGCTGCATCCAGAAGTGCACGTCTCCAATTGACGGTTGCAGCTGACGCTAGCGGCAGCACTAGCAGCGGCAACAGCCATGTAATGCGCGCCGGAAGCGTTGGAACCCAGGCGCGTTGCGCCGGGCCTCGACATGTAGATCGCATTGAAGGATTGCAATTAAACTGGCCAAGATGGTCAGTGTAGTCCTGACGACAGAACGGGCTTATTTAAACTCGGACGGAAGTCGCAACGTCGGCAGGCGCGGAAGCTAATTGAATTATGCGCAACTGCTTAAGATACTATAGTTAATCCAATTGAACTTTATGCAACTGATTTTTCTTTCCCTAACAAGCGGGATCTAGTTAATGTGCGCGGTCTGTCTCTAACGCCTACAACTGTTTGTTTTCTATGCTGTTGTCAATTATCAATGCATACTATGAAAGTAAGCTGCGTTAACATTTAAGGTGCTCATGCTTGTGTACGAGTGGGGGGGTGATATGAAAAGTTGTAGCAGCGCGACTTGTCCGGTAGCGGAATCGGTGTACGAACTTGTAATACTGCCAAGACATACTCAACAATTATTACGGGGACCAAAAAGCTTGTTTTAATTTGAACAGCCCCCCTATGTCTTGGAGCCTCGGAACAGTCAAGCACAGCATCGCAGCACAGCACGCGCTTACCAGGCTGGATCCGTTCTCAGCTGTCAGGCGTGCCATGCCACAATTGGAGCTTATTTCTTTCTTTACAAAAGCTATAGGCAATGTATATACTCGTCTTTCTTGCAAATTCGTTCATCGGATAGGTCGGAGGCCAAGAACGATGAGGCCCAAAATGCAACGAAAACAGCCGCTAATTGTTATAAGTTGCAGGGAGTACGCTCCAACTGCTGAAAGATTTTGGTTACAAAACGTCAAGATGCATTCGTCCCGCTCGCTTGCGTCTTCAACCTGCCAATATGCGCTGAACGGCCCAATGTCGCTGGGCGCGCAAGTGACGAAAGGATGGATACTTCTATTACAGATGAAGTAGAAATAATCTTCTTTCATTGCGGCCGTTGGCGCAACACTAAGCCTTTCTCCGAAACGTCTGTCGGTAAACTCGCCCATGGCCCAACCGGTATGGCCCACGGCCGTAAACAGCTTTACCATGCCTGCCTAGTAGACCTCTACATGACAGCACGCCGTGCGATTTTCGCGGCTATTGGGGCTAAATGCAGGGTACACTTTGGCAGGACTGGGCAGTGGGAGCAGGTTGCGGAAGGCAGCACGGTGGTTCATGTCACACACCCGGGTTACCGCACATTACCGCAGCCGCCGGCCGGCCTGATGGACCAACGTTAAACGCCGACAAAGTGGGCATGTCATGTGCATGCCGCAGCACGAAAGGAGTTGGAGCAGCAGGGAGTTGGTGCTACTACACAGCAAGCATGGAACAGGACGGTAATAGAACCCATGTCTTCAGCCGCTGTACGAGCCAAAAATGTACTGACGCGTTTCCCACTGCCCTCGCAGGGCAGCATGGGCATTAGGCACGGCACTAGCTGTTCATACGTTCCAAACCTCCATTGTCGTCCCCGTGTTGCCATCCGTGGGGCCGTCACGTAAGTCCCAGACCAGTGTGCCGCCCAGGCTGACCCGCAGGTAACGTATGCGCCAGCAACCAAAGCCTCGTTCGCATGCGGCGCATGCAGCAGTACACAGGACCGGGTGTTTTTGCGGCGTCTATCGAGTAAGGGTTGGGTCACCCTGGACTCCCGGCTTGCTGTTTGGTGCCGCGAGCATTTGTGGTAAGTGAAATACCGGTACCAACCACAAATGAGGGCAAGGCAAAGGGGATAGGAGGCGGCAGGGTGCCGCGAGCGCTGGGGGCTGCCGTTCTGCTAATGCGTGAGGCTTGTTGCTGTCCTGTTTGTGGGCCCAAAACCGGATAGCATAGCTCATCCATGATAGGAGAGATTGGCATGGGGGAAGGGAGAGAGCAAGGGGGTAGTGCTAGGCAGGGAAGTCCGGGATCAGGCTAAGGGCGTGCGACAAGAAACTGGTATCGGAGAAGAGCGTACACTACCAAGCAGGAGCGGATAGGGCATACTACCGGTAAGGATAGCAAATCTAATTGGGCCATGGTGAGTGCCGATGTTGGATGTTGGGGCCGCCCTAGGTTATGGGGTCAGGTGTTCTGTGTCCACAAATTATGTGCCATAGCCACCACCATGCTTAAGACTGCACCCTCACTCCCTTAAATCCTTGGTCCACGGCACTGGGTTTGCCGTACGCAAGCGTAAAAGTGTAATCACTTGCGCGCCTTTACAAGGATAGGTGGCGTCTGTACCAGCAGTGTATTTAGTCATTAGCCGTCATAAGAATAGTTGCGCGTTATCCTTGACATACACTGCTTCTGGACTTCGCGACCCTTGGCGTTTCAGCATTGGCTAACCACGCTTGCCACTTAGCCCAGATCAGCTGTCATTGCTTGGATGTCCACCGATAAAACTCTACGTGCAATAGCCTTGCGCCCAGAGAATAAGCGATGTTTCAACTGCGACGCTTTAGGATGCGCCTACGTTGTCCCAAGCGTCGCAATTTTTGTTTGCACGGAGTGCTCTGGCCACCAGTAAGATACCTAGCAGCTATTTATATATCATAGCCTCATCGTGTCGCGTAATCCAAGCAAGGGTATTGTTGCAACAACAACTCAATCCTGCGACGATGCTTGCAGCATGAACATCGGTCACCGCGTCAAATCCATGAGCATGAGCAAATTCTCGCCAGAGGAGGTTGCTGCTTTGGACGTTGGAGGCAACGCGGTGCGGGCCCAGGGGCCGGGACACAAGGGTGTCGGGTTGCCCTTGTGTGCTGTTATCCTCCAACTAGGCCGCTCCAGCCACCCACTTCGGCTACTTCGCTACCTGTACCTGTGACCAAGTAAACTCAAGTTGCGTCCCTGTCCGTGTGCATGCTGAGCCCTAACCCATGGCGATCGTTTCCCACGTTGCCGTACACCCTCCCCGCCCTCAGGCGGCTGCTCGCACATGGCTGGCGAGCTGGAAAGCCGAGGGGGACGCGCGCAAGCCGGTTGATAAGAACCCGCGAAAGGTACGACCGTACGACACGCCCTGGGAGGTTGGCGGGTCTTGTGGAGCAGCGCTTGCAGCGGAAGGACGCCTCGTAGGGGAAGATTTGACCGAGTCTTTCGGTAACAGCTGCGAGCCATGCACATGAAGCCAGACAAAGCACGCCTCCCCAAACCCCCCTTCCTTCAATCTCTTTCCACCCTCCCTCCGCGCCCCTTCCCCTCCTCAGCTGGACGCCTGGGTCCGCACCGTGTTTCAGGACAAGCGCTACTTCAGCAGCAAGCCCCTGCCAACACCGCCCCCGCAGGTGCGTGCAGCCGCCGCCTCCACCGCTGCCGCCGTCACATCTCACGTGCGCGGAAGAAGCACACCCCTGCCCTGCCCTTTCTCCCTCTCCCTCCCCCTCTTCATCTCCTAGCGCGCAACGCAGCAGTAGGCTTCGTAGGTCTCGTAGGGACGCTAGGTCAACCCTCTCGCTGATCCTCATCGCTTCCCAGCAGCTTGCCCGCCCGCCCACTCCCTTGGCTCTTCTTCTCCCCCCCGGTTCGTTAGTCGCCTCCTCTCCCCCTGCCGTTTTTCTTTTTTGCCCTTTATGGTTTCATATGGTTTCACTTGGTCCAATTTGACCCCCCCTCCTTTCCCTCCCAGGCTTCCTCCCACGGCGCCGACCACATCCCGGTGCGGGAGCTGTCGGACCTGCTGGGCAGCCCGCCGGGGGCCGTCAAGCTGACGGTGGGGCAGGGAATTAATGTTAGGGGTAAACTGGGGTAAAGAGGAAGACACGGGCGAGCTGTGTGTGTGTGGCATGTAGGGTTCACCATGGGGGAGGGGTGCACACATGGTATAGCCGGCTATACCTGCCACCCACCGACCTGCCACCCACCGACCTGCCACCCAACGACCTAGCACCCACCGACCTGCCACCCACCGACCTGCCACCCACCGACCTGCCACCCACCGACCTAGCACCCACCGACCTAGCTCCCACCGACCTAGCACCCACCGACCTAGCACCCACCGACCTAGCACCCACCGACCTGCCACCCACCGACCTGCCACCCACCGACCTGCCACCCACCGACCTGCCACCCACCGACCTGCCACCCACCGACCTAAACACCCACCTTCCGCCCTGCCCGGAGGCAGCTAGGGAGAGAAACCAAACCAACTGAAATCACAACTTGGGGCCAAAGCAATGTGGGGATAGGAGGCGGCAGGGTGCCACAAGGCAAGGGAGGGGGCCAGGGGAGGAGACAGAGGGGATGCAGGTGAGATGCAAGTGGGGGTGCGTGCGTACGGCAGGCTGATCTTTTGACCCTCCCCACCATGCGCAGGTCAGCCCAACGCCTTCCCTGACTGACAGTCCCGGTCTGACGTCATCAGCGACAGTTGCAACGGCCTCAACCGCTGCAACCACCACGTCGGCGCCAGCTGCGCCGCTGCAACCGGGCTTAACTGCTGCAGGCTGGGGACACGGCGGGTGAGTGGGCTGAGGGCTGGGGCGGGGTGGGTGTTGGGAGCAGTGAGGGCGATGAGAGAGGAGCGCAAGAGGGGTTGATTGGACTTGAGGGTGAGAGACGGAGGGGTGCAAGCCTGTGGGAGGATGATGGATGGTGGGCTAGGGCCATTGGACATGGCTGTGGCTTACAGGCTGGCTGGCTGCTGCGGTATTGCATGTTGCTAACGTTCCTGCCGCGCACTGGGGGGAGTTGGGGTAAGCAGCACGAAAACGGTTCTGGGAGGCTGCGATTGCTACCCAATCCATTTCCGCGCGCTCTCTCCTTCCTTCCTTACCCCGTTCCGTATACAAACACGCGTCACTCTTACCCCCCGCCCCGCCCGCCCTCCCCCGTCCAACCAGGCATCCAACCGGAACAGTGACTCCCGCCCCCGCTGCTCCCCATGCCGCTGCCGCCGCCGCCGCCCGGCCCGGCCCCGCCGCCGCCTCCTCAGCCCCCCTGACCTTCACTGACAACGCCTTCGGACCTCCGCAGCCCTCCACCTCCAGCACCGCCGCCGCCGCCCCCACCGCCGCCACCCCCTCGCCTGCCGGCGCCGCCGCCCCCATGCCGCACTTTGACCCCTTCGGAGCCTTCGTGGCCGCACCCCCGCCCCATCCCTCCGCCCCAGCTGCTGCCCCCCGTGCTCAACCTCATCCCGCCGCTTCATCTTCATGGTCGTCAGGACCTGCGGCCATCTTCCCCCCGCCGTCGGCGGCAGCGCCGTCAGCGATGCAAGGTCTTCGTCCGCCTAGCACCAGCGGTGGCGGTGGCGGCGGCGCAACAAGCACAACCACAGCGCCGCACATAGGGCCCATCACGGTGCAGCGCCAACCGGCGGAGGCTCCCGCTCCCGCTGGGGTAACGGCGGCGGCGGTGTCCTCCGTCGGGAGCTACTTTAACGATGATGCCGATTGGGGAGCCTTCGCCGCTGCATCCCCGATTAAACCGCCGCCTCCGCCGCCGCCCGCAGGAGCCGCCTTGCCCCCGCTGCAGCCGCCGCCGCCGCCACAGCCCTCCAACCAACAACACCAACAACAGCAACACCCCATCACATCGCCAACCGCAACAGCCGCAACGACGTCAACAACCGCAACGACATCAACAACCGGGGCTTCAGCAGCTCCGAAACCTGCGGCCCTGAAACCACCGCGTGCCGAGCTGCCAAGTGACCTGTTTTCGGAGCCGGTGGTTCCGGTCGGAGTGATGGCAGGAGGCGGAGGAGGTGGAGGAGCGGGCGTGGGGGTTGCTGGGATGGCGATGCCGGGAATGGGTATCGTCATGATGGGGCAGCAGCAGCAGCAGTTGCTGCCGGCTGGCCGGCCGGGGGTGGCGCATGCGGCATCGTTTGGGGGAGTGGGCGCGGTTGGGTATTCCTTCCATGCAGGCGTGTCCCAGACAGGTATGCCGGCTGGGTTGGCTTCGAGTGGAGGAGTGGGGAGCATGGGGGGCGCGGCTGGGTATGAAATGGGGCCGCATGGGATGGCAGGTGGGGTGGGGTATCCTGCGCGGCCGGGGATGGTGGTTGGTGGAGGTGTGCCGTCGATGGGCGGGATAGCAGGCCCGGGGGCTATGGGAGCGTTTAGCTTCGGCCAAATGAGCGCTGCACTACCGCAGCCGACACAAGGGTCGGGTGTTACGGGGAATCCGTTTGCGTGAGGGTTGGACTGCGTTTTGTCAGCGGTTCAAAGAAACCAGCAAATGGAGGCGAACCTGCGAAGCAACAGAATGGAGTCAGTAGTTGAGCAAGATCAACGAGGAATGTAGGTTTTCCGAGTACTTCACTTTGAGCGGTTGGCCTTGGATGTTGCCTCTGCGGTACTTTTGTGAATGCCGCATATGTTGATATGCCATACACTATTGTAACCTGCATACTACACAATTTGCAACAATGCCTGGTGGGAAGCTAGACGAGGAACTTGAAGACGACCCGTTTGAGGGCGTCGAGCTTGGAGACGATGCCCCAGAGCCTACCCAGGAAGAAATGGACGAATGGGCCACACTAGATACGCCAGATGAGGATTTGAGCCCCAAAGAAGGACTTAAGGGCGTAGGCAGCAGCAATGAGGACAAGCCCGCGCCATCTGCGTCCGAGCCAGAGGCCCAGGCGGATATGAGCAGGAAGGATACAGAAGAAGCGAAAGCAACTGATCCTGTGGCTGGAGCCAGCGCTACGACTCCTGCAAGCGAGGTGTTGGCTGTCGAGCCCGAAAATGTGGCTGGCCTGCAGCAAGAAGGTGGAGCTGAAGCTGCGGAATTACCGACTACAACATCATCTGGTCCTGCAGCTGCTGCTCCTGCGCCCTTTGCAGTAGGGCTATCAGAAATTACCCCTTCCTTCTCGCCTCCTGTTGTTGCGCTCGGCAATAAGCTCAAGCCCGAGATCAATGCCGATCTAGATGATGAAGACCAGTCGATGGGGGAGGAAGAGGATGCCCCGCAGCAGCAGCGACAACCTTCGCAACAGGCAGGAGCTGGTTGGGGCGTTGGTTGGGGAACCGGCTGGGGCCTCGGCGCTCTGGGCGGCAAGCTACGTGAAGTAGCCGCAGGAGCGGTGCGCGATGTCAAGGATTTGACGGAGACCTTCCAGGCTGCCCTTGCCGATGTAACCGGTGCGGAAGATGAGGAAGAGGAGGCCGCCCGGCTCAGCGCCATGGACCGTGCTGCTGAGGATGCTGCTGCATCCGACAAAACGGTGTCAGAAGAAGAGGCCGCGCAAGCGTCGGGCTCGGCCTTGCCCACGGCTGCTCCACGCCAGGCTTCTGAGCCCTTGCGCGACACCGCTGGAGACGCCTCCACCAAGCCAGCCAGCCACCAAGCCAGCCGCGAGACCAGCGCGGGGGGTGCGCCTCCCGCTGGCACCCGGGAGGAGCCTCCCAGCCCACCCGCCGACCCCGCCCTGGAAGTTGGGTTGCAGGTAGGCGCGGCTGCAAGGGGTTCTCCTTCCGGAGGCACGGCCGCAAAGTGTGATCCCAGGGTTGTTCACAGGGCACTTTCCCCACGTCCCTCCCTCAGGTCCTCCCTCCTCCCCGACAATAGCTAGTTTCCCCGTTACCTCCTTTCCTCCTCCCTCGTTTCCTTCCCTCTTTCCTCCCTCCTCTCCATCTTCCTGCCCCTTCCTACCCTCCATCCTTCCTTCCTCCCCATCCGCCTCCCCCTTCTCGTTACTGCACCTATCACTTATCATTTTCGCCCACCCCTTTCTTCCTCCCCGCCTCCCTGCCAGGCCATCGACGCACAGGTGGAGCAGCTGGCCAGCGGCGCCGCGCGCGCCTTCAGCTCGCTGTGGGGCGGCCTGAGCAGCGTGGCCAAGGTGGTGGCGGCGGAGGTGGCGGCCAGCGTGGCGGACGTGGGGGGCAGCGGCGCGGTGCGGGGAGTGGCGCAGATCGGGACCAAACTGGCGCATACGGCGGAGAGGGGGCTGGAGGTGAGGCTGCGGGGGCTGGAGCGGGGCGGGGCGGGGCGGGGTAGGAGAAGAAGGAACTGATGGGCTGTATGATGAGGCAGGGCCGGGCGGGCGGGACGGGGGAAGAAGTGAGGGTGGGAGGAAAGGAAGGGAGGGGTTGGAGGCGTGTGTTGTGATAACTGGCCGCGAGGCGAAACGTACTGTGATTGCCGAAAGATGAAGGCGTGTGTGCGTCCATATCCGGGGTACTTGCAAATCGTTGCTGCTGCCGTTGCTGTTCACGATGTGTGGCCTTGCCTCCCTCCCTCCCTCCCTCCCTGCCTGCCTGCCTGCCGCTACCCCAGACGGTGGGGCGGACCGCGTTGGGGCTGCTGGAGGAGGTTGCGGGGGTGGGCGGGGCGGCGGGGGCGGGGCGGCGCCGCATCTGGGGCGAGGAGGCGGACGCGCGCGCCGCCGACATGGGCCGCGAGCCGGCGTCGTTCCAGGTGCGGGCCTGCACCTGTTCTCGACCGTACCGTATTTTAGGCACCGGCGTCCCATGCATCTATATACACTTTACGGGATACGGTCGCACTTGCAATGACGGCTCTGCCCTTCTGCGTCTCTCACCTGCATTCTCCCTGCCCTGGTTGAGTACCTTCTTCCTGCCCCCATCGTTCCCTCTGCTATCCTACCTCTCCCCCTTCCTCCTCCCCACACGGCCGGTTACTTGTTTCCTCTTTATCTCTCCCCCCTTCCCCCAGGACTTTTTCTACATCTACGGCGGCGAGCAGCTGGCGGAGGAGGTGACGCACCTGGCCAACGAGTGCGCGCACCTGTGCAACAAGTCCAGGTCCAAACTGGAAGGTGGGGAGGGAAGAGGAAAGGGACGAGCTGTATGACAAAGCTTCACCATGCGTTGGAAGATGGCGGGTAGTGTCAGTAGGGGAAGAGGTGGGGCAACATGTCCAGGGGAAGGAGCTGGATTGTGGGCCGGAGGGCGCGATCGAGGATGGGTGTCCGGGGTAAGTATCATGCGAGTGAGGAATGCAGGCCGGCGCCGCGGCGACTCGCCATGCGCGTTGTAACGGCCGCCGTGCGCCGCGTGCTACAGCTCCTGCAGTGCGCAGCTGTCTACCCATATGCCCTTCTCCTTTTTCCCCGCCCCTTTCCCCCTCCGGCCCCACAGCCGACCAGCAGCAAGCCCTGGACGAGGTCCTCGCCCGGCTGGGGCCCTACTTCAACGACCCCGCCATGCTGGGCCTGCCGCAACCCTCAACCGCCTCCACCTCCGATACTGCGGATGCTGCCGGCGTTTCAGCTTCCGGAGCGGTTTCGGAGCTGCCGTTGCCTGATCTGGATCTGGCTGAGGGCAGTCGCGAGGCGGCGGAGCGGTTGGGAGTTATGTACGACCCCATCGGCTACCTGTGCCAGGACAGCCAGTCGCGATCTGAGGCCTTCCTGCTGCAGATCCGGGAGGCTGCGGCTGCGGCTAAGGGGGACAGGTGGGGCTGAGGTTGGGTGCGTGGTGTATGTGTGTGAAGTACAGAAGGGGAGTTGGGGGGAAAGCATGCGGCAATGTTTCTCTGCACTCCTTGCCCCGCTTTATGGTATCTCGAGGCTTCGCAAGCGGTGTTACTGCGTCCCTCTCTCCTCACGGCTTAATCTCGCTCCCTCCTCCTGACCCCGACACGTCTTGGCACACTCCAGGAGCGGTGAGGCCTCTGCCTCACATGCCGAGGGGGAGGCCCTGAAGCAGCCGCTGCTGGCGCCTGAGGAGGGGCAATCTCTGGAGGGCGGCGAGGATGCGCGGCTGTCGGCAGCGGCGGCGGCGCAGCAGCAGCCTCCTGCTCCCGCAGTTCCGGAGCTGCTTGCGGCCTTCCGTGGCCACTTCACCAAGCGCGTGGCGGAGGTGACGACGGCACAGCTGCAGCTGATGCTGAACTTGGGGGCAAGTCTGGCGGCACCCGCGAGGACTGGCAGGTGGGTGGGTGAAGGGGAAGAGTGCGGAGATGCTCAACTGCGGGGTTGGGTAGCGGTAGTTACCGGGGATTGCGCTTGCAAGCGGTCCGTTGGAGTCATGGAGCTACCTACAAGCCCGCATGGCCCCGCGGTTGTCTGCGCGTTCATCCTGGTTCTCAAGCCACCGTGGTCAGGCAACCCCTGCTTTGCTTACCCTGCCATGCAACCCTGTGCCCTGCAGGCCGGCCGTGGACGGCATCTCCTGGCCTGACAGCAGCGAGCAGCAGGCGGCGCTGCTGGCGGGGGAGGCGCGGCGCATGGTGGCAGACCTGCAGACCGTCACCGACGCCTACCTCGCCACGGTCGCCGCACTGCGCACCCAGAAGCAGGAGGAGCAAGGCGGCGCCGTGGAGGGCGGTGTGGCGTCGTCTATGTTCTTGGGCGTGGATGAGGCGGCTTTGGAGGAGATGGAGGCCTCCCTGCGGGTGTACGCCGAGTCGGCGAGTGCGTCGATCAAGGCGGGGTACAAGGGGCTGTTGTACGCGGTGTTGCTGCGCAGCCTGGTGACCCGGGTTGCACAGCAGCAGCAGGAGGAGGAAGAGGGGGAGCAGGAGGAGAAGGTAGACGCGGAGGATGTGGTCATGGAGGTGCAGCGCGCTGCACAGTAGTGGTACTAGTGGATGCATTTTAGATGCCGTGCTCTAGCATCAGAGTTGCGGCTGTCGTGGATTTGTGGGTGTAATATTCTTTGTACAGCACAGCACTGGGAAGGCATGGTATAAAGTGGGGGACTAGGTGAAGGATGTACGCTAGCCTCGTCCTGTTGTAGTCGGGGGTTTAGATCCCGACACTCCGACTCTTTGCATGTTTATCGTGTGCAGCGTTCTATAAATGCTTTTCGGAGCTTTCTTGTAACCTCAAAAGGCTCTAATTGCTTATGTCACGAAGGCCACAACGCACGAGAGAGGGAATCTTGATGCCTTGGCAGTAACAAGGCTGGGCAGTAACTCCGACTTGTTTGGCAGCGGCAACAGGGCAAGGCAACCACAGGCTTTGCGCCATCATCGCCGCGCGCATGTCTCCAGACGCGACGCCATCCACGCGCCAAACACTCCATGCGAACCAGTTAAGTTTTCCGCAACACTCAAAAGCGGCCATCCTGCCTCATGCAGCCAGACGTCGCGGCTGGGACAGGCTGATTCCCTTAACTGTACGGACTCCACCATACTAAGATGAGGCCTGCCAAGGTGCCAGCCGCCATCTTGCCACGTCCACCAACTTGACAGCAGCGGGCCTATGCACTCGTCGCAGGCCGCTCCTACAGCGAAACCACTACTTGCGCAAACTAACCCATTCACCCCTCAAGCATCCTGCAAAGCACCACAAAGGCGCCGTTACCCTAAGGCTACTACTGCTGCATCACAACAACGCAGCCGGCTGGGTTACACAGGTAACGGCACAGCGGAACCACAGCGAAACCCAACTGCATCCCCTTGCTAAACGTAGTCCCCCGTCCCCAACGCTCATGCACACCACTGTCCAATTAGAGCGCCACGTAGCGCACCAGAAACCCGGCAGCGTAACCCCAACCACAGCTCGCTGCCAGTGGCTACGCGTTTGAGCTGCGTCACTAGTCGTTGGCCTCGCTGCCCAGCTCCTTCGCCAAGTACTCCTTCAGGGCCGCTGCGCAAATCTCGGTGTCCGTGGGGCTGAGGTTGAACTGCTGTGACAGCTCGCCGGCCAGGCTGTCGGCTGTGTCCATCTCCGGGTCGAAGACAAACTCAATGTCGCGTTTCAGCTGATTCTCCTCGCCCGGCTTGGTGACGCCCAGCATTGTCAGCTGGAAGTGCAGCTTCCCGTCTAATGTTTTAGCGTTAAACACAAACTCGTAATCCTCGCCTTTGAGCCGGCCGACAGCGATGCTCGCCTCGCCAGCGCCCCCGTCCGGCTCCACGCCCGACCCTGCCAAAGCGTCCTCTGTTCGCCGCTTTTCTGCCTGGCCACCGCCCTGCTCAAGCGGCAATGCTGACAGACTTTTCGCTGAAGCGCTGAAGTCCGAGTCGAGGCCACCGCAGAGCTTGGTTGTGTCTTTTCGCAAAGCGAAGAAGGGATCGGCAAGCAGCTGCTCTGCCGTAGGCCGCTGGTCCGCAGGTCCCAAGCATTTCGCGATAAACGCGCGGGCCTCCTCGTCGGTCACCTCCTCCAGCAGCTGCGGCCAGTCGGAGCAATGCTGCGGGTCCAGCTGCTTAAGCGTAATGAGCTCCAGCATACAAAGGCCGAACGCAAACACGTCCACCGACGTGTCAAATACGCCCTTGTGGCCCTCGTGCTCCTCCCAGCGATAGGGCAGCAAAGTTGCCAAGCCCAGGTCGCCGATCTTGATTTCTCCGCTGTGGCCGTTCACGTATATCTTGTCACAGCGAAGGTCTCCGTGCGTGACCGACGGGCACATGCTGTGCAGATACACCAGGCCGCGCAAGATCTGCTTGGCCATACGCTTCACGGCTTTCAGGTCGAGGTGCTTGTGCATGTTGCGATACTGGCGCAAGTTGCCCGACGTAAAGAGCTCCGTAATGAGGTTGATGCAACCGTGCTCCTGGTCCTCCCAGCACCGAAAGCATTTAATGATGTTGGGGTGGTCCAGCTCAAGCCCGGTCATCATGTCCCTGGCCACACTGTGCAGCTGCTCTCCGCTTAGGTGGTTCGCAGCCGCGCTAACCTTGCTCCATGCCACGTCGATTCCAATTTGGCTGTGCGGGCAAGGATGGCAGCCAGCAATAAGTAACAGGAAGCCAAAATGCCGGGAGCAAAGAATTATTTGCCCCAGGCAAAGGCCCAAGATAACCCCCGTGCGTTCGGCGCACCTGTTGAATGCTTTAAAAACGGTCTTGAATCGCCCCTTGCCCACTGGCTCCTTATAGCGGCAGTAGCTGCCTTCAGGGTCCACTTCAGCTATCTCCTCGTCACCGTCACCAGCGTTCTGTTGCCCACCGGACGGTCCCGAGTCCTCCATGTTAACTGCCCTTTGCGTCGCGGTGGTAAAGCGCCGAAAATGCTACAAGCTCGGGATACTAGTTGCGGTGAAGAGCCTCCGCACTCCCGCTTTCGCGGCCCAAGCTTGCACTCTCATCGCTGGTGCTGAATTGGCTTCATAGCTTAACAGTTTGTCGTTATAACAGTAGGCTGCTAACTACGCCGCCTCCCAATAGGGGAGAGCGGGTCAAGGGGCGGCTCCAAGAAGATAAGATGGATGCAAGGGACACAGCTACTTTTGTTTGCAAAGAACACAGAGCACAGGTTACTGGGCGAGGCGATCGGGGCCTCCTCATTTGTCTCGCGGTTGTCGTACGCACACGGATTTAGGTGACCGCCTACGGTAGCTCCGGCATTAAAATTCCCTATCGGCTTGATTGAATTAGGACAGCGTTTCGCCAATATGCCAAGCGCCTGGAGTACATCCGGCTTCGGTGGGCCCTCCCTAGGACTTCTTCTGCAACGAGTTGTCATCTGTTTATGTTTTACGCGACTTTTAAGGGTAGACCTCGTAATGGCGTGCCAGTAGTTTTAAGAGTTTATAATAGCGACCCGTGGACCAGGGCAATTCCTCCGCGCATCAACATAAAGGAAAGGCATTGTTTGCTGGATTGCTGGATATGCGCATCTCTGCTGCTGTGCTAAGAGAAGTACGATATGACGCATCTCACAGGATCATTGAGGCTATGGCCGAACGCGCAAGTACTGACTCTATACAAATCCTACGGTGAGTTTGCTAACTACAGCTGTGCGGCCCAACTGTCTGAGCACGCCTGCAACGTATCTATGGCTACATGCTCGGGCGAGGACGTGCCTTCATCGCATCAGGCCCTAACCTTTGGTCCACGTGCCACTCCAAACTCCACCTCCCACCGGCAGTCCATCTGTCTCTGTCCCCATCTGTCTCCATGCACCTGTATCCTTCATGCATTGTACCAGGACAGCCATCAGTCCCGCGCCTATGCATCCGAGCCTTCAATCCCCTCCCCTCACATCGGAAAGGGTACTTCCCCGCCATCGCTTTCCCGGCAGCATTATACGCCAGCAGACAAACAGCCACCTCACACGTGAGGCCTTTCCTCCACTGATGCCTCTCCCCTATTCCCCAGCAGCGCTTGCAGCCCCATCACGCCCTCCCGGAGGCCATCGGACCACCACCCCGCCCCTCTCCCCTCCCTGCGCGCGTTGTACTCTGCTTACTGCTACCGACCCCACAGAATCTGACTATACACAATCCACAATGCCAGCTTGTGCGGAATTTCCACCTCCTTTTAATCCCTGTGGCCTGTGCACCTCCCTCCACCGCGCATCCCCACCTCCCCCTCCCCCCAACCGCACCTTTGCCACCCCCAACCTCGACTATTAAATTCCTCCCTACGTACCACCTCCTCAACCCCCCCGTCACCGCCCCCCGGTTGCTGCACTTTTCATTAATGGTTTCCTCCTCACCGCCCCTCCCGCTCCCTCATCGCCCCCAGCGCCCCCTCCAGCGCCAGCGCCCAGTGCGTCCAGTGGCTGCCCCCCTGGCAGTAAACCACGTACGGCGGCCGTACGGGTCCGTCCGCCGACAGCTCCGCAGTGGAGCCGTCGATGAAGGTGCCGTCGGCGAAGATGACCTCGTCGCCGTAGCCGGCGGTGACGCCTGGGGGGCGGGGCGGGGAGTGGGAAGGTGGATTATGAAGGTTGGCAGGTCAGGAAGCAGTGGAGGTTTTTGGTGGATTGGATTACCGGTTATTGCCCACCAACGCACATCGCGATCAGAGAGATATACAAATGCACACATACATATGCAAAAACACGCATACCTGGTTCCGGTGAGATGTAGGAGCCGATGGGGCAGGTGCGCTGAATGCCGCCGCAGAAGGCCTTCATGGCCTCCCGGCTGCCCAGCTGCACGGCGGTGATCATGGACCACACGGGCGGCAGGCCGGGGGCGGGCACCACGGGGTAGCCCTCGCGGTGCAGCAGCTGGGGGGGGGAGGGGGAGGGATACATGTTCCTGTTAGGCTGGATAGGTGGATTAACAGCTGGGGGATTAAGCGGGATACATAACGGGTATTCCTCATTAGGCTGGATAGGTGAGTTAGCAGCTGGGGAAGGGGAAAATTATATAATAAATGCAAACAACTAGAGTCCCAATCCCATAGGGGAAGGGGAGGGGAGGGGCAGAGAGATACCCAACTGTAAGCATGGATTAGGCAGTCAGGGAGTAGGGTGCTGTGGGGGGGGAAAATTATATAAGAAATGCAAACAACTAAGTCCCAATCCCATATCCCGACTCATGCAGTGAGCGCATGGGGGGGGGGGTGCGGTGGGGCGAGGCGAGGTTGGGGGAGGTGGAGAGGGTCAACCGGAGAGCAACAAAGCGCCCGTTCCCATGGGAACCCGTACTTTTGGGGAAACAGCCATTTCCCCCTTTGGGGGAAGGGCCCCCCCCTTCCCACTCAGCTGCCCCTTCTATACACGTGTTCCCCCCTGCATGCACCTCCGTCCTTACGGCTTTACAGCGCTCTCCCTAACCCCCTTCTCCCCTCCCTCGCCACTTGTTGTTCTCACAGCCTGGGAGTCCTCCTGCTTCGTCCCTCCCTCGACCTCCCATCACCTTTTGACCTCCCTCCCACTACACGTCATCCCATCCACCTCGTTTTCTTCCCCTCTTCCCCCTCTTCTCCGCCCCTCTTCCCGCTCTTCTCCGCCCCTCCTCCCGCCCGCCCCCACCTCCGCCACCAGCCTGCCCCCCTTGAGCGCCTCCCCCGTCATCTGCGGCGCCAGGAACAGCCCCTGGAACATCAGCCGCAGCGTGGAGCCGCCCACCGCGCCCGCGTCGCACCCCACACCCGGCGCGTACAGGCGGGCGCCCACGCGGGAGATGAGGTCGGCGCGACCCGCCACGTAGCCGCCGCAGGGGGCGATGTTGCCGCCTGGAGGGGAGAGAGGAAGGGAGTAGGGAAGGAGGGAGGGAGGAGGATGGGTTGGAAGGAGGGTTGGTGCGAGGTAGGTCGAAGAAAGTGCGCTCGGCGGCCCCTCTCCTGATCGTACCCGCACCCTCTCAGGTATACCACAGTCAGGCTTCCGCGGCTCCGTTTAATCCCCTCACCCCCTCACCCGGGTTCTTGATGAGGGAGCCCATGACAAGGTCCGCCCCCACCGCGCAGGGCTCCCGAGTGTCAGTGAACTCGCCGTAGCAGTTGTCCACCGTCACCACCACACTGGGGTCCTGAGACTTGATGACCTGCAGCAGCAGCAGCAGCAGGGGGAGGGAGGGAGGGGGAGGGAGGGAGGGTTGGAGAGGTTGAGGAAAATCCGCATTAGGCTGGATGGAGGGGTAGTGGGGAGGGAGAAGGGGAGGAGGGTGGGGCTCGGGGTATTAGATAAACTGAGCCGCGGAAACACTGACCCTGACCGTAGATTACCGGAAATTGCTTGATTGGCTCGGGGTGTGAGAGTAGGCTAGTGGATTCATTGCTAGTCAGCCAAGCATGATCTGCCCCTCTCCCCCTCCCCTTCCCCTTGTCGTCTGGTTTGCCATTATCAGTCAACACATTGGGTATTCTCTCTTACCCCCCCCCCGCCTTCCCCATGGTCTTTCCGCTTCCTCCTCTTCTCCTTGTTTTCCCCTACCTTGACCGCCCGCTCGATCTCCTCGATGCTCAGAGTGGGTCGCAGCGCGTAGCCGCAGGAGCGCTGGATGTGCGCCACACGGGTCTTACCTGGGGGACGGCGGGGGCAGGGGGCGGGGGGCGGGGGGCGGGGGGATTAGCTAAACGGAGTCGCGGGGGGCAAAAGGGGGATAGGAATGGGGGAGAGGAGGGCTAGTGGGGGCAGTGCTGGGAGCATGCATGCATGCATGCAGGCAGGCATGCAGGCAGGCGGCCGGCAGAAGGCGGGGACGGGGTCCGGGCATGATAGCTTTCCGCCCCCTACCCCCCATTCCCTTTGCCCCCCCTTCCCCCGGCCTCACCCGGCACCACCGCCCTGCCCAGCGCCTCCCAGTCGATGCTCCCCCCCTCCGTCAGCGCCAGCTCGCGGTAGCCCACCCCCCACTCCGCCAGCGAGCCGGCGCCGGGACTGCCGCGGGAGCCGATCACCTCCTCCAGCGTGTCGTAGGGGCTGGTGGAGGGGGGGAAGAGGGAGGTCAAGAAAGACCAAACCAACTAACTAGTCTCGTGGCACCCAGCCGCATCCTACCGGTATCCCCATTGCTTTGCCCTAACCCGTGTTTTCCTATGGCCGGATATGGTCTTTCCCTGCCCGCCTCCGGCCTTATCACGCGGTCAGTTAGTTGTTTCCTCTTTCTTTCCCCCCCCTCCCTCCCGCATACACATTAGGTATTCTTCTTTCCCTCCCTCCCCTCCCTCCTCCGTGTCCCGCCACTCACTGCCCCGCCACCGCCAGCATCTCGTCCCCCGGCCGCAGCACCGCGAACAGCGCCGCGGCGATGGCGTGGGTGCCGCTCACGAACTGCACGCGCATGAGGGCGGCCTCGGCGCCCATCACCTCAGCCATCACCTGGGGTCAAAGACCATACCGAACCATAGGAGGGGGAGAAGAGGGGAAGGGGGAGGGAACAAAGATGAATACCCAATGTGTAAGAGGGGAAGGGAGGGGAGGGGAGGGAGGAAGGGTTGCACAAGGCAATTAAACTTAGCCCTTGGCCCGTTATGTGTCTTAGGCAACTTGAGTGTATTGTGTAGCAAGTACAAAAACACGGGCCCTTGCAGCCATCATGGTATGATATGAAGCAAACGTAAGGGCGCATAGTACATAACAGTCGATGGTGACGATAGGAAAAAAAGAGGGGCGCTTGCGCATGCCTTGCTTGTCAGCTTTGCTAGCCCACGGCATGGGGACCAAGTAACGGCTTGCTGGGGGACTTGCACTCCTGGGAAGGGTACCGTTTCGGGGGCAAGGGGGGCCTCGTGGCTTGCACGGCCTCTCGACGAGGGGGGTGGGGGGACACTGGACGGCTATGGTTATTGGTGAGCCGGAGGTGAGGCATTTGGACGGGTAACATGAACGCCAAGGAAGGGTACCGGGTTTGGGGGTACATACAGGGGTCCTCATCATGGCTGTGGCAGGGGAAGGTGCCTCTCTTTCCTTTCGCCCTCCCGAGCTTCTTGTATACCCTAAAACGCGTCACGTAATCGTGCTGCCACCTACGGTTAGGGGGTGGGGGGCTGGCCTGCACGGCCTCTCACGCACAGCGCGGATTGGGCGGGGGAGAGTAAAAATAAGGAAAACTGACGGATTGGGCGGGGGGGGGAGGGGTATGGTGGACGTTGGATGGCTATGGTTATTGGTGAGCCGGATTATGATTTGGCGCCTCCTGGTCTGGTCACATGGACGGCACCACCGCACTTTGAGGTCAATATTCATTGGTGGGCTAGGTGGCCGGGGGAGGGGGAGGGGGGTGGGGGACACTGGATGGCTAGGGTTATTGGTGAGCCGGAAGATGGTGAGGCACCTGGACGGGCTAAATATTTCATTTTTTCTTAATAATTACTACTCTTGGGAGGGTTAGGGGAGTGCAGGCGGGTAGCGGGGGGGATTTAAGGATTATCCCAAATCATAGGAAGTTTTAGTAAGGGCAACACAAAGGGGATATGTGGTGGCTGGTTGCAGTATAATTAGTGAGGGTTAGCGTTGGGGGGAGGGAGGGGGTCCGTGCGCCCCCTCAGCCTGAGACTACAATTAGGTTAATTTCGCACTGCCACCTACGGTTGGGGCGCCTTGACATCAGCTGTACTTGCTCACCGGCTAGCGGTGGGACTTGCACTACTAGGAAGGGTACCGGTTTGGGGGCATGGGGGTCCTCATGATGGCTGTGGTAAGGGAAGGGCCTCATTTTTCACCGTCCCCGTGCTTCTAGTACACCCGAAAACGCATCAAGTCATCGTGCTGCCACCTACGGTTAGGGGCTCGGGGAGGGGCTCCGTTACAATGTGCCGCACACCTTGCACTGCCTTCTCTTGCTTTCGCCCAGTATGGATTGCTAAGAAATGAACAGGTGCCGCTTAGGAATCTGGGTAGCAGATGTTGGGAAAGAGGCCAGGGGGCTGAGGCTACAGTTGGTTGTATAACCGCGTTGCACTTGTGGCATCGCCTCTTTTCCTACGCACAATTAGATTATGTTCTTCACCGTTTTCTTAAAGCGTTTTTTGTCGCTGCGGCCCGTTCACAACACAGCGGCGTCTCACACAATTGCGGTCCCTCCGTATTCCTCTGTCCAATCTGCAGTTAGTACGGTCTCTCCGTCTTCCTGCATCCTTCCGCGTTGCGGTTTCGCCCTTAACATCGCTGATCAGCTTCCGTTCCCAACGCACCCGCGTTTCACGTGCCAGGCGCCTTAATGTCGCCAAACGTTTATGAGCTCTGCCGTACAATGACGCTATTCCTCCTAACGGGCTGCCTTGGAGTGACCCACGGGTCACCCCCTCACAATGTTCAATGCTCTCGCCAGTCCTCGCACGTCGGTAGCCTTGTGTTGCTGGGAAGCATCCCGCCGGCCGCTCGCCACCCCCTCCTGTTCTTGTCTGCTCTTCCTGCCAGTGCTAAAGCATTCCTGGCCTCCAAAACTCTTCCCCTTCGTGGTAACCGTCCTCGGCCACCTCTTCGCAATCCCAGCCCTCCCAACTCCCCACCCCCCAGATTGGGAAGATCCGTCACTTCCGCTTTCCTTCTTTCTTCCTTTACCCCCATCACCCCGCGTCCATTTCCTCACCTCGTCCAGCGCCTCCCTGCCCAGATCTCCGTGGCCGTACCCCGTGGAACCCTGGAAGTGGTGGGGCCCTATGCGCGCGTTGCGGAAGGCGCGCTGCACCCGCCGTACATTGGCAGCTACCAGCCGATCGATCTCGGAAAACACAGGGGTTAGATCTTGGGAGCAGCGCCAGATCTGTTTGGATCCAGGCGGGATCCAGAAAGGCATGGATATGGTTAGGGCGCGGTGGTCTCTTGGCTTGCTGGAGGATCCCATGGCAAGTGTGCTTGTTAAGATGGACGTGAATGGCGTGCTAAAGGATGACATTAAGATAATGCGGGTGTAGTTCTCGGGTTGAAATCCTGACCCATGGCGGCAGAGGGAGTTGGTTGATGGTTGACAGGTAGGCTCTAAAACCAAGGGCGCCCTCAGAGTAGCACGGGGCAATCGCTGTTAGTGGACGTGTGATTTCGACCTTAATGTCTACCTTCTCCCAGCGATTGTGGAAAACGGAGGAAACGTGCGCCTGGCCCGAGGGCACATCCGGAGCCACGAGTCCGAACCCAAGCTCGCTGCTACCCGTTAGCGCCTACTGTTTCACTTAACGTATTACTTATACGTTGGCCGCAAAAAACGGACCTGGTCTGCCACCGACAGCTCTTCCGCGGGTTCAGCGACGAGCGGCTCTTGCGTCGACGGCGGCTCGAGAGTTGCCCATTTGGTTCTGTTTGCTGAGCGACGTTCCCCATGAGCAACTACTAAGCGTCGGGTAGGCGCTGGCCTTGGTGCAAGTATTTGGCTACCAATGCAATTTTGCGATGTCCGAGCTGCTTGGCAGCAGCGTTGTCCGGATAATACTGACATTTTTGCTTTACAGTAGGTGCGTGAAGCTTTCACAGAACCTGTTATGCTGAAGACGCACAGTTCTGGTCGAACTAATGAAATGCACGGCGTGGGTGACGAGCCAAGCAACTGCTGCACTCGACTTTCACAACAATGATTTCATAAGGTGCAATCCAATTGGTACATATGCACAGTATGTTGCACTGGTTACATAGCTGTGCTTTTATGGCGATGGACGGAGCGTTAATCCGTATGGAGTTTATGGACGCGTTGCCTACTTCATGCACTTCTATCATTTGCTACCAGATGTAGTTTACGTGAACATGTTGCAATTGGCCCTTTTTCTATTAGTCTTGGGACATGGCCTAACTTCTTTTCCAAGCGCGGACGCTGCGAAACCTGGGAAAATAGTGAAGGTTGGCTCGATACGATCGCATATAGCACACGGAACATGCCTCGTGCTTATCGACTGCGCCGTTCCTTTAATGGCCATGTTGGAGCGCCAACTCCGGTGACGATGCCTCGCAGGCGATCTGGGATGATGAAAGCGTACTTAACGAAACTCAAGTGGAGCAGCTTCGGTAGGGCTTTTTGAGCGTGACACCCATCCTCTAGCTGCATGGTTACACTTTGGATGCCCACTTCTGCCCGTCCGCAGGCAGCAAGCCTGGGAGATGTTTGACCATGGCTACACGAACTACATGAAACATGCTTTCCCAAAGGCAAGTCCCCTCTGCTGTGTCCCATCTCCCATGGGTGATGACGGCTTGGGACACGGGACCCTGAGCAGTTGCGTCCACCTGCTGTACCCCCTCCCCTCTCCTTACCACGGCCCTCCGTACCCCCTCCCCACCAATCATTCCTTCCTCCTCCTCCTCCTCCTCCTACCCCTCCTCCTCTTTTCCTCCTCCTCCTGCCCTGCCCTGCAGGACAACCTGCTCCCCTCCAGCTGCGGCGGGCGGGACTGGCAGGGCGGGCTGGCCATCACGCTGGTGGACTCGCTGGATGCGCTCATGGTGGGGGGAGGGGAGGGGGGGTTGGGGTGGCAGGAGGCGGGGGTAAAGAGAAAGAGAAGCAGACTAACCGTTGGACCAGGCTTCGCCAAGGGAGTGGGCTTGTTTGGGTGCGTGTCCTACCCCGTCCCGTGTACCTGCCGTCCTCCACCCCTTCCTCCCCTCCTCGCCCCTCTTCGCCCCTCTCCCCCCACCCTCCCAGCTGCTGGGCCGGCGGCAGGACCTGGTGGAGGCGGTGGAGCTGGTGCGGACCCACCTGTCCTTCGACAAGGACATAAAGGTGCGGGAGTGTTTGGCACACGCACTGGCACTCACACACATCCCAGTACGTTCCGACATCCCAGTACGTTCCGACATCCCAGTACGTTCCGACATCCCAGTACGTTCCGACATCCCAGTACGTTCCGACATCCCAGTACGTTCCGACATCCCAGTACGTTCCTACTCGCGGCCAGTTTTCTTAACACACTGGCACATAGGCACGTCCACCTGCCCCTCCCCCCCCCCACCCACCCCCGTTGCACTTATTTATAATTTTTCACCCCCCCCGCTTCCCCCCGGCAGGTCCACGTGTTCGAGACGGTGATCCGGGTGCTCGGCGGGCTGCTCTCCGGCCACATGCTGCTGGCACGCAACCCGCAACTGCTGGACACAACCGCCGCCGCAACGATACACGTGCCGGCGGGGGCAGAGGGGGGGGTGGGGTTGGGGGTGGGGGCAGCAGCTGGAGTGGGGGTGATGAGCGGAGGGGCGCACCCGCAGCAGGAGGAGGCGGCAGCAGCAGCAGTAGCGGCTAGGGCTGTGAATGTGAGTGACAGAAGCACAGGTGCAGCAGCAGCAGCAGGTGCCGCATGCGCTGGCCTTGGGGCGCAGCAGGGTCAGGGTCAGGCAGCTGCTGCTGCTGATTGCCCCCCGCAGCAGCAGCAGCAGCAGCAGCCGGAGCTGCTGTTGGCTACGGCTACCGGTACCTCCCCCCCCACCCGGCCGCCCCCGCCCCCCTACGACGGGCTGTTGCTAACCCGGGCGGTGGAGCTGGCGGACCGGCTGCTGCCTGCATTCGACACGCCCTCGGGGCTGCCAGCGCTGTTCGTACACCTGAGGGAGGTACGACAAGGGGGGGTACGGCAGGCTAGGCAGGCTGCGTCAGCTGGCCTTGCGGACACGGGAGAGGGGGCCGCAAAGACCATACCAGGGGGGGCACTAGGGCACACGAGGCACGCTAGGCAAGGGGGGGGGGGGGTGCACTCTGCTCAGCACCGCCCACCATGCTCCATGCAGCAGGTGTCAGGCGTCAGGCACCTGGGCTGCAGGTAGCAGGTAGCAGGTAGCATTTGCGCAGTGCTTGGGTTGGGTTTCGACCAGTTTGTCCTGTGGTGCCCCGCACTGGGCGCCAGGCCACCGTCCTGCCCCTGTCCGTGTCCCGCCTCCGCACCTCTCCCAAGTCCCAACCCCTGCCTCACGCCCCTCCGTTCGCCCTCCCCCACGCCTCCTCATCACCTTCCTCCCCCTTTCCTCCCCCTCCTCCAGGGTTACGTACGGGACGCGTACAACAGTACGTGTACGGCATGTGCCGGCACCCTGCTGCTGGAGTTTGGCATGCTCACCGCACTCACCGGTAGGGTGGGAGGGGGGGGGGGCAGTGAGGGGGAGGGGGGGGGGGAACCGCAAAGGAGGGGAACGTCTTGCGTGCTTCTTCCCATACACACATGCCAGTGCTCTTAACAGACACACACACTGGACTCGCGGCGAGTTTTCTTTACACATGCGCTCTTCACATGTGCGCCAAGATTCCGCCGCACTTCCCATGCGCATCACGGATTGCGGTTTTAATAACAACATTACAAAAGCTCGGTCATCTGTATCTTTCCCCAACAGCCAACCGCCACCCACTCGCAGGCAACCCGGTCTACATGGATCGCGCCGAGTTCGCGGCTCGTGCGCTGTACGGCCGGCGCAGTCGCGTGACGGGTCTGGTGGGGGCCTCCCTGGACGTGGGCAGTGCGGAGTGGGCTAGCAGGGAGAGCAGCATCGGGCCCGGGAGCGACTCATACTACGAGTATTTGCTCAAGGTGGGGCAGGATGGAGGGGGAATGGGGCTCCCTATCCCCAGTGCTTTGCCCTAACCTGTGATGTGCTGTCTTTCCCTCCCTCCCTCCCTCCATCCTCCCCCCCTCCCGCCCCCCCGCAGGCCTACCTGCTGTTCGGTCGCTCCGAGTACTTAGACATGTTCGCGCAGCTGTACGCCAGCAGCATGCGGTGGATGCAGGTGGGGGGGGAGAAGACTACCCATTGTGTTGAATGATGCAGGATGGGGGGAAGGGGGATCAGGCCTCCAGCCTAATGCGGAATATGCATCCCAACTAATCCCGCTCCCCTCCCGCTCCCCCCTCCCCCGCTCCCCCCCCCCAGCTCCCCGGCTCCCCCCAGGGTTACTCCTTCCTCGTAGATGTGCACATGGACACGGGCCGCCTGGCGCGACCCTTCGTCTCCTCGCTGGGGGCCTTCTGGCCGGGCATGCAGGCGCTGGCGGGTGGGTGGGGGGTGGGGGGGATTGTGGGGGTGGGTGTGTGCATGTGTGAAAAAAGTGGCGGCGAGTCGGAACGCAAAACTGTGATTGTCGGAAGGTGAAGTCCCCACCCAGGGAGGTCGAGTCCGTTGGGGGGGAGGGAGGCGTTACTCAACTGGGCTGGGCTGGGGGCTTGTACGATCCATATGCCAAGGGGGGTGCAGTACACGTGTGCAAGGGAGCCTGGGGGCGGCGAGGGAGCCCCGCCAGGCCAGGCGCGTCAGGTCGGGATGGTGGTGCACGGCTGGAGGACAGCTGCACGTTAAGGAAAGAAGCGGGGGACAAGAAGAGGTGGTTCCTGATGCACACCCTCTCCGGGTGCTTCACTCTTCTTCCCTCTCTCCTGCCTCTCCTTCACACACATTCCCCGCGCACACGCTCCCACCCAAACCCCCCCCCCCCCCCGCACAGGTCAGGAGCGTGACGCGGTGCAGCTGCACGCCAACTTCACGGCCGCCTGGAGAGCATTTGGGTGGCTGCCGGAGCTGTTCGGGGTGGACCTGGGCAAGGTGGGGGGGCGGGGGGGGGGGGAGGGAGGGGGCAGGAAGCTTGCATGGCCCCCCCCTGCGATCAAACTCCCACTGAACCCCATCCTCCCCCCACCCCCTTCCCCCTCCCCCCAGGTCCACCCCGAGGACCCCGGCTACAACCTGCGGCCCGAGCACATCGAGTCCACCTACCTGCTGCACTGCCTCACGCAGGTGGGGGGGAGGAAGTGGGGGGAGGAGGGGGGAGGGAGGGGAGCTATTGGGGGAAAAGAAGAATATCCAATGGGAGGGAGATGCCGGTAGTGTTTCCAGGCAAAAGGAAGGAAGGGGGGTTGTAAACAGGAGGGAGGCCCAAGGGACTTTCTCCCGGGGGCCTGCTCTCTCTCCTCACTCCTCACTCTGCTCTACACCTCCTGCCGCTTTCTCCTGCCGCCACGTCTCTTCTCTCCACCCATTGCAGCGCCTTGTCGCACCTCCCGGCAGCTCCTACCGCCACCCGACCGTCCAATCTCCCTTCCCCTTCCCTTCCCCATGAATATATGTCTTCCCCACGATTTACTCCGCTACCTCTCCCACACCCCTTCCCCCAACACCCCTTCTCCCAACACCCCTACCTCTCCCTCACCCCTTCCCCCCACACCCCCCTCCGCCCCCTCCGCCCCCCTCCCCCGCAGGACCCGCTCTACCTGCGCGTGGCGGCCAACATCCAGCACACCCTGCACACACACAACCGGGTCAAGTGCGGATTCACAAACGTCAACCACGTGGACACGGGTGCGTGAGTGCGTGTGGGTCGGTGGGTCGGCAGACCCATGGGTCACAACATCGCCGGCGCGGCTGTTCCCGTCATCACAGTTCATTCACATTCCCCGCCTTCCCCTCCCTTCCCCTCCCCTCCCCTCCCTTATGTATTCCTATTAACCCCCCCCCTCCAGGCCAGCAGGGGGACCTGATGGAGTCGTACTTCCTCTCCGAAACCGCCAAGTACCTCTACCTGCTCTTCTCCTCCGCGCCCGCCCTGCCCGACTACTACATACTGTCCACGGAGGGACACCTGCTGCCGCCGCTCACCGACCCCACCGCGCTGGCGCCGGAACGGCTGCGGAAGCTGAGGCAGGATAAAGGGCAGCAGCAGGGGGTGCGGGGGGTGCGAGGGGTGCGTCGGGGGAGAGGGCAAGGGCGGAGACAAGGGCAGGAGGTGGAGGAGGGGGAGGGGCGAGGAGGACAGGAGGTGGCGGAGGAGGGGGGCGAGCGGACGCAGCGGAGGAGGCGGGATGGAGGTGGAGGTGGGGGTGCAGCTGTGGCGGCTGTGCGGGCGGCTGTGGGTGCGTTCAAGGCGGCTGTGGGCGCGGTGGCTAGCCACCGCAGTCAGGCCGGGCAGCTGGCAGCGAGAGGTAACAGCAACAGCAGCAGCAGCGCTGGTAGTGACAGCAGTAGTGACAATGTTAGTGGCAGTGGTGGTGACCGTAGTGGGCATGCGCAGCAGCAGCAGCAGCCGGTTCCGCTGGGGACTGCAACAGCAGCAGCAGCTGAGGATGCGGGTGCGGGTGCGGGTGCAGGCGGTGTTGCGCCCCCCGGTCCCCTTAGTGGTGACCAGGGGCCGCAAGGGGAGCAGCAGTCAGCGTTGCAGGGTGGCGGCGGCGGTGGTGGTGCTGGTGGTGGTGGTGAGGGGATGGAGGAGGAGGAGGAGGAGGAGGACCGCACGGCGAGCCGGGGCAGGGGCTGGGGCTGGGGCTCAGCGGGTAGCGGAGGAGGAGGCAGCGGTGACAGCAGCAGTAGCGGTGACAGTGGTGAGGGTGTGGGTGCGGGTGAGCTGCCCCGGCCCCGGGACATACCGCCCAGCTGCGCCAGGGTGTGCAGCGAACCCACAGCGGAGGAGCAGGTGAGCGGGGGGAGGGTCCGAACACAGAGGTATGGGGAGGAACAGGCTCAAAAACTACTTGTCTTTGAACGAACGAAGCATTGTACTGCTTCATGGAACTGACCCTTCGTGTGTGTACCGGTACCGGCTTGGCTAATCCGGGCTGGGCAGGATGGTAGGGATGTTGCAAACCATGATGGAAGCTTTCCATGCGTTTAAGAAGCAGTTCGTGCTGTTTCCTCTCTCTCTTCCCTTCCCCTTCCCCCTCCTCGCCTCCAGGACGCGTCCGAGTCCCGGCTCCGGTCCGCCTTCCCGCTGCTTGCGCTTCGGCGGGGAGATGCGGCGGTGGTGCGGCACCGGCGCTGCGTGGCGTGTGTGGTGGTGAGCAGGCGGCTGGAGGAGCAGCCGCCGCAGGTGGGGGGAGGGGAGAGGTGGGGGGGAGGAGGAGGAGAAGGAGACCCAATGTGGGGAGGAAGGAGAGGGCGCTGAGGTGGGGGAAGGGAAGAGGGCGATGATGGTGGTGGTTGGGGCTGGTGGTTGGGGCTGATTGACGGCTTGTTTCGCTCCGCTCGGCCACGAGCGCTTTGTGTCGCAGTCCCACTGCTCTGCCACGTCTCCTCTCCTGACAGCTCCGCACCTGACCCCGCCCCTCGCTCCGCTTCAGGACGAGGCGACCCGCGCTCGCACCCTGCGGCTGCCCGGCAACGGAGCCGAGCAGGCGCCCGGAGAGCAAGGTGCGGTGCGCGACCCACCTGCGTCCCATGCACCCACCACCCCCTGTGCAGGGGGTGGGGCACATGGGAAGTACCCCCACCCCCAGTGTGCTGTGTCCCATGCACCCCATCCCCTGTGTCCCATGTACCCTACCTCCCCTGCGTCCCATGCATGCATGCATGCATGCACAGCAACAGGGCGCTTATGATTGGAGCCCTACTCCGCATGGGCTAGGTTCATGGGTCATCACGTGCGCCCTCCCTTGTGTTCCACTGGCCACCTTTTCATCCTCCATCTCCTTCTCTGACCCTCTCCCTCCCTCCTCTCCCCGCGCCCTCTCTCCCTCTCCCCCGTCCCTTTCCTCCTTTCCCTCCTCTTCCCTCTTCCCTCTCCCTCTTCCCTCTCTCTCGTCCCTCTTCCCGCTCCCTCGGCCGGGTTAGCGCAGACGCTGCTGCGCAGACTCACGTGCTGGCTCAGGTGGTGTGCGCCCTCAAAGTCTTCCGCGACGGCTCCCTGATGTGCACCAGCGTGCGAGCCGTGACGCCGCATGACGCGCAGCACGGCGTGCCCAGTAACGCAGTCATCCTGCAGATGAGCGCAGTTCCGGAGGAACCGGCTGCTGCTGCTGCCGGCCCTGCTGCCGGCCCTACTGCTACGGGCCCTGCTTCTCATGGGCAGGGGCGGCATGAGGAGACTGCGGGGGCTGAGTCGCAAAGTCAACAAGAAGAGCAGCAGCAACAGCAACCGCAGCAGCAGCAGCAACGAGGCAGTGGTACGGCAGCAAGTGATTTCGGTTTGGTTGTCGTACGGGGTGGTGCTAGCGGCGAGGTGTCGTACGTTTTCGAGGCCATGACGGCGCTGTTCGGACCCGAATTGTACGACATGACGTCTCGCTGCTTGGCTCATTTGCTAGCGGCGCCGGCGGAGGCATTGTCCGGCGGCTGCGATGGTCACCTCGTCTGCCCGTTAGAGCTGCCGCACGGCGGTTATGGAAGGGGTGGAGTGTACGGCAGTGGCAGTGGTGGTAGTTGTCCGGCGCATTTGCATCGAGCCGTAATGCAGCGGCGAAGGCAAAGGCAGCGGCGGGGGCGGGTGACCCGTGGGTCGGCTGAAGAGCAGCCGCCGGAATGCGGCGTGATAGGTGTCGTACCAGAGCGGATTGAGGAACTAGCGGCAGCTAGAGCTAGTTTAGGTAGCAGTGAAGATGTTAGGCGTACCAGCAGCAGTGGTAACAGCAGCATCAGCGGTAACAGTGACGGGATTCCGGGGGTTGGCAATGTGGCGTTACGTCGCGAGTTGTCGGCGGTGGCGGAGGGGCGGGGGACAGGGTCGCGGGCTGACCGTGGGCGGGTTTCGGAAGCGGAAGAGGAAGCGGCTCCAGAGCGGGTTGTTCGCAGTGAAGGTGTGCAGTCAGTAGGGGAGGCAGGAGCGGAGGAAGGGGTTGATGGAGGGAGTGCTGCTGCTGCTGCTGCTGGTGATGGTAGTAGAGGTGGAGGTGGTGATGGTGGCGGAGGGGTTAAGGGGCGGGTTGATGACGCCGTCGTCAGGAATGCCGGTGTCTCCGCCAGCGGAAGAGGAGGAGGAAGTGTAGGCGAGGAGGATGTGGGGAGCAATAAAGGTGGAGGAAGTGGTGGTGATGGTGGTGGTGGTGGTGGTGGAGATGGCACCGCTGCTGCTGAGGGGGAGTCATGGCGCGGCAGCTCGCACCTGGGGGGCCCGTGTGCGGGAGTGCCCTCGGTGACGGGGTCGATGGTGGGTCCGACTGGGTGGGCTGGGATGGAGGGCTGGGAAGGAGAAGGAGAAGGCAGGGGAAAGGCAGGGAGAGTAGTTAGGGACGCACGAATAACTGTACCGGTATTGTCTAATAGGCAAGCCTCGTGTTTTTGTCCGTTGTGTGTGCTTCCCGCCTTACCACCGCTTACCTGGCACACAGACAAACGCCTCTAGTTGATGTCATTACGAACGACTTGCTTCCGCCCTTCCCTGAACTGCCCTGCCATGCCATGCACTACACAGGTGGTCGCCGACCCACGGGACGGCTGCCAGCCGCCCTCCAACGGGGCGCAGCTGGCGGGCGCGGTGGCGGTGGTGGTGCGGGGCGGCTGCAGCTTCGTGAGGAAGACGTCCAACATGCAGGCTGCTGGTAGGTGCCGTACCGTACGTGGGACACTGCATTCATAGGAGCATCCCACATCGTCCGACATTATCCGGAGCCTCTCATCGTTATGAGGATGTGTACTCGCTGCACTGGCGTTTGCCCCCTTTTTAGCCCTAATTTCAGATGGGCGTTGCAGTCGGGTAGGCTTCGTTTTTCCGGCAGATATGCGTTGCATCTTGCTTTCCTACGAAGGCTATGATTCCTACCCTTGTCCTCCTCCTCCTTCTCTTGCTTTTCACTTCCTACCCGACCCTCCTCCTTTTCTCCCTGCCCCGCATGCGCCCCCACTTCACTTCACTCCACTCCCCCACGCAGGCGCAGCAGCCGTCCTCGTCATCAACACGCAGCCCCCAGGCGAGCTGCTGAGCATGGCAGGCGACGACAGCGGGCTGGACCCCGCCATCCCCGCCCTCTTGCTCACACGCAGCGACGGACTCCGCCTCATACGAGCCATCAATGCCAGCGTTGCCACGGCCGGCACAAGCGCCTCCGCCTCCGCTGCCACCGCCACCGCCGCTGTGTCGGGTACCGAGCTGCCGCTGCCGCCGCTGCTCGGCACGCTTTCACTCCTCCCAGCCCACATGACGTCACGGAACGGGCCGGCAGCGGCAATGGCAGCCGCCCTAGGCGGCGGCGTTGGCGGCGGCGAAGGCACCTGTTCCGCGGAGCCCGGCGGTGGCGCCGCTGGCGCCGCCGCCGCCGCCGCCGGCAGCGGCGGCGCCGGCGGGCAGACGATGACGACTCGTCTTGACTTGCTGGTACCTGGGGGGTCCCAGGCGTTCTTGGAGAGCCATTTGGCAGCTCACGGTCGTACGTTACAGCAGGTGTTTGGATCCATGTTGGCTGACGGGCGTGCGGCGGCGCTGTTGCAGCAGTTGGCGCAACGGAATGTACGGCAGGTCGCTGCGGCGATGCAGCAGTCGCGTCAGCGAGGGGCGCAGCAGGGCGCGGTGGGGGTGCAGGCGGGGGGGAGGCCCTAGGCTAGTCCCGCTAGTGTGAGGTGAGAAGTGGGTTAGTAGAGCCATGGCTAAGAGGAGGAGAACGGAAGGGGAGTGGTGTTGAAAGGAGGGGGTGTAGGAGAGAAACGATACGGCAGCGGGGTGAGGCTGCCATGCAAGGGTGGTACGTTCCTGTCATGGAGGGGCATGCAAGGAGGAAGTGCATGGCGCATCGAACCCGATCAGGAGCAGGAACGTGTGAGGTAGATAGTGCTCCGTGTACCGTACACGACGTGATAGGAAGGCTACTCGCAGGCTTGATATATACAAAAGGCACTAGAATGCCTCCTTGTGCATGTTGCCTAGGCAGGATGGGCTTCGCTTTAACAACGGACCTCATTGCGAATGTTATAAGTCGTAATTTTAATCCTGATGGTAGGTATGTCTCTACGTGACACGGACAGGGTGATTCGCATTGAACTTTGGGCGGGCCAAGGATGGCATGGCAATAGAAGATGTCTCCTTCCATGCGACTTTATACCGGTACTTGTACCGGACCAAATTTTCAAAAACCGACCCATGGGTCGCATTGCTGACGATGGGAGCTTGAGAAGGGATCTAACATGTGTTTGTATATGGCCTGACTCAGCTGGTCCGTGCGGATGGAACAGCAGGCTAGTTGTTGCGGCAATGCGTTACACTTCGTATTGGCGACCCGGATTTCTCCAAGCCGTGAGCATTCCTCAACCAAGCAACACTCCCAAGAGGCGCACCTGAGCAAACGTTGTATACAGGAGCATCACGGCTTGGCATGTCAATCAACAAAACACAAATCAAATATTACCAGCACAATGGTCCTTAACCACAGCAGCCTCGTTCTGCTCACAGCTTCTCACAAGAAGTAAACGGATGCGTGCGAGCCAATAATCACATCCGCCTCAAGCCGTATGAATGCTAGGACTTCGGTATACGATACAGCACAGTTTTCATAAGAGCGGCGTCAGTAGAAACGGTAGCAATTGTCGTACCGCGCAACATCCAATCAATAACCATGTAGCCTCCCTCCGGCCCATCAGCCTTGCTGCTGCGTAGTTTTACAAGATATATAGTATCATACGAAAAACGCAGCAACTCCAAAGGTTTCACTAGGTTTCACTCCAAAGGTTTCCAAGGTTTCGCCGTGTTTGCAAGGGCATGGTTGTGTTTTTGTTCGCAGTTTGCACCTCATTACATGACCTGTTACCTGATTACCTGATAATGGCATTAAGCGGTGTTACTAGGAGACAATAGGTCACAACATCTGCATGGAGCGTGCTAATTCATTTGACAGCAGTATCATGCCCCTAGGGGACACAATACCCGGCGAGGCATGCATGTATAGCGCATATAGGTACATGCAGACAACAGATACTTGAGTAGCTAATTTAGGCACCACAGCTGTAGCCAGGTTAGGCAGTACTGCATGGGCAGGATCGCGACCGCCTAATCATGCCCATTAGGCCGCTGGCTTGGATTACTTTGGCCCTGAACCGTGCCTCTTTCTATGGTGCGAGCCAGGCGGCGAGGGGCTCGGCGGGGATGGCGGTGGGCAGGGTGGGTAGTTGGTTGGACAGGTGGAGATAGTCGGCGCGGGTGTTGGCGGGCTGTCCGGGCAATACCAGAGCAGCAGCAACATGCAGCCCTCGTCCTCATGTGGCAGGATGTGGCAGTGGTACACGCTGAGCCGTTCCTGGCAGGTAGAGCGGGACGATGGGGGCTTGCGGGCCTTGTGGCTCGGTGAAGGCCGCTTGGCGTCCTGGTGGCCATGCTTGCGTGGCGGCGGCTTGGTGTAATCACGGTGGCCGGTCTTCGTAGGCTTGGGGCTTGCGTTCTTCTTCACCGGCGGTTGTCCGTATTGTCGTGGCCCGCCGTCGTGGCTGCACATGAGGCCCATGCCGTCAAACACGGTAGCCAGGAACTCGATCTCGGTTTCATCGCAGACGGTTACGTTGGAGCCGCACGCACCACCGCCGCTGCCGAATTCGGGCCAGGAGCATCCGTTCATGCAGGTGGGGAGCTGCAGGGTGTCCAGCCAGTCGCCAACCTGTGGGCGGCGGGTGGGTGTCATCAGAAGCACAGAAGGGAAACAAATGTTAGGGCGCAGCGGCATTAGGACTGTGGACGGGGTTAGCAGCACTGCAGCAGCATGGTATGTGTGCCCAGGACCAAGCGGGCGTGCCGCGAGCATGCAGCGAATGCAGCGCGAAGAGCTCCACAAGAAGCCGCGCATGTATGTGTGATTCTCAGCATCATAAGCCAACCCCAGCAGCACAACCCCAGCAGCCAAGAATTGCCTGGCATGCTAGATAGGCTTGCTGTGTCCTCCCTCGCTCTACGCAGCAGAGTACACGCACGCACCTGCAAGTTGTTTGTAACGCTGGTGGCGCAAGGTGGCAGCTTGGCCACTCGGAAGGGCGTCTCATGCAAGTGGAAGGGGTGGAAGGTGATGTCCCGCATCTTCCAGATCTGCCGCGTGCCCTGCTCCAGGTAGGTCACGTAGTCCGGGAACAGCACGTTGTTGATGCTGCATGCACCACCTGCACCGTTGCGCATAGAGAGCGAGGGACCCACCACGCATGGATTACCGGTAGCTAGGATTCTTCAAGCGCAACGATGCTTACCACCGTGCTGCTGGGGACACTCGCTTGCCTGGGCGGGTGCACGTGATAAAACCATCCATAGAATACCATTCGATATCTACCCCACCCAAGCAGTAGCACCTCCCGCGTACGTCCTCCCTTATCCCACCATGGGCAAGGTAAGGCCCACCCCCGACTCACCGAACTGCTGGTTCATGAAGGAAATGCACTGGTTCTGGGTCTTCTTGGGGAACTTCTTATAGTCCAGGTGGGGGAATCGCTCCAGCCTGCGTATTGTACATACAGCAAACATCATGCATGTGCCGCGCCATCCCCAGAAATTATTTTTCATCGAGTTCACATCACCACGGAGCCCATCCAAACGGGCGGAACTACTCCCCACCAGGCAATACAACCGTGCCGCACCGCCTCGACGCCTCCCCCGTACCCGTACCACTCTTGGACATACATCGCTCCCCTGCAAGCCCTGTTCCCTAGCTCCTGCTCACTGACGCGCACCTGCTGCGGCAAGCGTGGTCGCGTATCTCCTCATCGGCCTTCTCGTGCTTGCCCAGCGGCGCAACCCTGACCACAGCCAGTACGGCAGCGTCCAGCTCCCGGCCGCCGTACAAGTTGTTGGCGGAGCGCAGGGTGGAGACGCCGTTCGCGGGGGGGTCGCCAAAACACTCACAGTGGGTCGCTTGGCAGGCTGCATGGAACATGTACGGCAGGGCAGTGCAGGGCAGGCAGGGTATTAGTTGGCAGCGATAAGTGCAGGCATTGTATCCCGCATTTGTAGCATGCATGGGGCTCATGGGGGGCTAGTCCATGCTCATAGCAGTGGCCCTTCCCCCGGCCGCCGGGTGCGTAGGCCCATGCATGCTTGGCGCATGCAACTCCCGTACCGTCGGGGTTGGTGTGGAACGGCCCGGCTCCGGAGGCTAGCACGAAGGTTCCCGGCTCGTCGCACTTGACCAGCACGTCGGCGCGGTTGGAGGAGCCGAGGATGATATCGCTGGCGATGTGGCTGCTGCCGGCGGGCTTGGAGCGCAGGGTGCGGGGCAGCAGTGGCAGGGGCACGCCATCCCGAGCCAAAAGGTGGAACCTGCGGGCGGTACTTATTCCATATGCTGATATGCCATCCATTTTCGGGATAAGGCAGCGGCAGCACGCAGCAGTACCCAAGATCCAAGATCCAAGATCCAAGCGGGGTTGGGACTCCTGTTGCGGCGATCGGGTACTCTGCGGCAGATAATGCCTGTCCTGCTGGGGGATTGGAACACCGGAAAGCAAGCACCTGCATGCATGATGGCGCAATAACGAACCCGCCCCCTGTTCAGCACTCGCTTACTTGCACTTGTCAGCCGGCTTGAGGGTCCCGTCCTTTTGAACCTGCGCACCAAAGACAGCAGCATGCTGGTTAGATAGTAGCTGTTGAGTCTAGCAGGACGTAGACGGTAAAAGGGGGCCTTTATGTAGTGACATGCAGGCGGCGTCTCCTGACCCATGGGTCGCACCTTCTGAATGGTCAGGTCCAGCCACTTCATGACCATTGCGTTGATAATCACCCAGCGAGTGTACCTGTGGATGGGGGCATGCAGGCCAGGAGTTTTACGAACAGGGATGTAACGCACGAGAGCAACCAGTAGGCGGAGCAAACAGCCGGCACCGTTGCGGGCTCCTTCCTAGTAGCTTACTTTTTGGCCTTGATAGTGACGGTGGGCTGGAAGGCGCCGTTGACGAGACCCCAATCGCGCCCCGCGGCGTTGACGTACAGCGGGTCAGTGCTGGTGTTGGTTGCCTTGTACAGCAGCCTGCTAATCAGGTTGGGGTTGGTGGGTACGGCACCTAGGAACCTGAGTTCAAGGGGAGAAAAGAGGAAGGTTTGCACAGGGATTTAGTTCAAGGAGAGAAAAGTGCACAAAGGGGAAGGTGTGAGCAGGGATTATGCATTGCTGGTGGGTCCTCTTTGGTCCCCTGAGGGAATCCGTCGCTTTGTATTGGCAGCAGCTGTATCGTTAACATTCTGTCAGCACACCAGTGTGCCTCCCCACTACTCTGGGCCAGCGTTGTATGCTCTGCCACCCACATGCACGAGCCGCAGCCGCCCGTGCGATACACACCCCGTTCGTCAACCCCCCGCTCCATTGCAGAGCTAGCTGCTACCAGCCCAGCTACATACATACCCCTATCTGGTTGGATACCTAGCTGGCTATCTAGCTGGCTAGCTACTCACGGGACGGTGTCATCATCAGGTGCCAGGTCGGTGCGGTTACGGAAGAAGATGCCGTTGAACTGCAGGATGGTGCTGTCCTCGATGGGCGACTTGGTCATGACCTGCCGCGGTAGGTGTGTCTTAAGCAGCCAAGCCAGCAGCCGGTATCTGCGTTCCTACCTTGGAAACGCATGCACTGCTGTCCCCAACACATGCCAACGGGCTCCCCACAGTACGTAACGAACACCGCCGCTTTGTTTTTCCATACTGCTGACCTACTGCGGGCGGTCACTTGCAACACGTACCGTTACATACACCGCACCACGCACGCCACACTACTTCTGGCTATCTACGTTACCACGTACTACGCCACGCTATCCACGTTACCACGTACTGCACCACGCTATCTACGTTACCACCAACCTTGAGCAGGCTGTCACATTCCTTCTTGTTGCCCGGGTTGCTGGGCTCGTACAGGTCGGTGAGGCCCTCGGGCAGCCACCATTCCGGCACGATGATGGGTCCCGCAGAGGTGGGCGTCTGGATGCCCACTGAGCCGTGCTGGTGGGGGTGGTACCTGGAAGTTGGTTCCAGATTAAGGAGCAGCAGGCGTAAGCGTAGTTTAATGAGCAAATGCACGCGCTGCGAAGGCGTCTTTGTTGTAAATGCCAGCGGATGTACATGTATACATGCCCCCGCCAAACCTGCATGGCTCAATCCTAATGCAGGTCGTCAATGTGTAACAGCAGGTGCGTGTTGGACACGCACAACCCTACCCGCACTACAGCCGTTACAAGCAAGCAGCCAAAGACCCGGTTACCGTAACAACAGCCAGGTGACAGTTGACATCATTAGCCATCCATGCAGCACGCAGTCCCGCCCCATCTCACCATGAGACGCCAGGTGGAGTAGGCTCCAGCGGGTAAGAATACCTGAGCGT